CCGAGCCAACTCTCAACAACTGGCAGCTCAAGTTCCTGGCTCATGGCTTTTCCTCTACTTCACTGACTCTTTTCCCCCTGAAATCTCCCTCGGTGTGAAGCTTTTTCTTTGACATTTGTATGTATAAAAGTGGTTTTACGTGTATACATTTCCCCTGTCCCTGTAATGTTGTTCACTCAGTACAGTAAGACAGACTCTGGATAACATTAGCAGGTCTTATAGCGCCTTGTGATCAAACCCTTGCAGTCTTTTGTGTTCACTGCCATGTTGAATAGGCCGATGAAAGAGGACATTCTGTTCTTCAGTGAGCGGATGAGAAGCCCCGAGCTCCTGGAGTTTGGCCTTTTCTTCCATCTAGGTCAGGTTTCACAAAAGGTACCGGGATGGCAGATTTCAATTCAGGAGGGTTTTACATGTGCATCTTATTATCTTAAATCTCCTCCTCCTCCTCCTGCTCTTTGTCCCCCATCCCTCCCCCCCTTTGGCCCTCACCACTGTTTTTGTCACACAGACTGCCTGAGGACAAGGAAGTAGGATACATACTTTTTTTTACTAGGTCAGAGTGAAGCAGGAGGAATAAAAGGAGCCTGTTAATCACTCGGGCAACTTCAGAAATGTGGCATGGTGGGAGATGGTGGTGTTGCTCTGCATGCTGGGCACACAAAACCAGGCTGAGTTTAGGTAGTAGAGGAGAGGACCCTGAACTCAGAGGAAACTCGTTGTTATTTCAACAGAAATGTCACTTTTATGGCACTATTTGTATCAAAAATGTGACCAAAAATGTAATTGGAAGAAAAAAGTTCCATTAAGTTCCAATAACTCGTTTTGTCTGCTTCAAATATAACGTGTTTTTACTTCGAACATAAGATCAAAGCTCCTCACCATGGGGCTTTTAAAATTGGTAAAGATAGCATGCATAATGGTGGGGTTGTGTGGGGGTCTTCCTGAAAATAAATAGAAAAGGAAATGTAATTTAAAACACATTTCCTGCATTCCTATACCATCTAACCTCTTGGATATAGTTAAGAAACAACCATATACTGTTATTATCATTGTGTTTTGGTAAAACAGCGCCCCCACCATAGCATTACTAACTGTTCAGGTAGAGAGTGGTACTGCAGCATGGGAGACGGACAGTCTTTCAAATAAAAAATATTAATAAAATCACAAATTCTGTGAGAAGTAGATGAGGGAAAAGCTGCTAATATCAGAAAGAAACCACAGTAACGGTAGAAAGGGTTGTGTTGCTTTAAAGTGCTGTTAAAAAAGTGTGTCACTGTTTCCCAGAATGCTTTTACCTTCTGGCATTTTCCCGTTAATAGGAAACACTACGGAGGAATTTTATCTGCATATTGTGGTCAGTAATAAGAGCAGTTATGTCATTTTTAAGGTTCTGAAGTGGCTGCGTTGTTGTCTGGATGTTGGCGCTAACCAAAGTCTGATCTTGTGAACCAGAGTTTTGGTTAGAACAGATAACTTCACACGCAGTATTGCTCGCCCTCGGGTCCTAAGCATCACACTTGCCGAGCAAAAAGAAGAACAGTCAGAGGGTTAGCTGAAGCTCTCCTTTAATGTTAATGAACTGCTAAACCGTTACAGCGCTACAGTAATAAACACACTGTGAGTTATAGAGTCCTTATCTAAACCTTCAATTGTTGGCTTCCTTCCTCGTAGGAAATCTCACTTTCCCCTGACCTTTATATAGACTTTCATCGCGCATAATGAAAGGTCTGGCAGTCACCGTAAAACTCTCTGACTCCCTTCTCTCTTTTGCCCCCACACACATCAGCAGGCCCTGAGTCAAGATATGACGTGACAAGATGAAAGAAATCTAAAACTAAACATGTGGTCCAACACCAGGTTTACCAGTTCACTGCGGCTGCACATGCTGAGGCTTCTTTTGAAAGTGGTGATTGGAAAAGGCCAGACCCAAGAGAGAGCTGGTGTAAATAAGGCGGGGTCTGATTAGGGCTGAAAGCCGACAGCCAAAGGTTAACGAGGAGGCTTCAGGTCGTAGAACTAACCTATAATTGAGAGTGATTGAGTCGCTGGATGTTTGTACAATCAGATGGTTTTAACCTCAGCGATGAAGAGCTACCTTGGGTTTCAGAGTCTAAGTTGGTTCAGGCTAATAATGGATTAACGTGTAAACAATATGAGTTGGAGTGTGACCATGTGACAAGAAGAAAATCGAGCAATCCTAGAATAGAGTCATGTAGATAGCCATTTCATTCAAACTTATGAACACTAAGTAAAGTTTGTAAAATAACTGCATGAGCATTGCCTGATGGTTTAAGGGAAACATATTACTGTTTCACTTCAACAAGACGGACAGGAATACGAAGTCTACATGGACCAATAATTAGTTATCAACAAGTCAAAACGTGTACATACAACCTAGGAAAGCACCTTTTGTCCCTTTTTTAAAATATAGCATGTATTACACCATCATCAAGGTTCTTTATTGTCAAACTAACTACAGTACAGAGTAATTATGTCGTTGAAAATCTTAGGTCGCAGGCTTCTCCAACAATGCAACACAATAATACAGATAAGCAAATATACTATATTAAAAGTAATACAAAAAGAAAAATAGTTGGAATAGTGCAATACGAGTCTATATACAAGTTACTGGAATGATATAATAATAGATAAATAATTACTAAGTAGCAGATGAATGTTATGAAATAGTTTCAGCAGTTCAGGTGTTTAACAGTCTCACTGCCTGTGGGATGAATCTGTCTCTGTGTCTGGTGGTTTTTGTCCGGATGCTGCGGGAACGCCTGCCAGACGGCAGCAGACAGAACAGTTTGTGGCTGGGGTGATGGGGGTCTTTTATAATCCTGAGGGATTCCTTCCTGAGCCGCTAGGAGTAAAGGTCCTCCATGGATGGCAGCTCCGTCCTGGTGATGTTCTGTGCAGTTTTCACCACCCTCTGTAAAGCCTTACGATTGAGGGCGGTGCAGCTGCCGTACCAGGCCGTGATGCAGCCAGTCAGGATGCTCTCTATGGGGCACCTGTAGAAGTTGCAGAGTATCCTGGAATCCAATCATCATACTTCAAGCAGTATTCACAGTTTCTAATGGAAGCTGATCCAACCATACTTGCCAACCTTGAGACCTCAGAAATCGGGAGCATTTCAAAACCACCGCGCGGGGGGGGGGGGGGGGGCTAGTGGATCGCCGGAGCTGTATTAGCTTAACATTAACATGCTTATTGAAGTTGTTAGTGCACTGTCTTGCGGCCTGTAGTATGGAAAGGAGTGAGCAGAGGGTCGAGTTGTCGATTCTTGTTCAGTTTACTGTGACTCTCTTCCTCACCCTCTCAGACTGTCAGTTGCGCGCACTACTAAAGAGACGCGCTACCATGGAAACCAAACAATGGTGTAGCTGTATTAAAGTCCGAGTGGAAACAGTCCTGAGTCAATCTGATTTTGTCAGAAATCGGGAGAAATATGACCCTGGGAGGAAACCGGGAGAGGGCAATGAAATCGGGAGTCTCCCGCGAAAATCGGGAGGGTTGGCAAGTATGGATCCAACAGTGTTTGACCCACTTTGTGATCAGGGTTGCACTTTTATCAGTGGTTAAAAAATGATTAAAAAAGCCAGTGAGCAGGATGATAGCAGAACATGTGACTTATCCCAAACTTGTGTTGTCATCTTATTGAGAAGAGGCAAAAGGTTAAAATCTCTGAGATGTTAGGTCTTCTTTGTCTGGTGTAGACACCATGGAAGATGATAATAACAAACTCTCACATTATCGTCTGTCTGCCAGCTCATGGAGTCCTATTGTCCTAGCATTTCTGACATTTTCAGGATCAAAAATGGCAATATTTGTACTCTGTCGGCTGATTTTGATATATTTTGGGTCGATTCTGAAGATTTAGGGGACTAATTGGACAGGCTGCTTATTTATTTAAAAAAAGAATTGTCCATAGTAGAGGTAATCATTTTCATCTTGTGCTTTCTTTATCCAATGGTCCCAACACTACTCATGTTAGTCAAAATCAGCGCACTGGGAAAACAAATATGGCAAAACTTTCTGGTTAAATCTGACATTTTTTATCCTGAAAATGTCAGAAAATTGATTCAACATCCTCAGAACATCTACAAAATTGTGCAAATTGCCAAACATATTGTAGCGACCCTGTAAAGGGTGCTGTGTGGGTCACTCAAGCATCCCCCGTCTCTCTGCCAATCACAGAGCTGCACAGTAATGCCAGTCGGTGTGCGGGCCTGCGGTTGGGGGAGCAGAGGCTGGAGAGTGTGTGACGTTGACCCTGCTGTGTTTAGTGAGTGAAGTACTAGAGTGACGTTGAACCTGCGACCTGTAACCTGTGACCTATGAACCTGTATTTGTATGCTACCAAAGGAGCTATTAGACCTAAGAACTTGAGGCCTGTTTCCGACTCCTATTGTGAAACGTTACAATATGTAAGTTAGCATCCTGCAGTTTCTGAATGCTGGCGACCCGTATTATACATTTGTAACATCACACTTTGGTTTACCCAACATTTCTGCGTTCACTATGCTGGCAACTACAACTAATATATAAAAGCCCTCCTGATGCTTGGAAACTATCGTAGGAATTTATCACAAGTCTCATTTAATTCACAGATTAGTTGTATCAGTACGGCTGTCATTCCCAGGCTTTTTTAAACGGCGCAACTGGTAATCAACGGGGTTTCTGGGTTGCTTGGCTTTAGAGCAAAATACTTGCTTATTAATCTATTTAAGTTAATGATGTCTTTGATCAATTGTGAGTTATTTTGCATCTGAAAAGTCAGGAATGTAATGTTGTCCATGCGTCCTCTGTTGCCCTCAAGCCTATCAAGTTTGGGCGAACACTGAATATAGGCCAAAACCCAGAAGAACTTGACAGTGATTTAGCGTGGAATTTCCAACACAGAAACCATACAAAAGAAATGACAATCTGGTTTCGAGATGGCCTTCATTTGACACATAATAAACTCAATCTTTCTTCTCTTCTCGTCCCTTCAGCGTGTGACAGTGTCCACTGGGGGCCTCACTGCAGTAACAGATGTCAGTGTCAGAACGCGGCTCTGTGTAACCCCATCACCGGAGCCTGCATCTGCCTCCCGGGGTTCAGAGGGGTGGCGCTGCGAGGCCCCGTGTGAGACCGGCACCTACGGGAACGGGTGCCAACAGAAATGCCAGTGCCAGAACGAAGCCGCCTGTCACCACGTCACCGGAGAGTGCAAGTGCTCACCGGGATACACCGGAGCTTTGTAAGTCCCAGGAGTGTGTGTGTGTGTGTGTGTGTGTGTGTGTGTGTGTGTGTGTGTGTGTGTGTGTGTGTGTGTGTGTGTGTGTGTGTGTGTGTGTGTGTGTGTGTGTGTGTGTGTGTGTGTGTGTGTGTGTGTGTGTGTGTGTGTGTGTGTGTGTGTGTGTGTGTGTGTGTGTGTGTGTGTGTGTGTGTGTGTGTGTGTGTGTGTGTGTGTGTGTGTGTGTGTGTGTGTGTGTGTGTGTGTGTGTGTGTGTGTGTGTGTGTGTGTGTGTGTGTGTGTGTGTGTGTGTGTGTGTGTGTGTGTGTGTGTGTGTGTGTGTGTGTGTGTGTGTGTGTGTGTGTGTGTGTGTGGCCGCCTCACATTACTATACTTGTGGGGACCTAAATCTGTTTACATAGTCACGTGTGGGGACTCGCCTCCCTTATGGGGACAAATTGGAGGTCCTTAATTTTAGGGTGAAGACTTGGTTAGGTTTAGGGTTAGGGTTAGGCATGTGTTGGTTATGGTTAAGGTTAGGATAAGTCTCCAGGAAATGCATGTAAGTCAATGTAATGTCCCCTGAAGTGATGTATACATGGTATGTGTGTGTGTGTGTGTGTGTGTGTTTTCAGACTGTTGCAAGTTTTAGAGGTGGGAAGTAGTGGAGTACAAATACTTCATTATTGTACTTAAGTACATTATTCTGGTATCAGTACTTTACTCCACTACTTATTTTTCTGACGACTTTTTACTTTGACTTCTTACATGTTGAACACAAATACCTGTACTTTCTACTTCTTACATTTTCCAGTAAAAGAAGAGTAAAGAAGTTTAGTCAGTACTTCTACTTTTACCAGAGTATTTTTAAACACGAGTATCTGTACTTCTACTTGAGTAAAGGATGTGTGTACTTTTGCCATCTCTGGCAAGTTTTCTTATTGTTGTAACATCTCCAATCCTCTTTCTCCCCAGCTGTGAAGACCTGTGTCCTCCAGGTAAACACGGGCAGCAGTGTGAGGAGAGGTGTCCGTGTCAGAACGGAGGAGTGTGTCATCATGTGACCGGAGAGTGCTCCTGTCCTGCAGGATGGATGGTACGACCACAACATGTTCATACTACCAATTATATTTTTGAGAGTGTGAAGGCAGGGGCACAATACATACAGTACATGATGAGCAAAAGGACCGAAAAACAATAAGACTGGGCACTGAATAACATTACATTACATTTAGGTGTCTTTTTTCACCCAAAGTGACTTATAATAAGTGTAGGAACTATCATTTGGACACAGAGGGTGAGCTGGCTCGGACATTTTCTTTTGACCGTTTGGTCCTCTTTAAGTTACGGTTTGTTTATTTGAGTGATTAAACATCGTTAAGCTATAACTTCAGTACGGACTGTTTTAATTGAAACGCCTCTAGCTACTGTTCATTGGGAGTTTTGTCGCTACATTAAATGCAATCTATTCAGAACAGCTAAGCACATTAGCTTCAAATACGCCAAACCTTTTTCAATGCTACTTCTAAGCATGATTTAGATGGTGTACACGACCTGGGGGATCCTCACAAATGCTAACATGTCAGCGTGAGCAGAACCAGAGCGCAGGCAGTCATGATTAGAGGGGAGGAAGAGAGCAGCTCCTTTGACAGATTTGATAAAGTTAAAAGGCTCACAGCGGCTGGAGGAGGCAAAGCTTCAAAGTCTCTTAAAATCACTATCTTGAGGTCATGCTGGAAGGAGCTCTGAATTCTTGTCAAGAGTAAGTTGAAGACTAGAGAACAGACGAACTGTATCACTGATTAGGAAAATGATAGAAATGTATAGTACATAGAAAGAACTGCCGAATGCTAACTTGCAAGTTGCCCAATTAGCATACATTGCATTTTGGGGGCTATTGAGGATGCCAAGTCTATTCCTGACCTTTTCAGGATATAAAAATGCCCATTTCTACCAGAAAGTGGCCATATTTGTACTCTCAATTGGTGGATTTTGACTACCATGAGTAGTGTCGCAACCATTGGATACAGATGGCACAAGATAACAATTATTGTCTCTACTGTGGACAATTTTTCTTATTCTTAAAAATAGGCAATCTGTTCAATCCAAATGATTCAGAGACCCCTCAATCTTCCAAATCGAGCCAAAATGAATACGATACGATACGATATTACTTTATTGGTCAGATCAAGTCTGAAATTGTACTTGCGTCACAGCAGCTCCATGTCCAACATCAACAGACAAGTATCCAGACACAAACAACAAACATTTAACATAACAGCACAATCAGTGAGAGAAAACATGCTCAAAGAGCCTTCAGCGTGCATTTGATCTGGGATTTAGCTCTGTGTTTACTGTGAGGATTGACTGATGCACAAAGGAGTGCTTCAGTCTGACTTTATTGAATCGTGGGACCCTGTATTCCGGTTAGATGGTAGCAGTTCATTTTCACTGTTCAGAACATGGTTTGGGTCAGAGATGATGTTGTGAAGTTAAAGACTAGAGAACAGAGGAACTGTATCCCCGATTAGGAGAATGAGGTCATGTTCACACACATCAGCAGTAAGAAGAACATAAAGGCATGCATTGAGAGAACTTGATCAACAGTGTACGTGTTTTCTGTGTGCAGGGAACAGTGTGTGGACAGCCATGTCCAGAGGGGAGATTTGGACAGAACTGCTCCCAGGAATGTCAGTGTCACAACAACGGCTTCTGTGTGTTGTCCACGGGACAGTGTGTGTGCAGCGCGGGATACACAGGAGAGAGGTAAGAGAGATGGCAAAAGTACACACATCCTTCCCTCAAGTAGAAGTACAGATACTCGTGTTTAAAAATACTCTGGTAGAAGTAGAAGTACTGACTAAACTTCTTTACTCAAGTCAAAGTAAAGAGGCTTTGAAATGTACTTCAGTAAAAAGTACCCATAACTAGCAGCTGCTTTAAAGAGTACCTGACCTCCCTTTATATTAATAGAACAATAATGTCATTGTTAGCTAATGAATGTTTCCATGCTGAACAACGGCAACATGACAACGTTTTCATTGGTCCCTCTTCTTTAGAGAAGACCAGGAAATGATGGATACACGGATCGTGTTCAAATCAATAGGCACGCAATGACTCTAAAGAATAATGATCACGCACCAAACACACATTCAACTTAAGTACAGTAACTAAGTATTTGTACTCCACTACTTCCCACCTCTGCAGGTAAGAGACTTTACAGTGAACCACAGAGTCAGTAAACAGCCGTTTGTTAGCTTCAAAGAACTGGATGAATACCATCATAAACATTTTTGCATTATTTACAGACTGTTATTGTAAATGTTGGTGAACGGATTGACCGAGAGCCACACATATCCATAAAATATGAAACACAAAAGTAGAAACTACACAAATTACAATTTACAAAATACACATCCAGTACCAGTAAGAGTATTTAAAGTGTAGCATGTAAAGTGTGATTTGGAGACTCTGTTCCCATTCTCACAGCCATAAATACATGTTTCATATATAGATGCTTTTTAGTGCATTCATGTGGTGTTTCATAGCGGCGAATGGTATTTTTCACAAAATGTAAATAGCTCATCCCCATTTAATTGAATGGTATTTGTAGCGGCTAACTAAAGAAATAAAATAGAAAAACATAACTTAAAGGTCCCATGTCATGGCCATTTCTACTGATCATAATTCCATTGTTGAGGTCTACTAGAATACATTTCCAAACTCTCATTGGTTTCTCATACAGCATCTCTGTAAAGTATGTGTATTCACTCTCTGTCCTAAACGGCTTGTTGGAGCTCCTGCCCCCCCCCCCCCCCCCGAGCCCAGTGGCCGTCTGCGAGACACAGCGAAACCCAGCCCGAAACACACACACACCCGCAGCCTGGCTGGGAGTTTGTGTGTGTGCCCAGGCTGAGTTCCGCGGTGTCTCGCTGTCTCCCCGACCCCACACCAGTGAGCCAGCTCACAGTGTCCCGCTCCTCGCAGCAGCGAGCCTCGCAACGTCCCGCCGAGTGTGTGTGTGTGAGGAAGTCCACGGATTGGTCCAAACGTAACGGCTCCGCGGAAATCATACATATGTTAAAAGTCTAAATATACTTAATGACAGTGAAAGAAATATATCTGAAGACTATGGGTGTTTCTCAATGTCGAGGAAGGATGCTCCAGAGCCACTATTTTAAGCATACTACGTCATCGAGTGCCGCCGAAGGACTGTTCCAATGTCCAGCATACTTGGAATTCTACCGAGCCCGGCGTCCTTCGTAGCGAGACATTTCGAGGCTGCACATGTGTAGACTCCGTGGCCTTAAAATCCCCACAATGCTTTGCGCACGGACCAATGTAAGGCGGGGTCTCTCATATGACCCACACCTGCACACTTGCTCGCCTGTTCCACTCTTCGTTTTCCGAATGCCAGGAAGGATTCTTGACTCGCTTCTGAAGCAAGTGACTCGGAAGACATGTGCTACCAAGCAAGCGTACTCGACATTGAGAAACACCCTATATGTCAAATATACACTATGAAGGGTTGATTACAGCTAACAAAATACAAAAAATTAAAATGTTGAATGATGAAACAAGGCAAGGCAAGTTTTTATATAGCACCTTTCAACACGAGGCAATTCAAAGTGCTTTACAGACATTAAGAGTGTTAAGAAACATATTATAAAATGGCATTTAAAAACACTACTTTAAAAGCAAAGATATTAAAACATGAATAACAAAGGTACATGTCAGGACCTTGACACAAACTGATGAACCCAAATGCACGACCCAGAGACAAGGGGTGCGTCTCACTTCAGTATCACCGGAAGTTGATTTGTCTGCGCCATCTTGAGTACCGTCCCAGTGGCCTTATTTGTGCCGGAGGATCGAGGAGTGAAAAACGGAGGAGCGATAATCGAGGAACTACCAGACCATCCTTTGGTGAAATCCTCAGACACTCGCCCCGCCCCCTCACTGTGTATCGCTCACTGATTGGACGATGCAGCGCATGCACTGATCTGGCTGCTGTCAGACGATCAGCTGTGCAGCGTCGTCACAAACGGACGTCGCTTCACGTGACGCTCCGGAGGAAACGACGTCCCATTGCTCTTAAAACTCATTCCCCTGCTTCTCGTGGTTTCCTTGCATCTCTCCATGCTTCCAAGGAATCCATTTAACCGAAGTGAGTTCTAAGGTCTTGAATGTAATAAAAAAAAGTGTATTTATTTTCACAAATCAGGTAATCCCTCTTAACAGAGTAGGTAGTGGAAATAACAAAAGGCGCATTTGACGAGACACAACAGTACATTAATTAAAGTCACAGTGCAGTGTGAGATACACACATCTGAAATGTTTAGCTCTGACTCTCAATCATTGCTCACTTTTTAGTAGAAATAGTTTTCTATGACCTCACTTTCTTTCTACTTTCTTTTTAAACTGATCCTTTAGTTATTTAAGTGTTTCATGCTAAACGAACCCCGCTTTCAAACAGACTCATTTCTCACAAACACAACGACCTTGTTGTCCTCACTGGACCTGATTAGGATCATGTTTAACAGTGGAAAGTGAATCCAAAGTGAAATCCTGTGCGTCTGCTTAACTCTTCCACATCCTGGAGAGAGAGAAACCAGAACCAGGAAGCCAGTCGGTGTTTTTACAGACAATCTGAGCCGAGCGCCACGCAGGGATTACAGCCCGTATAATTAACAATATCAGAGAGCACACACCATATACTTAGCAGACCAGTGACGGACAGGAATAGCCCGTGGACTGCCCTCTCATGAGTAAATACTGGTTTAAGGGGGAGTTGAACGTCACAGAGAAGCACCAACACTGCTCAGAACTGGGCCACACCCAGAACCGCTGAACCGGGGGATTATCTGTCAGCGCTTTACAAGAATGTGGATGTTAAAATATCTGAAATAACTACACTAACTGTCAAGTGGAGCTTTTAGCCAGCATTTTTAAACCAGGAAATGTTGAGTAACGCGAACGTTTTATGATAGAAATGTGTAGGAAGGGTCACCAGCTCATAGAAACTTCTGGATGCTAACTTGTATATGTTGGGCAATTTGCACAATTAGGATAAATTGCATTAATTAGCATGAATGGCCTTAAAGTCTATATTTAAACAATAGTTTTAAAAAAGGGCTTGGACGATTCGGACAGTTTTGGAGTTGTTTTGAGGGCTATTGAGGATGCTGAGTCCAGTTTTTACCCAAAAGTGGCCATATTTGTACTCTGTGTGCTGATTTTGACTACCAATAGTAGTGTTGCGACCATTGGATACAGAGAGCACAAGATGAAAATTATTGCCCCTACTGTGGACCACTTTTGTCCAAATGAATAGGCAATCTGTCCAATCCAAATCATCCAGAGTCTCCTAAATCTTCCAAATCGACCCAAAATTAATCCAATTCAGTCCAAAGGTCGTTCAAAGATAAATAAAACTGCCATTTTTTATACTGAAATAGTCAGATACGGACACAGCATCCTCGATTACCACCAATGGAAACATACCATCTTAGAGTGAGAGGAAATAATTTTGATAGTAAATGGAAGAAAAACATAAAGTAAAACACAATTAGGTCCATGTTTGACCTACATCAATCTGCTTTAAATGATGGAATGGAAGCATTTCCAGGTCTTTACGCGTCTTAACACATTATTTAGCAAAACAAGATTTAATATAAGGCTTTGCTTATTTAAAATAAAACATCTTAAGGTTTTGGACAGACCAAACACACGTAATTGGATGATTATTACTTTGGACTTTCCACATCTATTTACCTTTTTCAGAGCATTTCATTTTCTAACCCAGCTTGATTTGGTGGTCAGACTGATGTAGTGAAACCAGGGCAGAGGTAATGAAGCCCCTCTGAAATCATTCATAAACAAGTGGTCTGCTTTTTCTGAGCTGCTGAAGCTCTGAGCTCCAGACTGTGATTCAGCCGAGGAACCAGCAAAGGATGACGAGTCTGTGCATTCAACTCTGTTCTGGAGCTAGATATCTCACCTTTTTAAAATCTATAATCCCCCAGAAAACACTTCAGGCTACATATACATATATCTTGTTTGGCATTAGTTCAATTCCTCCAAAGTAAATCCACTTGTTTTAACTGAAATGACTGTGAGTTCCTCCCTTGTTTTGCTTTAATGCGTCAAATGATAATCGTTCACCATGCATAAAATGTTCTCTTAGTAAAACTGAAACTGAACTCTAGATAGAATAAAGGTAATTTTTTAATCCAGGGTGTTTCGGGTCTTAAAAAGTATTAAAAGTTGATAAATCAATTTAGCGAAAATTAAGGCTATTAAAAAGTATTAAACGGCATTTCCCAAGGTTTTACATTTTGTAGCTTGTTTTCAATAAGTATATAAATGGTCCAAAGAGGTTGTATTCTACAGTCTGCCTGAATGTAATCATTGCGTAGGTGTGTAGTGTGATTCTGTGTAGTTTATTTATGGCATCCCGTTGGGTTTGACGTCATCTGAACAGGACATCGCGCGCTCACTGCTTGATAGCGCGAAGGTCCGTTTACGCCGGTTGTTAAACAACATCGTTATGGGGAAATGCAAGTCTGCGTCCAAATGGTTGGAAGATAAGGAGGAAGGACAATCAATACTGTATATAGTCAATGTGAGGTGAAGTGTGTCGCCAAGGTAACCGGTTAAAACTCCAAGTGGCGATGAGGTCTTAAAATGTATGGAAAGGGTCTTAAAAAAGGTCTTAAAAGGTCTTACATTCATTTCATTTCATTTTTATTTGTCCCGCTCATGGTACACAAAACCAAATGTACATTAATTGCCACAAAACATGACTCTACCATTGAGCGAAAAGGAGCAGGGAGAAGAATAAAATCTTATGTGACCTGCCCCTTTCTAAAAAAAACAAAATAAATACAAATAGATGGTCTGCCCTTCATAATAATATTTTTTTACATTTATTTTTTCACAGCCAAATATAACAGTATCTTAGGATACTAAGAGAAACACACACAAAAAATACTTATTTCCCACTTGACGGTTAACGGAAAGAAACAAAACACCAAAACATCACATGTATAAGGAAAAGAAAAGTGCAACACCCTCATCTGAGTCCTACTGGAGAAGAAGGTGGAAAGCGACGCATGATGATAATAATAACAATTACAATGGCACTGGCACTTTGACTTCAGGATTCTTGCATACACCCTGAGTAATGGCAAACAAATCCTATTGATACATATTTTTAGCATTTCTGCTGCAGGGTGTCACCATCCGTGCAATAAAGTAGTGCTCTTTCTTTAAAGGAAACCTCTAAATAAATGACTTAAATGAGTAAGAGTTGCTCAAAGACATCAGTTGTGTGTGTGTGTGTGTGTGTGTGTGTGTGTGTGTGTGTGTGTGTGTGTGTGTGTGTGTGTGTGTGTGTGTGTGTGTGTGTGTGTGTGTGTGTGTGTGTGTGTGTGTGTGTGTGTGTGTGTGTGTGTGTGTGTGTGTGTGTGTGTGTGTGTGTGTGTGTGTGTGTGTGTGTGTGTGTGTAAGTGGATGCAGATATGTCTCTATTACAAAAGAGAATAATCTAGATATATATTTTGTTTGTTAACAATTAAAGAGGGGCTGTTGAAAGGCTGCAGTGACTATATTGTTCACCAGTCTTTTAAAAATAGCACACGGGATATTATAGTAGTATATTAGTGTATTCAAGTGATTGGTCCGTGCTTTTATTTAGCTGACTTTTACAAACTGCATTATATTGCTTCAACTAACCACATCCACAGTCCGTCTTTCATCTTACAAAACTCATTGACCTGAAGCATTACAAGCAGATACCGTTTGTTATCATGAGGATACATCCAGGTGTCGATACCCCTGAAGCACATCTGACTGATATGAACTCAATATGTTCCATTATACAGAGAAATAACTCTAACAACTTAACAGAGAACTGCTGTCACTGTCCACCAAAACCGCCCGCTTCAAAAACAGCTTCTTCCCCTTTGCAATACGGACACTAAATTACTCTATGGCGCGTTTCCACTGCAGGCCTCGCTCGGCCTCGCTCGGTTTGGTTAGGCCTTATTAGGCCCGGCTCACTTTAATGCTGCGTTTCCATTACAGTTTAGTAGCTGGGGCAGTAACTATAGTAACGCAGTGTAGGCGGAGCCGTGACGTCATCTTCAATGAGAGCCCCAGAAAAACAACACAGCCGTTAGCTCTTAGCACTCAGAGCTCACAGCTCCTCATATCTGTTCAGAAACTTGACAAAAGTTAAACAAGTACAAACCACAGACTGCCTGTGTCATGGCGAATACAGTCGCTGGTTTATTTATGTCTGTATAGGCCGTTGTTGTGAGTGTGGACGGTCGGAGCATATATAACGTTAGCTTAGCCAAGCTACATTTAGAAAACACGCATTTTAAAAGGGTTTTTCGCCTGCCGTCTGTCTGCAGACTTGTCAAAGCATTAATTCATGGTTTTTACTAACCGGTATCAGTATGTTGTTACTTCGGCATCATTTTGAAACGTGTATTACAATTAAATCACGGTCAAATATGTTCATCTTGTTGTAGTTGTAGCCCCCTTGCCAGCGATTCTCTCTCTAGTTTAGCATACTCAGCCCGACTCAGCCTGGTTGTTCCTGGCCCTAGAACCACGATTTAGTCGGGCCAGAAAAAAGGTGAAAAAGTAGCCCCGGGCCAAAACTAGGCCAAATGGAAACGCAACCAAAAACGGGCCCCGCACGGCTCGGCACGCTTAAAGTGAGCTACGCACTGCAGTGGAAACGCGCCATTAATAACCCCAATGAACAATAACAATCCACCACACCTTGAACTTTATGTTATGATATGTATTTGCCCTGTGCTGTGTGTTGTACTTTTTATTGTCTGTTTACTGTATGTTGAATTGTATGGAAAAAGCTGTAATACTCTGCACTGAACACAAATTCCACCAGCCTGGCTGTGTGGTCATTAAAGATTCTAATTTAATCTGTTCACCTGCACTTTCTCACATCATTGATGGATATACTGTCTTTCATCTTACAAAAATCAATGCAATAAACATTACATGCAGATACTGTTTGTAATCATGAGGATAACAAAGTAAATCCAGGTGCCAATACCCCTGAAACAACTCGACAGAGAACTACTGTTCACCTGCACTTCTCATACAGTATCACTGTGTGTGTGTGTGTGTGCGCGTGTGTGTGCGTGTGTGTAGGTGCCAGGAGGAGTGTCCGGTTGGTACTTACGGTGCCGGCTGTGCGAAGACGTGTCAATGCCAGAACAACGGAAAGTGCTCCCACACCGACGGGATGTGTGTGTGTGAGCCCGGATACACAGGAGACACATGTGACGTCAGACTCTGTCCTGAGAGACACTACGGCCTGCGATGCGACAGGAAGTGCCCGTGCTACGCCCACAACACACACAGGTACATCACACACTGTTCATCCACAACACACACAGGTACATCACACACTGTTCATCCACAACACACACAGGTACATCACACACTGTTCATCCTGCATTTAGTTCATGGAGTCTTGGCTTTGTTGGAAGTTGAGAAGCTTTCTTTTGGGCCAGATTTGAGTCAGGGTCACTCTGCCGACGCGACAAGTATCACAAGTTCAAAAGGAAATAACCACGATACAAAAAGTGAACATGAGCCCGTGTTGATCTCCTTAAGCCCTGGTGTAAAGTCAATTTGAAGTCACAATGTAGTCGGGATGAATTCAATCTGATGACTGTCAACATGAGGTCTGCAAACACTGCTGTTCCTTCTCTACACACACACACACACACACACACACACACACACACACACACACACATTTATTTTGCCAAATGTAGTCACATTTCTTAGCAGCTTGGCCAGGCACAGTGCATCTAACCCATTGCATTTGCTGAAAACATTTGACTATCCTTAGTTATTATTCAGTATCAGTGCAACACTACTGTGTGTGTGTGTGTGTGTGTGTGTGTGTGTGTGTGTGTGTGTGTGTGTGTGTGTGTGTGTGTGTGTGTGTGTGTGTGTGTGTGTGTGTGTGGTGTGTGTGTGTGTGTGTGTGTGTGTGTGTGTGTGTGTGTGTGTGGTGTGTGTGTGTGTGTGTGTGTGTGTGTGTGTGTGTGTGTGTGTGTGTGTGTGTGTGTGTGTGTGTGTGTGTGTGTGTGTGTGTGTGTGTGTGTGTGTGTGTGTGTGTGTGTGTGTGTGTGTGTGTGTGTGTGTGTGTGTGTGTGTGTGTGTGTGCAGGCAGCTGACTGCAGTGATCAGGTCGCTGCACAGCTGGCACTGCATGTGTCTGCAGAGGACAGCTGTCCTGCTGTGGCTCAATGGGCCAGTGTGTCAGGTGGACCAGCTGTCCGTCACACACACACACACACACTCACACTCACACACACTGCCAGGTTCAACCTATGTCACCGCACATAAGGGAGGGAAAACATCATGAGGTCCTTTAGTAACGGTCCGCTAAAGCTTTGAGCTAAGGCTGTGTTATTCTTTTTTTAATGTAATTGACTTCTTTCTTTCTGAATGTCTCTCTTGTCTTCTTCCATGTTTATTATCAATTGTCAACATGTAGAAAATGTTTCACTAACTTTGAGTCGGACCAGTCGGGTTCAGGGTCTTAGAAAAGTGGGAACAGGACAGTTTCTGTGAGCAGGATGATACAGATTCAGTTTTCTAAATCCGAGAGGCAACAATAGACTTACAGCAGCAAACATGGTGTGTTTTCCTCTCCTCTCAGCTGCCACCCGATGTCAGGAGAGTGCACGTGTCGGCCCGGTTGGTCCGGACTCTACTGCAACGAGACGTGCACTCCAGGGTTTTATGGAGAGTCGTGCCAGCAGGCGTGCCGCTGCCAGAACGGAGCCGACTGCCACGGTGTGAGCGGAGAGTGTTTCTGTGCTCCGGGCTTCACGGTAAACACACCTCAGGACGTCAGTCAGGTTCATGTGGGACTCAGCATGGGTTGATCACCTCGAGACCATTACCCATTTTTGTTTACTTTTAGTACATTTTAATTCCTTTACTTTGACTTTAGTAAGATTTTGAATGCAGGACTTTTACTTCAGTATTTTGTACGATTTAGTATTGCTATTTTTACTTCAGTATAAGATCTAGGTGCTATTCGTAAGAATATGACTCCTTAGCACCCTCTTGTGGCAGCAGTATGAAGTGTCATAAACCAAAGTGCACCTTTTACACACACACACACACACATGTCCCCACTGCTTCCACACACTTAGATAATATAATATATATTTCACATAAAATTCATCCTTAAACATTCGTTATGACAAACAACAGATTTCTCATTCTGGCTGCTTGACACATGCTCTTGATGCTGCTCTCAATTTATACCGTGAAAAATAACTTTAACAGACAGTTAATATGAATAAACACACAGTATGTCAGCGGTGTTCTTTGATGCCAACATACAAAGGCAGATGAGGGGGGAAAAGCATCTCCTTATTTGATCATTAAAAACATTTAAAAGGTCAGATGTGAAGTACTTGTGTGTGAAACTGAAATTCAGAGATGTGTGTCTGACTGTTTATCTCCTACCTGACGGTCTCAGGGTCCCACCTGCTCGCTGCCCTGCCCGACAGGAAGTCACGGAGCAGACTGCTCCTCCTCCTGCAGCTGCAAGAACAGAGCGCTGTGCTCACCTGTGGACGGATCCTGCTCCTGCACCCCAGGTGAGGAGAGGAGAGGGAGAGGAGACACAATACCACTTTGGTCTACTTTCTACATATTTATATTTTCTAATGTTGATTCGTAAAATATATTTTCTGTTTATTTTGTATTTATTCGTTTTTGATCAATGCAGTATATCTGTTCTATCCTCTGTTGTTACAGTGCATCTGAACTTGTGTGTGTGTGTGTGTGTGTGTGTGTGTGTGTGTGTGTGTGTGTGTGTGTGTGTGTGTGTGTGTGTGTGTGTGTGTGTGTGTGTGTGTGTGTGTGTGTGGTGTGTGTGTGTGTGTGTGTGTGTGTGTGTGTGTGTGTGTGTGTGTGTGTGTGTGTGTGTGTGTGTGTGTGTGTGTGTGTGTGTGTGTGTGTGTGTGTGTGTGTGTGTGTGTGTGTGTGTGTGTGTGTGTGTTCTAAATGACTGAAAACTGCTGTTGATTTGTAAATATCTACTGTTTATTTTGTATTAATTAGTTTACCATATTTTATGTACTGTATCGATCAATGCAGTATATCTGCTGATGTTACAGTGCATCTGAATTAAGGCTTGTGTGTGATGTTGTTGTTGTTGTTGTTGTTGTTGTTGTTGTTTACAGGCTGGCATGGGGTGGACTGCTCCATCTTAGTCTTAGTCTAAATATTACTTCTAAATGACATTTTCCAGTCAAGGAAATAGTATATCTGTTCTATCGTCTGATGTTACATTGCATCTGAACTAAAGCATGTGTGTGATGTTGTTGTTGTTGTTGTTTACAGGCTGGCACGGGGTGGACTGCTCCATCAGCTGCCCCAGTGGGCGCTGGGGTCTGGGCTGTAACCGCAGCTGTCTGTGTGTGAACGGAGCGTCCTGCAGCGCTCTGGAGGGTCGCTGTAGCTGCGCTGCAGGGTGGAGAGGAGAGAGGTGCCAGCTGCAGTGCCAGGTGACACACACACATACACACACACACACACACACACACACACACACACACACACTGGCCCTTTCTCATTTCTCTAACTCCCCTCCTTGACTCCCCTCCTCGAGACTTAGTCCCGCCCACAGGAGATGCGAGCCGAGGAGCCGAGGAGGGGAACCGAGGAGAGAGGAAGCAGCAGGCGGTTAGAGAAATGAGAACTCCTCTCCTCTGAGCGGTCATTTTAAAGAGACGTCCATTAATGATGACAGGAGGCACAGCAGCCCTCTGTCTGATGGACACATGTGTTCATGACCACTTATATATTTACTTTGAATATATTTATATAAATATACCATTTCAGAATCAAACAGAGCACTCTCATAATAACGTAACACTATCAGAGACTGGATATCCCCCCCCCCTCTCTGGTCGCTACAATGAGGGAAATAAATTACGGGCCAAACGTTTTATTTACAAGTATTAAAAGTAAGCAGAGGACACCAAACCAACTGAGACCTTTCTGTCCGCTGCATCTACGCACTGTACAACACACACACCTACACACTGTACAACACACACACACACACACACACACACACACACACACACACACACACACACACTGTACCACACGCACCTACAGCTCCTAAAGCATATAATCAGGCTCCAGCCGTTGTGTATTTTATTATGTGAAGCACTAAATGGTTTTAGAAAAATATCGACTCTTTGTTTGTTATCTACTAAACTACAGCAAATACAGAGAGTAATGTAGGCCTGTTATACTGAGTGATATATATTATACACACTGCTCTGCTTTCTGCACGGACCTCACAGCTGTTCTCTCTGTAAACATCGCGTTGCGATGAGAGCAGTTAATAAAATAATATCCAGGGGATGCATGCAGAGCTGTGATTGGCTGAGATCAGTCCGGCCGTGCGTCACGACTCTTTGAAACATCTCTGTTCCCGGAAATGCATCCACGAAGGAGCCGTGGAGGACCCATCAGTGTCTCCTCGGTTAGAACTCCTCCAGAGAGCCTCCTCGACGCTCGATCCTCGGTCCTTCAACATGGCGCGCTAAAATTCATTTCCGGGTCACTACCGGAGGAGTCGAGGAGTTGAGGAGTCGAGGAGGGGGATTTGATGAAATGAGAAAGGGCCACACATACTCCACACACATCATGTACACAATATCTTGTTTTTTTTATTACTGCACATATTTTATTCCAATTCCATTTCAATGTAAATACTGCTATATTTGACTATATTTTTTTAATGTTATTATAGTTTTTCTTAAAATATTTTTCATAATTAAATTAATTTTTGTTTTACTTTTATGTATGCACCGCGACACCAGGTCAAATTCCATGTACGTGTCAACTTACCTGCTAAACCTGTTTCTGATTCTGATGAGTTGTAACTGATTGGTTCTTGTTATTCTCTGCCCTTTATTGATCTATTTCTCTCTGTAGACTGACTGACTGCATCATGTTATATTGAATTGTATCTCTGGTTGTGTTTCTCCTCAGGACGGCACGTATGGTCTGGACTGTACGGAGCGCTGTGACTGCAGCCATGCTGACGGCTGTCATCACTCCACGGGTCACTGCCGCTGTCTGGCTGGATGGACCGGTAACAACTCATAATCATTTGTATTTCATTTATTACAGGCCGGAGTACGGAAGAGGCTTAGGGCCACATGAAAAACGTTTTTGGGGGATGTGGAAAGAGAGAGAATTCAGAATTATGACTTTTTTTCTCAGAATTAAAAAAAAAAAATTCACATCCCCCAAACATTGTTTTCATGTGGCCCTAATCCTCCTCCATACCAGAGACACCCACAACGACACAACAACAATGTAGGGGATGTGATATTCCTGTTGCGGTTGAGTGAAAAAATACCTTTATTTCACGGTCTAGAGGCACAAACAGAACACGAGAACACAGTCAAAGACAAACAATGAACCAACAATGACAGAAAAACCAGAACTTAAATACACACAAGACTAATCACACAAACAAGACACAGGTGAGGAGGGAGGAGAAAACACAGGGGCACCAGGGGCCTATACTACGAAGCTGGTTCAACCTAACCTGGATATGTTTGAGTTAGCCGGTTGGCCTAATCCAAAAGATACGCGCTCTCGCTAAACTGTACTACGACGCGGGTTATCAAGTGGATCGCTCAAGCCAGCCGTTTCCTATCTAGTTAGGTGCGCGTTCACATGAAAGGGGTGGTATCTGGAGCATTCGACCAATCAGAAACATGGAGAAGCGTACTGACAGCGCAGCGTCATACTTCCTGAATGAAAAGTGAACTTTAATATTAGACATATGAAGAAGTTAAACTTTAAACATCCATGACTTAAACACTTTATCCAGGATCAAAGCCACATAGCTGCACCTGCAAGGTGAATACAGCTGGTAACAGAACAAGTGTTTGAATGCGTATTAACAGGTTTATGATATCACGGCCCCGTCTAAGACACCATCTGACTTTAATTAGGCCTACATTTGTCTCGAGTGTTTCGTCAACTTAATGTGTTGCTTAAAATAATACTTCTGCATACAGCATGTGACACTGTGAGTGTTGCACGGCCAGATACGGCTCAGCTGACTCAGATCAGGAGATATATGATACATTATGAAGTGATATGCCGCGGACTGTACTTAATGTTACTCTGATCCGGTTACTTATGTTGTGGCAGATATTTAAGTAAGCTTTCTTAACGCTAATGTTATAATAGTCAGATTGCTCTGAAGATGGAGGTGATATTCTATTAATGTTCACGTTCACACAGTCGGTGATTTTTGCCGGCCGTCTTTCCTGCAACGGCAGCTTTTCTGTATTTCCTTTCTCCTGTAATATGACTTGATCGCTTTAAACTCCGCACACTGAGCTCTGATTGGTCAGCAGGCAGTGCTTTCACTGAGTTGAGCTCTTAGCCTGCAACCTAACCTGGTCCCGACCAGGTTAGCCGCTAAGCATAAGTTACCATGGAGATCTAGCCTGCTAAAAAGAGAACCAGCTTCGTAGGACCGGAAAGCCGGAGTTTTCCCTGAATTAGCCGCTAAGCGAAAATCCTGCTTCGTAGTATACCCCCCAGATGAACACAATCGGGTAATTAGGTAGGAGGGAAAACAGACAGACAGCAACAGGCAAGACAGGAGGTGAAGACTTTTCAAAATAAAACATGAAACCAAAGACAGAAAAAGACAAGACAAAACACAACACAGACAGACCGTGACAATTCCATCGCTAAGGGGTAAACACAAGGGGTAGCTGGTGTAAAGAATTGGACAATCAAACAGGAGGGGAAACAGAGAGACAGGAAGTTAAACAAGACAAAATTGATTTCAAAATAAAACAAGAAACCGAAACTAACATTTTTGGACAGCTTTTAGTCCACATGAAGAGACTGTAGAAGATGCATTCTCTACAAAATAAACTAAAAGGTGTGTGTGTGTGTGTGTGTGTGTGTGTGTGTGTGTGTGTGTGTGTGTGTGTGTGTGTGTGTGTGTGTGTGTGTGTGTGTGTGTGTGTGTGTGTGTGTGTGTGTGTGTGTGTGTGTGTGTGTGTGTGTGTGTGTGTGTGTGTGTGTGTGTGTGTGTGTGTGTGTGTGTGTGAGCAGGTATCCACTGTGACAGTGTGTGTGCAGAGGGCCGCTGGGGTCCAAACTGCTCGCTCTCCTGTAACTGCAGGAACGGAGCATCCTGCTCTCCAGACGAGGGAACCTGTGAGTGTGCTCCAGGATACAGAGACACCACCTGTCAGAGGAGTGAGTACACACACACACACACACACACACACACACACACACACACACACACACACACACACACACACACACACATACACTGCAACACCATACGATACGATAACACTTTAATGGTCAGATCAAGTCTGAAATTTGACTTGCATCACAGCAGCTCCATGTGTAACATCAACATAGACAAATATCAAGACACAATACATTAAAAACAAACACACACACACACACACACACACACACACACACACACACACACACACACACTCTAGTATTTTATGTATGCCTCTTTACTTTGCTGTAACCATGTAAATGTCCCCTTTGTGGGACTAAAATTGGGAGTTCTGATTGATTGACGTTTAAAGTGCTTTCCTTTGTGCTTCCTGCAGTCTGCTCTCCGGGATACTTCGGTCACCGCTGCAGTCAGACGTGTCCTCAGTGTGTTCACAGCGTCGGGCCGTGTCACCACGTCTCGGGACAGTGTGAATGTCTGCCGGGCTTCAGGGGGGCGCTGTGCAACGAGGGTGAGTTACCCCGAGGTGGGAAGTAGTGGAGTACAAATACTTCGTTACTGTACTCAAGTCAATTTTTCTGGTATCAGTACTTTACTACTTATTTTTCAGATGACTTTTTACTTTGACATCTTACATGTTGAACACAAATACCTGTACTTTCTACTTCTTACATGTTGAACTCAAATACCTGTACTTTCTACTTCTTACATGTTGAACACAAATACCTGTACTTTCTACTTCTTACATGTTGAACTCAAATACCTGTACTTTCTACTTCTTACATGTTGAACTCAAATACCTGTACTTTCTACTTCTTACATGTTGAACACAAATACCTGAACTTTCTACTTCTTACATGTTGAACCCAAATACCTGTACTTTCTACTTCTTACATGTTGAACCCAAATACCTGTACTTTCTACTTCTTACATGTTGAACTCAAATACCTGTACTTTCTACTTCTTACATGTTGAACTCAAATACCTGTACTTTCTACTTCTTACATGTTGAACTCAAATACCTGTACTTTCTACTTCTTACATGTTGAACTCAAATACCTGTACTTTCTACTTCTTACATGTTGAACACAAATACCTGAACTTTCTACTTCTTACATGTTGAACCCAAATACCTGTACTTTCTACTTCTTACATGTTGAACCCAAATACCTGTACTTTCTACTTCTTACATGTTGAACACAAATACCTGTACTTTCTACTTCTCACATGTTGAACTCAAATACCTGTACTTTCTACTTCTCACATGTTGAACTCAAATACCTGTACTTTCTACTTCTCACATGTTGAACTCAAATACCTGTACTTTCTACTTCTTACATGTTGAACTCAAATACCTGTACTTTCTACTTCTTACATGTTGAACTCAAATACCTGTACTTTCTACTTCTTACATGTTGAACTCAAATACCTGTACTTTCTACTTCTTACATGTTGAACACAAATACCTGTACTTTCTACTTCTCACATGTTGAACCCAAATACCTGTACTTTCTACTTCTTACATGTTGAACTCAAATACCTGTACTTTCTACTTCTTACATGTTGAACTCAAATACCTGTACTTTCTACTTCTTACATGTTGAACTCAAATACCTGTACTTTCTACTTCTTACATGTTGAACACAAATACCTGTACTTTCTACTTCTCACATGTTGAACACAAATACCTGTACTTTCTACTTCTTACATGTTGAACACAAATACCTGTACTTTCTACTTCTTACATGTTGAACACAAATACCTGTACTTTCTACTTCTTACATGTTGAACACAAATACCTGTACTTTCTACTTCTTACATGATGAACACAAATACCTGTACTTTCTACTTCTTACATGTTGAACACAAATACCTGTACTTTCTACTTCTCACATGTTGAACCCAAATACCTGTACTTTCTACTTCTTACATGTTGAACACAAATACCTGTACTTTCTACTTCTTACATGTTGAACTCAAATACCTGTACTTTCTACTTCTTACATGTTGAACTCAAATACCTGTACTTTCTACTTCTTACATGTTGAACACAAATACCTGTACTTTCTACTTGTCACATGTTGAACCCAAATACCTGTACTTTCTACTTCTTACATGTTGAACCCAAATACCTGTACTTTCTACTTCTTACAGTTTGAACTCAAATACCTGTACTTTCTACTTCTTACATGTTGAACACAAATACCTGTACTTTCTACTTCTTACATGTTGAACCCAATACCTGTACTTTCTACTTCTCACATGTTGAACTCAAATACCTGTACTTTCTACTTCTTACATGTTGAACTCAAATACCTGTACTTTCTACTTCTTACATGTTGAACTCAAATACCTGTACTTTCTACTTCTTACATGTTGAACTCAAATACCTGTACTTTCTACTTCTTACATGTTGAACACAAATACCTGTACTTTCTACTTCTCACATGTTGAACCCAAATACCTGTACTTTCTACTTCTTACATGTTGAACTCAAATACCTGTACTTTCTACTTCTTACATGTTGAACTCAAATACCTGTACTTTCTACTTCTTACATGTTGAACACAAATACCTGTACTTTCTACTTCTCACATGTTGAACACAAATACCTGTACTTTCTACTTCTTACATGTTGAACACAAATACCTGTACTTTCTACTTCTTACATGTTGAACACAAATACCTGTACTTTCTACTTCTTACATGTTGAACACAAATACCTGTACTTTCTACTTCTTACATGATGAACACAAATACCTGTACTTTCTACTTCTTACATGTTGAACACAAATACCTGTACTTTCTACTTCTTACATGTTGAACACAAATACCTGTACTTTCTACTTCTTACATGTTGAACTCAAATACCTGTACTTTCTACTTCTTACATGTTGAACTCAAATACCTGTACTTTCTACTTCTTACATGTTGAACACAAATACCTGTACTTTCTACTTCTTACATGTTGAACACAAATACCTGTACTTTCTACTTCTTACATGTTGAACTCAAATACCTGTACTTTCTACTTCTTACATGTTGAACACAAATACCTGTACTTTCTACTTCTTACATGTTGAACTCAAATACCTGTACTTTCTACTTCTCACATGTTGAACACAAACACCTGTACTTTCTACTTCTTACATGTTGAACACAAATACCTGTACTTTCTACTTCTTACATGTTGAACTCAAATACTTGTACTTTCTACTTCTCACATGTTGAACTCAAATACCTGTACTTTCTACTTCTTACATGTTGAACTCAAATACCTGTACTTTCTACTTCTTACATGTTGAACACAAATACCTGAACTTTCTACTTCTTACATGTTGAACACAAATACCTGTACTTTCTACTTCTTACATGTTGAACTCAAATACCTGTACTTTCTACTTCTTACATGTTGAACTCAAATACCTGTACTTCTACTTCTTACATGTTGAACACAAATACCTGAACTTTCTACTTCTTACATGTTGAACACAAATACCTGTACTTTCTACTTCTTACATGTTGAACTCAAATACCTGTACTTTCTACTTCTCACATGTTGAACTCAAATACTTGAACTTTCTACTTCTCACATGTTGAACACAAATACCTGAACTTTCTACTTCTTACATGTTGAACACAAATACCTGTACTTTCTACTTCTTACATGTTGAACACAAATACCTGTACTTTCTACTTCTTACATGTTGAACTCAAATACCTGTACTTTCTACTTCTTACATGTTGAACACAAATACCTGTACTTTCTACTTCTTACATGTTGAACTCAAATACCTGTACTTTCTACTTCTTACATGTTGAACACAAATACCTGTACTTTCTACTTCTCACATGTTGAACTCAAATACCTGTACTTTCTACTTCTTACATGTTGAACTCAAATACCTGAACTTTCTACTTCTTACATGTTGAACTCAAATACCTGTACTTTCTACTTCTCTCATTTTCCAAACAGCTGGTTCCTTTAGTCTGAATGTGTGTTTGATGCGTGATCATTATTCTTTAGAGTCATTGCGTGCCTATTGATTTGAACACGATCCGTGTATCCATCATTTCCTGCTCTTCTCTAAAGAAGAGGGACCAATGGAAACGTTGTCATGTTGCCGTTGTTCAGCATGGAAACATTCATTAGCTAACAATGACATTATTGTTCTATTAATATAAAGGGAGGTCAGGTACTCTTTAAAACAGCTGCTAGTTATGGGTACTTTTTACTGAAGTACACTTCAAAGCCTCTTTACTTTCACTTGAGTAAAGAAGTTTAGTCAGCACTTCTACTTTCACCAGAGTATTTTTAAACACGAGTATCTGTACTTCTACTTGAGTAAAGGATGTGAGTACTTTTGCCATCTCTGGATACATTACAGTTTACTCATTGATATCATCATTAATGCTGCAAGCTGGTATCTTTGTGTAATGTTGGCTTTCAACCATAAGCTATTAAACAAGCATATGATCCACTGTAACACTCTGCTCCACAAAGCAGCCTCACATACGAGACCAATACTGAATACTAGTGTGTTAAAATGTCACAGTGATATCCAAATATAATCAAGTAGCTCCGGGGAGGAAAACCGATATGACAGAGATTCAGAAAATGGAGGATACTTTTATCTTAAAAGGGACATGTTTCTTTCTCCAATTATTGTATTTTCTTTTGTATTTATGTTTCTTGTAATGTTCCCTTTAACCTACTTGGATTCTGAGTCTGATTAACCACCTGAGGAGGAAAGAACACTCAGATGATGATGTTCAAGTATTTTCAGCTAAATGTACTTCAATTATCAAAGTACAGGTTTGCAGAGTGTTTTTTCACGGTATTATAGAATATTATTCCGTTTTTATCACAAACAAACACATTTAAATTTCTTTCAATGTTGTCATTTCAGCCAGTTCAAATACATGGTAATATACCTGGTGAATTAGTACAGCAACATACTGTATTATATCAGCATGTCTTATGTGTGCAAAGTAGCTAACTATTAGTGTTAAATAATAAAAACGTACATTATTTGCCTCCAGAAAAGTAGTGGAGGAAGTGTAATCATGTGAAATAAGGTACAAGTACGTCAAGAGAGTACCTTAGTAGAATACTTAAGTAAATGTGTTACTTAGTTTTACTAAAACTATTGTGAGCTTTATAGTAGGATACTAGGTACGACTATTTTATAGTGGGTTACTAGGTACGACTATTTTATAGTGGGTTACTAGGTACGACTATTTTATAGTGGGTTACTAGGTACGACTATTTTATAGTGGGTTACAAGGTACGACTATTTTATAGTGGGTTACTAGGTACGACTATTTTATAGTGGGTTACTAGGTACGACTATTTTATAGTGGGTTACTAGGTACGACTATTTTATAGTGGGTACTAGGTACGACTATTTATAGTGGGTTACAAGGTACGACTATTTTATAGTGGGTTACAAGGTACGACTATTTTATAGTGGGTTACTAGGTACGACTATTTTATAGTGGGTTACTAGGTACGACTATTTTATAGTGGGTTACAAGGTACGACTATTTTATAGTGGGTTACTAGGTACGACTATTTTATAGTGGGTTACTAGGTACGACTATTTTATAGTGGGTTACTAGGTACGACTATTTTATAGTGGGTTACTAGGTACGACTGGGTATTTTCTTAGTTTTGGGGAAAACGTTGACAGGTCCGTTTTGGTTTCAAACCCCTGGTTCGCGGAAGGATACCAAAAAAGTCCTAGAAAGACACACGTAAACTTAGCTAAAGTACTTTTAAATGGTTTGTGGGTCAAACTAGAGGCCAGTTTTATTAGTTTCGGAAAAAACTAAAGGATCTTATAATTCGAGGACTATAGGGTACATTTTCTTAGTTTTACTAAAACTATTGTGAGCTTTATAGTAGGATACAAGGTACGACTATTTTATAGTGGGTTACAAGGTACGACTGGGTATTTTCTTAGTTTTGGGGAAAACGTTGACAGTCTTTTAATGTTTCTTTTACTATCATTTCTTTTTAATGACTGTTTTTAAAAGCCTTTGTCTGAAAGTCTTTCATTTTTGTAAAGCACCTTGAATTGCCTTGTATTGAAAGGTGCTATATAAATAAACTTGCCTTGCCTTACTTCCCCCCCTGACACACACCCCTCTCTTGTTCGCAGTGTGTCCCAGCGGACACTTTGGGAAGAACTGTGCGTGGCGCTGCAGCTGCACCAACAACGGCACGTGTAACCCCATCGATGGATCCTGCCAGTGCTACCCCGGGTGGATCGGCAGCGACTGCTCCCAACGTGCGTTCACACAAACGATTAGATTAGATTCCTTTATTGTCACTACACAGAGTACAGCGAAATTCCAAACATTCCCAATGGTGCAATCACACATAACAGACAGTATAAGTATCATTTTGACAATACAAGCTCAAAACTGTGCCTATAAATTGGACCTATGATACATTGAACATTACGCTTACAAAACATTACAACATTACCATACAAATACAAGAGCAATATGGTCAAGGCAGTACAAAATGTAAACAAGTCAATAAGTAAGTTATTGTACATGTATTTATCAGTGCAGTTGATCCATAAGATACACGATGTTATGATCAAACGTTACTAAGATTCAACATTGAAAGGCTTTATTGTCCTTTGCACAGGAGCTACAGTGTACACTATGCTGTGAAATACGAGTTTCTTCAGGGAATGGTTTGTTCTTTTCGCAAAAAAAAGTTAGGCTTTGGAAAAAGAACTTAAAAGTGGATTGATGAAAGATTTTCTGTTTCAATATTTTTTATTTTTAACAGTCATAAGATGATACAAAATAAAGACTTACACTTGAAACAAATCATACCCAATAAATAATTAAAAGAATAGACATCGACAAAAAAAGGGTGAGCAGCAGGAGTAGACCCAACGTTCATAACAGGTGGGGTCTTCATCCAACCATTTCTGTACTTGTGAGGTGTGCCTGTGTCTGCTTTCTTGATTAGAGTCGAAACCAAGAACAAAATATATGAATTACGAGATATATCTATATCCCAAATACTGTCTTAATATCTCTTTGAAGAGATACAATGTTACGGTATATACACAGAGTCCCACAGAATGTTCCCATTACAAGCATAGTGTAATTTACATTATAAAACGGACAAGTCAAATCAAGCAATCTGATTCGTTCTTAGCCGTGATATAATGAGCGTATACCACGGGTAGAATTGTAGTTACTTTTCACAACAAGTCAGTATCCCTCCGCGTCTGAGAAAAGCTACAACTGTTACATTACGTCCGTTACGAAACCAACTAACTAACAAAGCTTAAGATGGAAACATGGAAGGGATAATGTGCAGCAAGGACTTATTGACCGTTGTTAAGGACGCTCACATCTGCAGAAAGAAGTCCGGTCGATTTAACTGTATACAGTTGGGCTGAAAAGCAAACGCGTCGGGCCGACAGTCGGGCCCCTTAGCTGTGATATAATGAGCTTATACCACGGCCTGTCGTGAGCTATTGCTTAATTATTTTATTTAATATTCTGTTCTTGTACATATCCCATATTCTATTGACATGTATATAGACTTTTTGCACTACTTTGTATTTTGTATTTTTGTATTTGACTATATATGTTGCATTGTTGCTCAGGTCAGAAGAATTGCATTGCTATTTCTACACTGTAGCTCATGTGCATATGACAATAAAACCTTTGCATCTAGTGGACATGAAGGCTGAATATCTGAAGCACTGACCCGTTGTGTTCTCTGTGTTTCAGCGTGTCCTCCCAGTCAGTGGGGGCCAAACTGCTTCCACACCTGCAACTGTCACAACGGAGCGTACTGCAGCGCGTACGACGGAGAGTGCAAGTGCACCCTGGGGTGGACCGGCCTATACTGCACACAGCGTCAGTAACACACACACACACTTACACACACACACACGCATACACACTAGGGGTGGGAATCACCGGACTCCCCATGATACGATACTATCGCGATACTTAAGCCACGATACGATAGTATTGCGATTCCACGATATGCTTTGACATGACTTGACTTCTCACATGTTGAACACAAATACCTGTACTTTCTACTTGTTACATTTTGAACACAAATACCTGTACTTTCTACTTCTTACATGTTGAACTCAAATACCTGTACTTTCTACTTATCTAATATAAAGGGAGGTCAGGTACTCTTTAAAACAGCTGCTAGTTATGGGTACTTTTTAGTGAAGTACATTTCAAAGCCTCTTTACTTTGACTTGAGTAAAGAAGTTTAGTCAGTACTTCTACTTTCACCAGAGTATTTTTAAACACGAGTATCTGTACTTCTACTTGAGTAAAGGATGTGTGGACTTTTGCCCTCTCTGTCTGCTCAACAACCTGCATTTCAGTTATGTGACATTACGGTTTGTGCTTACAGGCTGTCCGTTGGGCTTCTACGGTAAGGACTGTTCTCAGATCTGCCAGTGCAGGAACGGAGCGGACTGTGATCACATCTCTGGACTCTGCACCTGTCGCACCGGATTCATGGGACGCCACTGTGAACAGAGTATGTGCTTCTTTCTCTCTTTCAGATTAGTTGAGTGTTGCTTAACTTTAACAGTCTTGTGTACTTCATTTATCAACTTGTTGCTTACACTTTAGAATCAGAATCAGACACGGGTTTATCACCGGGTAGGATGACACGTACGAGGAATTTGACTTGATGTCATGGTGACAGTAAAACTAATTTCAAAACGCAGATAGAGAACTATTTTAAGAAAACTATAATAACATTAAAAAATAATACAAAAAATATATATTTAGTAAAAGCAGTATTTACATAGCTATAGAATGGAATAAAATATGTGCAGTAATAAAAGAAAACTGATATTGTGTACATTGAGTGCATTAATGTAATGCATAGAGTCTATAATGTGGCTGAGGTCAAGTGTCAAGGCAAGTTTATTTATACAGCAACTTTCAACAAGGCAATTCAAAGTGCTTTACAAAAATGAAAGACATTAAGAAACATTTTATAAAATGGCATTTAAAAACACTAGTACATTAATTAAAGTGACAGTGCAGTGTGAGATACACATATCTTAAATGTTTAGCTCTGACTCTCAGTCATTGCTCACTTTTTAGCAGAAATAGTTTTCTATGACCTCACTTTCTTTCTACTTTCTTTTTTAACTTGTCCTTTAGTTCTTTCAAGTGGTTCACGCTAAACGAACCCCCTTTGGAACATTTTAATCTGCAACCCAATATTCTGAAAATTAAACGGATCCTGGCCGTATTTGTGTAGCATATAAAATTAATTTGCTCCCAGACATTCATGTTCAACCTTCCTAAATTCTCCCACACCACTCCGCTCCTCCGCTCCCTCCACTGGCTTCCAGTAACTGCTAGAATCCACTTCAAGACACTGGTACTTGCTTACCATGCTGCGAATGGATCTGGCCCTTCCTACATCCAGGACATGGTTAAACCGTACACCCCAGCGCGTGCACTACGCTCTGCATCAGCCAAACGACTCGCTGCACCCTCGCTGCGAGGGGGACCCAAGTTCCCATCAGCAAAAACACGTGGGTTTGCTGTCCTGGCTCCAAGATGGTGGAATGAGCTCCCCATTGACATCAGGCAGCTGATAGCTTACACACCTTCCGGCGCAAACTGAAAACTCATCTCTTTCGACTCCACTTCGAGCGTTAGAACGATTAACGAAGCACTTTTATACTAATAAAGGACTGGCTTACCTAAAGCCAGTTGAGTAGCACTTGAAATGTTTGGTTCTATGAAACCTGATGCACTTATATGATTCTGTTTTCTTCAAGGTTGTGTCTTCCTGGTCGAATGTACTTATTGTAAGTCGCTTTGGATAAAAGCGTAAACTAAATGTAATGTAATGTAATGTAATGTAATGTGGCTTGCTAGCTTTGGACCCTATCTGTAGTCAAAGTCAAGTCAAGTCCCCACTTAAGGTCCTTGGTGGGGCCGGGCTTTGTTGATGAGACCGGTAGCGGAGGGGAAGAAACTGTTCAGGTGGCGAGAGGTTTTTAGGTATCTACATCTCAACTATCATCAGCTCTTGTAAACTATTGTACACTACTCTTAAGCTTACATTTTAAAAATTAAACTTGTTATTTGCAGAGTGTCCTGCTGGGTCGTACGGTTACGGCTGCCGTCAGGTGTGTGACTGTCTGAATAACTCCACGTGTGATCACATGACCGGAACATGTTACTGCAACCCGGGCTGGAAGGGGCCTCGCTGTGACCAAGGTGAGGAAACACTTTAAAAATAATAAGAGGAAGGAGACTCAGTTAATCAGTTTCCTTTGATGTCCAATCATTCACACTCATCTCCCTTCGACCAGAGATGGCAAAAGTACACACATCCTTTACTCAAGTAGAAGTACAGATACTCGTGTTTAAAAATACTAGTAGAAGTACTGACTAAACTTCTTTACTCAAGTCAAAGTAAAGAGGCTTTGAAATGTACTTCAGTAAAAAGTACCCATAACTAGCAGCTGTTTTAAAGAGTACCTGACCTCCCTTTATATCAATAGAACAATAATGTCATTGTTAGCTAATGAATGTTTCCATGCTGAACAACGGCAACATGACAACGTTTCCATTGGTCCCTCTTCTTTAGAGAAGACCAGGAAATGATGGATACACGGATCGTGTTCAAATCAATAGGCACGCAATGACTCTAAATAATAATGATCACGCATCAAACACACATTCAGACTAAAGGAACCAGCTGTTTGGAAAATGAGAGAAGTAGAAAGTACAGGTATTTGAGTTCAACATGTAAGAAGTAGAAAGTACAGGTATTTGAGTTCAACATGTAAGAAGTAGAAAGTACAGGTATTTGAGTTCAACATGTAAGATGTAGAAAGTACAGGTATTTGTGTTCAACATGTGAGAAGTAGAAAGTACAGGTATTTGAGTTCAACATGTGAGAAGTAGAAAGTACAGGTATTTGAGTTCAACATGTGAGAAGTAGAAAGTACAGGTATTTGAGTTCAACATGTAAGATGTAGAAAGTACAGGTATTTGAGTTCAACATGTAAGAAGTCAAAGTAAAAAGTCGTCAGATATAATAAGTAGTGGAGTAAAGTACTGATACCAGAAACATGTACTTAAGTACAGTAACGAAGTATTTGTACTCCACTACTTCCCACCTCTGCCTAAGTACTTTGTCCAGTGTTATTATTTGACCTCTGACCTCCTGTCTGCAGCTGGTGTGGTGGTGGGAAGCCTCAACAGTCTCACCAGCGCAGCCATGCAGGTGGACACGTATCAGATCGGAGCCATCGCAGGAATCATCGTCCTGGTGCTGCTGGTACTCTTCCTCCTCCTCCTCTTCATCATCTACAGGAAGAAGCAGAAGGTCAAAGAGCCCACCATGTCTGCGGTGACCTACACTCCTGCTCTGAGGGTCACTTCTGATTACACAGGTACATTTAGTGCAGTGTTTCTCAAACTTGTTCATACCAAGGACCACTTAACCAATAAAAAAACACTCGCGGACCACCTAACTCCACAAATATCCAAAATCACATCGTTTTTCTAGAACAGATTACAAATCGCCTGAAACTGGTACAAACAAGTGGCAACATGTGTGATGAAGGTGTTGCGCTGGGCTATGTCATGCAATATAATTGAAACTTAACCTCGCTCCATTGCGGAGATATTCCCGCGAGAGTGTGAAAAACTTAAATGTATTTATTTATTTCAAATGTGAAATTTTACCAATATACTCACGGACCACTAGAGGGCGCTCACGGACCACCAGTGGTTCTGAGGACCACACTTTGAGAAGCACTGCAGTAAATGATGCGTGACATGTCCAAGGCACCAGGCATCTGTTTCCTCGTGTTGGATCACCTCTTAAAAAATGTCTTGTTTTTCGGCTTGCAACACTATTTTTGGAAACGATCTAACAGATTGGCTTAATGGAGACCATGACATGTAGTTGTTTTATGGTTAATCCGTGGCAACTAAAATGTATTTACGGATTAACCAAACAAGTGCAAGTGGACAACATGAGCTGCTAATGGTTTTCTGATATTCATAGAGATTGTTTAGGGGTGGTTTTGATCCCCAGCCCCTTCAGTCAACATGTTGATATGTCCTTGGGCAACACACTGAACCCCAAGTTCCTCCCAAATTGTCCAACTGTGTGTGAGTGTTAGTTTCCCTGAGCAGGTGACAGCCTCTGCCTCTGTATGAATGTGTGTGAACGCTGACCTAAAGTGCTATGAGAGACTGGGAAATCACCATCTAAATGCAGTCCATTTACCATTTATTGATAAGACAACATGAAAAAGTTGGCCAAATACTTCGATATCTTCTCATTTTCAGTAACAAACATTCAACAGAGACACTTCCACTGCCAACAAAGGCATACTAGGGATACATTAGAATCAGAAACTGGTTTATTACCAGGTAGGTTGACACGTACGAGGAATTTGACTTGGTGCATACATAAAAAGTAAAACAAAAATGTAAAAAAAACACAGATAGAGAACTATTTTAAGAACACAACATAAAAAAATAAGAAAATATATTGTAAAATAAAACATTTAAATAAAGCAGTATTTACATTGAAATAGAATGGAATAAAATATGTGCAGTAAAAAGAACAGATATTGTCAACATTGTGTGCATTGACTGCTTGTAAGCAAATGCACACTTGATTCTTAAAATGCTTTTAATGCTCTGATTTCTTGTGACCTTGTCCTTTTTTCAGATGCTCACCCACCACCCTGTGAAGGTCATCCCAGCAGCTACTTCTCTAACCCCAGCTACCACACTCTGAGCCAGTGCATCGGCCCCCAGCACCTCAACAACGTACCATATGGACCGGTATGGGATTACAATTTGAGACTATATGGCTGGGCTTGTGTGTCTATAGCCGCATTTCGACTAGAGGTTTTAGCGCGGCTCGCCATGGCTCAGTTCGGCTCACTTTAAGCTGCGTTTCCATTACAACAAGCTTAGTAACTATAGTAACCACGAAGTGTAGGCGGGGCGATCGGCTGTTCGGCGGCCGTTGTGGTGCTTGTCGGCTCTATAATCACTCTTCAGTTTTTTTGTTTTTCTCTACACTGCTGGAAAGTCCTCGTGAAGCCGTGTGCGGCCAACAATTTAGAGAGCTCCTGGAACACTTTCTCGTTTCGCGTTGCGCCGTCGAGCTCCCGCTGTATTTTTTCAACCGCAACGAGATGGAGGAACGTCTGTACCTCGTACCTTGTTGAACTTAAAAATACTTTGTTGAAATTAGAAATACTTGTTGACGGTAGCTCATCTGTTTTAAAAATGGTGCTTGATACATGCGACGCTTGGGGACTGTCTCGCGCAATAATTGTGACGATTCTCTCTGACCAATCAGCTGTCGGGAGTGTTTTACGTCACTAGCTAAGCATATTTCCAGCTCACTTGGAACCTCGACTGAGATGGTTCTAAAAAAGTACCTGTGAGCCGGTACTACCCAAGCCCCCAGGAAGTGCGCCGGACTCTGATGAAAATATTCGTTGTGTCCAAACGCCGGTACTACAATTTCCGTATCAGTCCGTGACGTCACTGGGCCCAGAAAGACTTTTCCCCATTGACTAACATCGGGAAAGAGACGTCTGTAAATCAGCGGATATTTTTTTTAAACGAAATAAACGACCCAGTATGAACTATTTTATAGCCCTTATTATAATCATTAGGTCCTTAAAGTTGTAAAATGCACTAAAAGCCCAATCTAGATTTATTTTCTGTCTCCATTCATTCTAGTGAGCTGAGAGTGGGAGCTCTGGGGGCGGGGCTTAAGGGGCGCATGCTCTGTGAGCGCACATACGGGTTCTTCTGCTCTGACAGCCAGGCATGACGGGTAATAATCTGTGACGTTTCACTCTCTCAAAAGTTGGGCCATTTTGTCCTCATGCGCCAATGAGCAGCTCTCATAGGAACGAACGAGACCCCGCCTCCCACGCTGTATCCAGTTCTTATTATACATCCATGGTACTACCCCTAGTGGAAGAGCCGAGCCGCGCTAAAACCCTGTAGTGGAAATGCGCCTAATTATTTGATCTTAGAACAGCAACCTCAATTGGAATTTTTTTAAGTAAATTAAAGACATTTTTTTTTATTTGGCTTATAATTTGGGGCAAACGTAATTTTTTTGAAGCATCACTGTTCATGTTTTATTGTTTTAGTGATATAACTCTTTCCGCTTGTTTATACCTTGTTTTTCTTGTTCTTTAGGTTTTTATTAATTTATTTTCATACATAATGAAATAGTTTTCACCAATAATAATTTGTTTACAATAAAACATTTTAAATAGAAAGAAGACCCAACAGAACCCCCCCCCCCCCCCCCCCAAAGGAATGGCTCAAAGAGAGTCAACATCCTTAACAAAGACAGTCCAAAACATTTAAAGACATCACCTTTCAAAATCTTAGCTATCACATATTCAAAGGAGTCATATAGGAGTGGTCATAGGAGTCTGTCATAAGTTGAATCCATTCCTTTAGTTATGGTTTTCTTGCTGTTTTCCAATTGCGCAGAATATACCTTGTTTTTAATGATGTTCCTCATTTGTTATTGTCATTTTCTGTCATTGCCACTTTGGGCTGTGTCAAGCATGAAAGGTGCTATATAAATACAGTTTATTATTATTATTAATACATACATTTTCTCACTGATGTTTGTCTCTTAACTTCTCAGGTCAAGAACCACCAGCTGTTTGTGAACTTGAAGAACGTAGAGCAGAGGAAACGGCCGATGGCGGGGCACAGTGGCACGCTGCCTGCAGACTTTAAACAGCAGGATTGCTTCAATGAACTCGGTGAGACATGTGATACTTTCAGAGGTGGGAAGTAGTGGAGTACAAATACTGCGTTACTGTACTCAAGTACATGTTTCTGGTATCAGTACTTTACTCCACTACTTATTTTTCTGACGGCTTTTTACTTTTACTTCTTACATGTTGAACTCAAATACCTGAACTTTCTACTTCTTACATGTTGAACTCAAATACCTGAACTTTCTACTTCTTACATGTTGAACTCAAATACCTGTACTTTCTACTTCTTACATGTTGAACACAAATACCTGAACTTTCTACTTCTTACATGTTGAACTCAAATACCTGAACTTTCTACTTCTTACATGTTGAACTCAAATACCTGTACTTTCTACTTCTTACATGTTGAACACAAATACCTGTACTTTCTACTTCTTACATGTTGAACACAAATACCTGTACTTTCTACTTCTTACATGTTGAACTCAAATACCTGTACTTTCTACTTCTTACATGTTGAACTCAAATACCTGTACTTTCTACTTCTTACATGTTGAACCCAAATACCTGTACTTTCTACTTCTTACATGTTGAAACCAAAATACCTGTACTTTCTACTTCTTACATGTTGAACCCAAATACCTGTACTTTCTACTTCTTACATGTTGAACTCAAATACCTTTTATCTTACATGTTGAACACAAACACCTGTACTTTCTACTTCTTACATGTTGAACACAAATACCTGTACTTTCTACTTCTTACATGTTGAACTCAAATACCTGTACTTTCTACTTCTTACATGTTGAACACAAATACCTGTACTTTCTACTTCTTACATGTTGAACTCAAATACCTGTACTTTCTACTTCTTACATGTTGAACACAAATACCTGTACTTTCTACTTCTTACATGTTGAACTCAAATACCTGTACTTTCTACTTCTTACATGTTGAACTCAAATACCTGTACTTTCAACTTCTCACATGTTGAACACAAATACCTGTACTTTCTACTTCTTACATGTTGAACACAAATACCTGTACTTTCTACTTCTCACATGTTGAACACAAATACCTGTACTTTCTACTTCTTACATGTTGAACTCAAATACCTGTACTTTCTACTTCTCTCATTTCCCAAACAGCTGGTTCCTTTAGTCTGAATGTGTGTTTGATGCGTGATCATTATTCTTTAGAGTCATTGCGTGCCTATTGATTTGAACACGATCCGTGTATCCATCATTTCCTGGTCTTCTCTAAAGAAGAGGGACCAATGGAAACGTTGTCATGTTGCCGTTGTTCAGCATGGAAACATTCATTAGCTAACAATGACATTATTGTTCTATTAATATAAAGGGAGGTCAGGTACTCTATAAAGCAGCTGCTAGATATGGGTACTTTTTACTGAAGTACATTTCAAAGCCTCTTTACTTTGACTTGAGTAAAGAAGTTTAGTCAGTACTTCTACTTTCACCAGAGTATTTTTAAACACGAGTATCTGTACTTCTACTTGAGTAAAGGATGTGAGTACTTTTGCATCTCTGGAGGATACGTTAGTTTACTCATTGATATCATCATTAATGCTGCAAGCTGGTATCTTTGTGTAATGTTGCCTTTTATCCATAATGAGCCTCTACCACATTGTATATCATCGTGTCTGCAATGGTATTCCAAAAGTAGAAAACTACAGCACAGAAAAGTCTACATTTAAATGTGATGCCAATAATGTGACTGTCCTCTTTAATCAAGTGCTGCATTCGACGCAAGTAATTACAGCATTATAATCAATGGAAAATGTGGGTCAATCCAGTGTGTTTATTGACTGGTTAGATCATACTTTACAAGAAGAGGGCTTTCTAGTTCATATACTTTGTCATCATAGACACTTGATATCCCAAATATTGTTTAGACCATTCAATGACTTTCCATTTGTCTTCCTACCAGGAGCCTACGGAGTTGACAGGAGATACATGGGGAAATCTTTACGAGGTAAGTCCTGCTGCCCCTTCTGCTTGGAATAATATACAGAAGGAGCTGAAACTGTCCGATTTGATCACTATGGGGGAATCCAAGTCCATCTTAAAAGGACAGAGAACAAGAAACCATTGGTCGATGTGATTGCTCTTATATCCCATAATTGAAGTCGTTTTAAAATTGTACCAGTTTTTAATCTTTTATAATGGTTTCGTTTATTTGCATATTGACTGGTTAATGTGCCATTTCATTTGTGTTTTACGAACGTCTGCCTGTATTGTGTTGTGTTCATTTGTTGTAACTTTGTTCATGCTGCCCTTCTTGACCAGGTCGCTCTTGAAAAATAGATTTTAATCTCAATGAGACTTTTTCCTGGTTAAATAAACGATATATATTATTATATATATATATGCAGTCAAATGAATAAATCCTGGACTGCTCAGGTTAATGCTGGAGTTCCCCTCTCACTGTCACCGTCTCCTCTACTCATGTCCTCCAGATCTGAAGGGCACAATGTATCACGCCAGCTCCTGCTCCATCAACAGCTCTGAAAACCCGTACGCCACCATCAAGGACCCCCCGCTGCTCACAGCCAAAAACACAGAGTGTGGCTACGTGGAGATGAAGTCTCCGCCCAGACGAGATTCACCCTACGCTGAGATCAGCAACAGCCCAACTCATAAACGCAACGTCTACGAAGTTGGTGAGGGGCTTAAAGGTCACCTATTATGCAAAATCAAATGTTTCATGTCTCTTCTACATCAACATGTGTTCTCTCTGTGAAAGAGATTCTGAAAGTTTCAGTCCAGATCCATTTCTATAAAAACCTGTCTGAAAATGAGCTGATCAGATTTTTGCCACTTTATGATGTCATAACGATTTTTTGGCTTGTGTAACCATTAGCCAATCAGCAACCAAGGTAACCCCCCCCCCCCCCCCACCACCACCACCTTATCACCTGACTCGTGGGGCATGGCTCCTTAGTTTCATCTAAAGTAACAGACAGAGAATCAGCACTTTGGAAACAGGGCTGAAGCAGAGGGGATTATGGGATGCTGGGATTTTGCCGTTGTTCAGCATGGAAACATTCATTAGCTAACAATGACATTATTGTTCTATTAATATAAAGGGAGGTCAGGTACTCTTTAAAACAGCTGCTAGTTATGGGTACTTTTTACTTGAGTAAATTTCGAAGCCCATACTTCTTTACTTTTACTTGAGTAAAGAAGTTTAGTCAGTACTTCTACTTTCACCAGAGTATTTTTAAACACGAGTATCTGTACTTCTACTTGAGTAAAGGATGTGTGTACTTTTGACATCTCTGAAAATAACCTCGCCTATCCTTGATTTCAGATCCGTCTGTAAGCACCATCCCGATGCCTGGAGACAGCAACGGACACGTACTGTTTGGTCAAGATCTCTACGATCTACCGAAGAACAGCCACATCCCGTCTCACTACGACCTCCTGCCGGCCAGAGAAAGCCCCCCCCTAGACCCCAAAGAACTGGAAAGTGAATGATTTCTCAGAGACTCAGTAGAGATCAGCTCTCACTGTACACCCACAACGTACTTTCACTTGTTTTCTTGTCGTTTTTACTTCGACACTATCATTGTAGATGTGTATCCTGAAGTTTTTCTGAACGAAAGTGGGTTATGGAGGTTAGTTTTGAGGTACAGCTGTTGTTTTTTACAGCAATTTATAAACTGCGATAAAGTCTTCGTAGGTCATTCCACATGTCTGGGAAGTAAGGTCTACGTATGCTCTGACTCAAGCAGTTCGTATGATGTGTTGTCTCATCCATGGTTTACGCAAAACTGTTTCTATCTGGTCCAAATGTTAAATCAAAGGCGGACTGAAATGCCTTTGAGTCTGACTTTCTGTCTCCAACAACTCGGTCTTCCGCTTGTCTTCACGCGACAAATTGTACAAATGAACACACATCGTTGAATCGTTGTGGTGTTGAACATACAACGACCTTTCCATTCGCCCGCACAATGTCTACACCGCGTGGCGTAAAAGTGGGCGTGATTGTTAGGAAAAGTTACAGGAATTGCGGCTTTCTGATACCGTTAAATCATCTTTGTTTCAAGTATGCCTTTATGATGTTTACATATAACATTCAATAACTGTCAAATCTTTATTTTTGTAACAAAATAATTCGCTAATGTTATTCCATATTAGCAACTTGTATCAAAGATTAGATGTTTGTTGAAGTTTTGTGAGGAGGAGTAGTAGCGTCAAGCTGCTGAGAGTGTTTGAACTTAGTACTTAAGTTAACCAAAGGTCCATTCAGTTTCATCCAAGAGGTTCAGAGCTGAGTCTCTTCTCACACCATACAGAATCTTACATAACAAATATCATTCATACAGCTCAGTGATGATTATCTGCCATTCCCAGTAGCTCTTTTGGGGCAGGATGTTCATCTGACCAGTCGAACGATACATGTTGGGCTCGCTGTACTGCACAGATTTGTTATTTGTTTTCAAGATTGATTTGTTATTTGCAGTTTATTCTTTATCATTATAAAGGGTGTGGCTAGTTTCAGATCAGAACAGTGATAACTGGATTGTAAACACTAATGCAGTGCATGCATTTCGACCATAGTGTTTTATCAAATCAACGATCGCCATTGTTAGCTAGTTAGTTAATGGCGCTTTTCCACTGCAGGGCCTCGCTCGGCTTAGTACGGTACAGTTAGGCCTCGGTAGGCCAGGCTCACTTTATGCTGCGTTTCCATTACAGTTTAGGAACTGGGCCAGTAACTATAGTAACGCAGTGTAGGCGGAGCCGTGACGTCATCTTCAATGCGAACACAAAACCAACATCAGCCGTTAGCTCTTAGCACTCAGAGCTCACAGCTCCTCATATCTGTTCAGAAACTAGACAGAAAGTTAAACAAGTACAAACCACAGACTGCCTGTGTCATGGCGAATACAGTCGCTGGTTTATTTATGTCTGTAGGCCATTGTTGTGAGTGTGGACGGTCGGAGCAGATACAACGTTAGCTTAGCCAATCTCCATTCAGAAAACACGCATTTTAAAAGGTTTTTCGTCTGCCGTCTGTCTGCAGACTTGTCAAAGCATTAATTCATGGTTTTTACTAACCGGTATCAGTATGTTGTTACTTCGGCATCATTTTGAAACCTGTATTACAATTAAATCACGGTAAAATGTGTTCATTGTGTTGTAGTTGTCAGGGATTCTCTCACTAGTTTAGTATACTCAGCCCGGTTGTTGGCCCGGAAAGAACCTCGATTTTGGAGAGCCAGAAAACTGTGAAAAAGCACCCGCTAGCCAGAACTAGCCCTAGTGGAAACGCAACCAAAAACGGGCACGGCACGCTTAAACCGCACTGTAGTGGAAATGCGCCATAAGTGGTACCAAATCATTACAAACTGCTAACTTACTGTAACCCTATAAAATAAACGACGGCTTCTTTTTGACAATCGTATTGTGGTATGTTTCTTAAATAGTGAAAAAACCCACAAGTATAACTTTTATTTGCATATTTCTGTGTTTCTGGTCACGTATGAAACGTAGCTAAGATAGCGGTCGTCGAGTGTGAGAAGAGTCCAGCATTTTAACACTCTGACCGTGATGAGTAGCAGGTACTATAGTGCTCTGCATTTTGCTATTCTTTGCATTGGTATGAACTTATGCACTCAAAGCAGCAAATGTAAGTAAAGAAGTAGTTAATAAGTTAAGACACATCTTCTGTTTACTTGCAGGTGATAATAACATCTGCTTAAACTAAAAAGCTACAGCAAGACACGGCACATTTTTATTTCCTGAATATCAACACTTCACATTGGTACTTGTGTAAAGTCTTGACACTGAATTGGTTAATGGTCCCATTCAAAAGAAGTTGCATATATCCTAATCTGTTCTGAAGACATCATTCTGGAAATAAGTTAAACGCTTTATCTGTTGTTTTTGTTTCTGTGCTTATTGTTTTGACATCCTAAATAACTTGAATGGAAGCTAATATTCACACTGACCAAAAACCTTGGGACACAGTTCTTAAACTTGTTTTCACTTAGTTTCATCAATAATATGGGATATGCAACAATACGGCAACTTTTACTGACAGATGTTGACAATCGATAGCCCGGTGCTTCCTCTCATCTCCACTTTAACCGTGTGAGGCTTAGTCCTGTCGATCCGCTGCATTTACCAAACTGGGACAAAGAAGTAAGAAGGATGGACTTTCTCTCTTATTTATGTGAAGATGTTTATTGCTGATGAAGATCCAATGCATTAGCGCCACGTCGTGTGTCGCTAATGCATAACGTGGGAGGCGTCTGTGTGTTTTTTTACAGCAGGATTGTTCCCTGTAAGATACTGTACCCCTACATACAGTATACCAGTTGTTGTGTTCCCCTCCTGTGTGCATGAAACCTTGCTTTATTATTTGAATGCTATCTAGCCGTCTGGTCTGACTCTTGCTTCGTCTAAATTGCCTTCTTGAACCAAATACTAACGAGGGCTTGCTCTTCTTTTCGGTCGTTCAGCTCCGTGCAGTAGTAAAATGGAGGTTAACCACACTCGTGCTCGACCAATCCTAGTTGACGGCACTGCTGGTAACCTTTTAGAGTTCCTGAACCTTGCATTTAGTGTCATCTTCTGAGCAGTGCTCGGCTGTTTCACAATGCTCCTTACAGATGTGCTTACTGTTGCTTCTCCAATCTTTATTGACAGCACTGCCGACAATCCCTGTTTTTCCTTCCAATTAAAGCCCAAACTAGTCCCCAAAAAAGCAGGCAAACACAGTAAAGTAACAATGAAGGAAATAAGTGACTATTTTTGTTTCTGCGCTGGTAAGCAGCTACTTGTAATTCCCCTCAATCATTAAGATGTATGACTTGGTGGCGAGAGTTTCCCCCAGTGATCATTTGAAAACTGAATTTCACAATGACATCTTTGTCTCGTACCATATTATCAAACATACATACCACCAAATAACTCAGTCCTCTGTACAATAAGACCTAACACAGTTTCCAATCTATATCACTGTGTAATTAAAGGGCTAAACGTGTCTAATGAAAAGAAAGCTTAAGCTGGACTTTGGTTTTTTTAAAAACATTTTCTTTCCTGTATTCTGAATTGCCTAAAATGTCAACTCGTCTTAAGCCACTCTGAGCTTATTTGAAATGTTTGTAAAATAATGTATATAATTTGATCAGTTCTGTGTAAATCTTCACCCAGCGTCTTACAGTATGTCTACAATTGAAAATGCAATACATGTTTGGTTTAGTACAAAACAACGATTATGAACTGATGTTGGATTTCCTTTGTAATCTTCTCCTTTCCTAGTCTGCCGGAGTACTGTGTATTTAAATGACCACTGAAGATTGCTCTGAAAGGAATGTTTGATCTGTTTCTTGACTCTTAATTGGTTTCCCCCAATGAGGTGACAATGATTTCGGCACATGGGGGTTCGATTACGCTTTTTGTGTTTTGATTTTTTCCATTATAGTGCTTTTTGTGCAAATGCTTTGGAATAAAATGACATATGATATAAAAAAATGTGGTGTCTTGTGAAATCCGTGACGCAGCAGGATGAACAGCCTGACTAATGGCAGAATCCACTTGTATATGCAGAAGATACAGTTCTTTACTTTTGAGCTACAACAACAGGGATGTCAGCAGGCTTTGATCAAGCGAATAGCCCAAAGAAACTTCAGCAGATATTTCAACCATGCAATCTCCCTTCCGATGTGGTATATTGTCATTATATAAGGCAAGCCGTGAATTTTATACCTAGGCCCTCTGACCCCCACCCCTTCCCTCGAGATTACGTCACAGCGTATACTTCAACGGAATATCAAAACAACGGCCCGGGGTGCAAAACGCATCAATGACAGCGACCCTCTACCACACAAAACAACACCTGTAAATAACCCTATTTGTGTTCTTTGAAATTGAAAAGGATATTGCATTGTGTGTGTTACTTTCGTTGCAGTTGTATGTCTTAAGTGTAATTTGGCATGCTTTTATTTTGAAGGCGAGTTAACGCTGTTGACAGGAAGTTGTTGTTGCTATGGAAACAAGAAAAGTTTCACAGCGGGCGGAACTTGTCATAAAGTCCGCGATAATAACACCCACCCATTTAGAGTGAAGATATGATTGGTCAATTGTACTGTCATTTGACATTACTCTCTCGTTCAGTTACTATAGCTGGCCCTCTGTGAATTCATAGCTGGACCGCCTGGACGTCCAACAGCTCCTCTCTTCACAGTAACTCGCAGAGACGAGCTTCTTTCATTTAACCCTTCACATTCCAACAGAAACTGAATAGGCAGATTTGAAGGATTTATTTCTTTGGAAATGTTATTTTAAATACAATTTTTTTTCAATGTTTTTAAATATTATTTTGTAGAATATCTTAGGCCCTCACAGAGGGCCTAGAGGGCCCTGACGGCTCGCCACTGAAGAACATTTGTATATGACAAAGTTAAAGTTCTGTGATAACTGCCCTATTTATCGGAACAAGGCTTCATTAAATCCTCCACAACAGCTATATAAACACTAAAAAACTGATTTTGACAATTTAAGCCAAGTCTGAAGGTCTCTCTTTAAAAAAGGTGTATCATTTGGTGTTCGGGGTCTGAATACTTCTATTTAAAAACACTAATTAAAGTGGATGTGAAATGGCCTCTCCATTCACACGAACACAGCTTTTTTATTCTGACATCTTACCGTAATGTCCAGTGTAAACACGCACAGCAGAACAGCGTGGAGGTACAGTGACCGCTCATTGGCTGTCACTGTGTGTGTGTGTGTGTGTGTGTGTGTGTGTGTGTGTGTGTGTGTGTGTGTGTGTGTGTGTGTGTGTGTGTGTGTGTGTGTGTGTGTGTGTGTGTGTGTGTGTGTGTGTGTGTGTGTGTGTGTGTGTGTGTGTGTGTGTGTGTGTGTGTGTGTGTGTGTGTGTGTGTGTGTGTGTGTGTGTGTGTGTGTGTGTGTGTGTGTGTGTGTGTGTGTGTGTGTGTGTGTGTGTGTGTGTGTGTGTGTTGCATAATGAGAGGGACAGTAGCTCTGCTACAAGTTTCCTGAAAACGGGCTCCTGTCTGTGCAGCCTGTTTTCTAAACTCTTGCAGCAGTTTCAGTGAAGGGTTCACGATGATACCGCTGTTGTTTAGCAGCGTTTTAGCAGGACTTTTAGCTCTGCTTCTCTACCAGAGGACGGTGTATCCCTTCTTCTGGGTGGATCTGATTTACTACCTCAAACTTCGGAGGTACGGGAAGTCTCTGCAGGCTCGTATGAAGTCAGGGATCATCACATACCTCGACTGTTTCCTCCACCAGGCGAGGAAGAACCCGAACAAACCCTTCATCATCTTCGAAAGCCAGACTCTGAGTTACCGGGATGTGGACCGGAGGAGTAACCGGATAGCGAACGCGTTCAGGGCGCACGGTTCTCCGGGACAAGGGGACATTGTGGCCATGTTGATGTGCAACGAACCGGACTTTATCTGTGTGTGGCTCGGTTTGTGCAAGTTGGGCTGTGAGGTGGCCTTTCTGAACAACAACATTAAGGCAAAGTCGCTGCTGCACTGCTTCAGGAGCTGCGGGGCCAAAACCCTGGTGGTGGGCGCAGGTACTGCACCTTCAAAACTACAACTGATTCAAGATTCAAGGCTTTTATTGTCATTTGTACATATGTGTAGATATGTCAATGAACATCTTAGGTCACAGGCTCCTCAACAGTGCAACAACAATAAAACAGATACAATAGTGCAAGTAAATACAATAACATAGAATAGAATAGAGATAGTGCAAGAATAGTCTAGTAATTGGAATATGATATATTAGATAAATGGAAGATGGAATGGAATAAACTGCTGGGAGAAGTAGATAGATAGATACTTTTGTTAAGACTTCATTAATCCAGATCTGTAAAATAACTAAAGGTATTAAATCCATGTAGTGGAGTAAAAGTACACCATTAGCCTCTGAAGTACCTACAAATTGCACGTGTACTTCACCTGTTGGGTTTATTTTGTATCTAGTCTACATTCAGAATCTCACTCGAGCAGAGGTGGGAACACACTTTCCAGTTTTCTCTTCCCAAAAACAATGGCTGTAACTCCAGTGAGGGCAATAGGTTATCAGGGGGGTTCATCTCTTATATCGCTTACTGTATATCGTATTGCTATCTGCCGGATGTTACAGTAACCCTTCAGGTGAGAGCCTCCTAAGGAGAAATGCTATCAGTGGTGCTGATAGTTAAGAGGGACTGAGCAAAGTACCAGCCGTAAAAACTCCCCTGCATTGGGATGGATGGAAATATCAGAACCAGAAGATTATACAGACCTTTCACCTGCTTTCTGTCTGTGTCATGGTGTGTGAATACCATAGGTGACTACTCATGTTGTCACGCACAGAAGAGCGAATAACAACGGAGTATAATGCAATGTGAAACAAAGCAAACCTCTGAGACGCTGGATGTCCCAACAACTCTATAAATTGGCAAATTTGTTCTTCTCCACTTTTTAAAAGTATACTTGTTATACAGTAAATGTTATCGTGTAGTTTCCAGCTCATAGAGTCCTATAGTGAACCCAGAAATGTTGAGTACCCCAAAGTGTTATGATAGAAAATGTATAGTAAGGGTCCCAAGCAAATAGACACTGCCGTATGCTGACTTGTATATTGTGCAATTTGAACAATTAGCATTAATTAGGATTTAAGTAGTTAAAAAATTGCTTTGCAGATTTGGATAATTTTGGAGTGTTTTTGGAGGCTTTTGAGGATGCTGAGTCCATTTCTGACATTTTGGACCAGGAAATGGCCATATTTGTACTCCCGGTGGACTGATTTTGAGTCTATTCATTTGAAAGATAATTGTCCACTGTAGAGATAATAGTTTCCATCTTGTGCTCTCTATATCCAATGGTCGCAACACTACTGATAGTAGTCAAAATTAGCCTAAAGAAAGGGGTTCGGTTTGCAAACATGTCACCTCGTTTCAGAATGTGTGTCGCCGTGGAAAACAGGCGTGTGCAAGTCTCTTAAAAAAGACGGAGATTATTAGCTTCCCTCAATAATTTTCACCACAACACACAGATAATGGTTCTTCCAAAAATACCCTGTAGCCTGACAAATAGTAGGGAAATGTGTGTTAAAAAAAAGGAAGGCAGGCAATACAGTTTTAATGTTATCTGTCCCAAAGTGACGCCCCTGCTCCTAGATGATTACAGAGTGGATCCAACATGTCTGTCTTCAGTTCTGTGTGATGAATCATGTCCCGTTGTGTGTGTGTTGATCCAGATTTGGTGTGTTTGGTGGAGGAGGTGTTGCCCGACCTGAAGAAGGACAACATGGCGCTGTGGGTGGTGGATCACACGGCCCCCTCGGAGGAGTTCACCAGTCTACTCGATAAGGTGGAGAGCATGTCTGGAGAAAGCTCGAGTGACCTTCCTAAAGTGAACATCATGTCCAACTTCCTCTTCATCTTCACTTCAGGCACCACAGGTACTGCACAGCATGATACTCTTCACAAATCACTGTCACACTGCGCATAAAGCACATCTAAACTACTTGTCGCTGAGGCACCAGAAGGCAAATCTTACACCGGGAATAATGATCCAAGTCTAGGCAGGAGCGTTGTTTCATACATTTATTTTGATAATCCAAGATCAACAAAGTTACATTAAGAGTTATCCTTTAACTTCCGCTGTCTTTCCTCCTTGTGCTAACCACGGTAAAAAAATAACATTTGCCTAACCCTGGTGCGCTAATCCCACCACCACCTGTCTCAAATATGTAAATGGTTTTTAACAATCACCCACAATTTGGCCTTAATGATTAAATATGAAGAAATACTATAAACTTCAGCTGATTGTATCATATTGATTTATATGGATGCAGGGACATATTTTACCCAAGGCACTAAGGAAAGGAACATCTGTCTCAACAACCATGATGGATTTACATAAGCACGGTCCATGTATTCATGTCCGTTAGCATTTAGCTTAGCATCAGTCTCAGAGCAGCTGGCCTGGCTTAGTCTTGTTTTATAACAGCAATGCCATTCGATGTTGGGTTAAGGCACGGGAGATAGAAAAGCAAACCAAAGGAAATACAATAAACCTAAAAAGAAATGAAAAGCAGCTTCTGAGCCAAGACATTACAGGTCATCTGTTGTTTATTCCATCAGGGGTGTCCAAACTACGGCCCGCAGACCTTTTTTAATCAGCCCTCAGCGAATTAAAAAAGTATTAATGGAATATGGCCCTCAAATTGAGCTTGAGCTTGTCTTGTACTTCTTAAATAGGAATGTAAACATGTATTGCTGTAGTATTCATGTGTTAATAAAACCACTTAAATAAATCCAGTCAATTAAAGTTGGAAACTTTTTCTAACAAATCTTAGTTGATAAGAAAAAAGCCCAATGACTTATTTCCATAACAAGCTTGAAATAAACCCTTCATATTTCTCCTTATGATAATCAACCGGAGGCTTCTGCTTTAAGGGATGAGCTGCCAAAACTCACAAGCATCCTTTACCTACATTTGATTGATGTCGCTAACTTATAACTGAACTTATGAGGTGATATACCTCTAGTGAGCGGCCCAGCCCTATGTATATTTTTCTGTAGGTGGGCCTCGGTGAAAAAAGTTTGGACACCCCTGAGTTACATCCATTAAAACACTGTTTGAAGTGTTCTGAATACAACTGTGCTTGACTCCACCACGTTTCAGAGCAGCAATGGAGTCTCAAAACCAAATCCGTCATACACAAGATTTGAACTGAACCAGGGAAAACGCAGTTCAGTAACTCCTGCGTTTCTCTGCCAGGTCTCTCCAAGGCGGCCCGGGTGGGTCACCTGAAGGCCGTCCTCAGTATGGCTTTCTTTGAGATGTGTGGAGCCACGTCTGAGGACATCATCTACATCACTCTGCCTCTGTACCACATGTCTGCTTCCCTGCTGGGGATCGGAGGATGCATACAGCTCGGTGAGAGAAAGCCTTTTTGCCTTAAAAACACAATTCCTGGAAGAATGTTGTTTTGTTTTCAGTTCATTGTGAGGCTCAAAGCTGGAGGAAACAACATGACGACGGACATCCTTTTCATTGGACTATAAGGAATTCTCACTTCCTCACAAACAAAGCAGGGGAACATTCTTTTGTTTGTATTTTGAAGTAAAATATCTGTATGGAGTTTTGTGCAGATTTAACAAACACATTTTCACATTTCCTGGTTTTGGTTTTCTCATGACAGGAAATTACACTCCGCTCTTTTGTTACACATAAGAAAACAAACATAATCCCCCCACCCTCTGAAGAACTGGAACATTGGTTGTATGGAGTTTTTACACTACAGTACAGTCTCACACATCTCTGTCTCTCCTTTGGGTCTCAGGTGCGACGTGTGTTTTGAAGAAGAAGTTTTCCGCCAGTCAGTTTTGGAAGGACTGTGTGAAGCACGATGTGACGGTGGTGCAGTACATAGGAGAGCTCTGTCGATACCTCTGCAACCATCCCGCAGTAAGAACGTTAAAATAACACTTTCTGATAACCTCTGACTACAGGTGAATTCAAACCTTACTGATTGTTCTAGTTTCAACAGGGTGACGATCTGTATGTCGTTGTTTAGTTAAAGAAATGCTGCAGGAAAGCTTCGATTGTGACAAATGCTACAATCAAATCATTCGTAGATTTTTGTTATCCTGCTTATTGTACTTTGCTAATGGAACTGAAATCCCAACGCAGCCCCTTACCTCTGGTTTGTTGCATTAACCCGTAAAGGACAGAACGTCATCCAAAGTGTTCTTTAAGGGGTATTGCTCATCAATGAATATCTGCAGCACATGTTGATCAAAAACAGTCCGTCAGTAGATAGCCTTGTTGAAAGCTATTGTTTGCTTTTACGTTCTGACTTTTCCCTCAAAATTCTGACTTTTTCTCAAAATTCTGACTTTTTTCTCAAAATTCTGACTTTTTTTCTCAAAATTCTGACTTTTCCCTCAAAATTCTGACCAATTCTGACTTTTTTCTCAAAATCTCAAAATTCTGACTTTTTTCCTCAAAATGACTTTTTTTTTCTCTAAATCGAAAAATTATGACTTTTTTTCTCAATCAAAAAATTATGACTTTTTTCTCAAAATCTAAAAATTGTGACTTTTTTCTCAAAATCTTAAAATTATGACTTTTTTCTCAAAATCTAAAAATTGTGACTTTTTTCTCAAAATCAAAAAATTATGACTTTTTTCCCCAAATCAAAAAATTATGACTTTTTTCCTCAAATTATGACTTTTTTCCTCAAATTATGACTTTTTTCCTCGAAATTATGACTTTTTTCTCTAAATCAAAAAATTATGACTTTTTTCCTCAAATTATGACTTTTTTCCTCGAAATTATGACTTTTTTCTCAAAATCAAAAAATGACTTTTTTCTCTAAATCAAAAAATGACTTCTCAAAATCTCAAAATTATGACTTTTCTCTAAATCAAAAAATTATGACTTTTTTCTCTAAATCAAAAATGTATGACTTTTTTCTCAAAATCCAAAAATTCTAACTTTTTCTTAATGTCAATAATCACTGGTCCCCGGCTTGAGCTTCAATCTCAGGATCCATGTATCTGTGATCCTCTCCAGAATGGAAGTAGTCATCACATACAGAGCATCAGCTAGTTCCTGAGCAGTGTCCTTCACATGCTGATATCCAAGAGAGGGAGTTACACAGTCACAAGATGGAGGAATAGAAAGCAGTATTCAATGTTTACTTCAGATTAGCTCCACGTCAGAAATGAGCATGCTTGTCATATGTCTATCTCCATAGAGGCTGAATCATCATGTTAATCACATAGCTATCATATGCCTCAAACAGTCCTGATGCTCTTCCAGGTAATCACACATCCTGTCATGAACACAGCTACAGTTGGGATACCTTTGATATCATGTGGACTCTGATACTGGAAGAGAACATTCAGTATTTTCCCAACACTAAGCATTATTCCCACAAAGTAGGTCTGATGAAGTTAAATGTTCTCTTAAGAGTCCTCCTGCCTCCAGGTCCCAGAGGAGAGGGCTCACCGCGTCCGGCTGGCAGCAGGAAGTGGTCTCCGCTCAGACGTTTGGAGGCAGTTTGTGCAGCGATTCGGCAGCAGGATAAAGATCAGAGAAGGTTACGGCCTGACGGAGGCTGGCATCGGCTTCCTGAACTACACCGAGGAGGTCGGACCCATCGGCAGGGCGGGCTATTTCAACAAGGTCAGGAACAACAGCGGTAGAAATGTTTCCTCTGGACCCTATCACACTGACCTGCTTTATATGTTGTGTTTTTGGTGAAGCGACCCTTGTTAAATAGCTGATATTAGAAACACCTTATCCCCGTTTTTTAAATCAGAAAGAGACCATTTAACTGAGGCAATATGGCAAAACATACCCTGTTTTAAATGTCATTTTCCCCTTTAGTAGAAATGTAATTAGATTAGTTTGTTTAATCTCAGTTTGTAAGAAGGAGGCCCATGTTATTGCTTTTCTGGGTGACCTAATTATGATGCACCAGCAGATGTTATTCACGTGGCTTGAAAGTAGAATTGTCCATAGAATAAAGTAATAAGACCACTTGAATGCCGTTATGCTGTGATTTAAAGAAGTTCCTTTACCTACATGCTCTGCTAAAATATATTGTAAGCCCATCCAAATGTTATCTGTGCATCAAAATGTGTTTTTACTTGGCACTTGCATAGAACAATGGTTGTTAATATAGGGTGATAGTGATTGGTAACAAAGTGGATGAGACCTTAAATAATTGGCCATAAACCAAAACTATGAGCTGTTTATCTGATATTTATCTGAATTGGGATCATTTTATATGCAAAGATACAGAATTGAAATCATTCTTGATATAATTAATACTGATTATATTAGAATTTGTTATGCACACTCAATATGCTGTGAAATGCCTTGTTGTAGATTCAAAATTGATTATTGAAAAGAGCAATAAGTGACTAAGTATAAGGTCAACAGAGTTAATTAAAGGGGAACACAACTCAAAATAGGGAATTTGAGTGATAAGCATCTAAAATGTAAAAAAAGGCAGCCTTGCGTGGGACGGTATAATCCATATAGATAGTATAAGCAAAATGTACAATATACCAACTGTGTGCAGACTGTATATATATCAAACAATGTTTATTATTCAGACACATCTCTTTCTTTCCTCTCCAGCTGTCCATGCCCTTTGAGCTCCTCAGACACGACCCAGTGTCCTACGAGGCGGTCCGGACCCCCGCTGGGAGATGCATCCGAGCACAGAACGGTAAAACAATCATACATGTAGTCCTTTTTAAAGTGACAGCTGTATGAACGACCTTTTACCTCCTTGTGTCTCTTGATCTGTTAAAATGTTATATCTTGCTGCATGTATCTGTAAAGTTCTTAACATCTGATCTGAGGGGAATTTCTTGTTTATTTTTAACTTGTGATGTGTCATTTTGTAAAGCACTTTGAGCTGCACGTGCTGTATGAAAAGCAGAGGTGGGAAGTAGTGGAGTACAAATACTTTGTTACTGTACATTCTTCTGGTATCAGTACTTTACTCCACTACTTATTTTTCTGACGACTTTTTACTTTGACTTCTTACATGTTGAACACAAATACCTGTACTTTCTACTTCTTACATTTTGAACCCAAATACCTGTACTTTCTACTTCTTACATGTTGAACACAAATACCTGTACTTTCTACTTCTTACATGTTGAACACAAATACCTGTACTTTCTACTTCTTACATTTTGAACCCAAATACCTGTACTTTCTACTTCTTACATGTTGAACTCAAATACCTGTACTTTCTACTTCTTACATGTTGAACTCAAATACCTGTACTTTCTACTTCTTACATGTTGAACTCAAATACCTGTACTTTCTACTTCTTACATGTTGAACACAAATACCTGTACTTTCTACTTCTTACATGTTGAACTCAAATACCTGTACTTTCTACTTCTTAGATGTTGAACACAAATACCTGTACTTTCTACTTCTTACATTTTGAACCCAAATACCTGTACTTTCTACTTCTTACATGTTGAACTCAAATACCTGTACTTTCTACTTCTTACATGTTGAACTCAAATACCTGTACTTTCTACTTCTTACATGTTGAACACAAATACCTGTACTTTCTACTTCTTACATGTTGAACTCAAATACCTGTACTTTCTACTTCTTACATGTTGAACACAAATACCTGTACTTTCTACTTCTTACATGTTGAACTCAAATACCTGTACTTTCTACTTCTCACATGTTGAACTCAAATACCTGTACTTTCTACTTCTTACATGTTGAACTCAAATACCTGTACTTTCTACTTCTTACATTTTGAACTCAAATACCTGTACTTTCTACTTCTTACATGTTGAACTCAAATACCTGTACTTTCTACTTCTTACATGTTGAACTCAAATACCTGTACTTTCTACATGTTGAACTCAAATACCTGTACTTTCTACTTCTTACATTTTGAACTCAAATACCTGTACTTTCTACTTCTTACATGTTGAACCCAATACCTGAACTTTCTACTTCTTACATGTTGAACACAAATACCTGTACTTTCTACTTCTTACATGTTGAACCCAAATACCTGAACTTTCTACTTCTTACATGTTGAACACAAATACCTGTACTTTCTACTTCTTACATGTTGAACACAAATACCTGTACTTTCTACTTCTTACATGTTGAACTCAAATACCTGTACTTTCTACTTCTTACATGTTGAACACAAATACCTGTACTTTCTACTCTTACATGTTGAACACAAATACCTGTACTTTCTACTTCTCACATGTTGAACACAAATACCTGTACTTTCTACTGCTTACATGTTGAACACAAATACCTGTACTTTCTACTTCTCACATGTTGAACACAAATACCTGTACTTTCTACTGCTTACATGTTGAACACAAATACCTGTACTTTCTACTTCTCACATGTTGAACTCAAATACCTGTACTTTCTACTGCTTACATGTTGAACTCAAATACTTGTACTTTCTACTTCTCTCATTTTCCAAACAGCTGGTTCCTTTAGTCTGAATGTGTGTTTGATGCGTGATCATTATTCTTTAGAGTCATTGCGTGCCTATTGATTTGAACACGATCCGTGTATCCATCATTTCCTGGTCTTCTCTAAAGAAGAGGGACCAATGGAAACGTTGTCATGTTGCCGTTGTTCAACATGGAAACATTCATTAGCTAACAATGATATTATTGTTCTATTAATATAAAGGGAGGTCAGGTACTCTTTAAAGCAGCTGCTAGTTATGGGTACTTTTTACTGAAGTACATTTCAAAGCCTCTTTACTTTGACTTGAGTAAAGAAGTTTAGTCAGTACTTCTACTTTACCAGAGTACTTTTAAACACGAGTAAAGGGTGTGTGTACTTCTACCCTCTCCACAGGGGAGGCAGGGATCCTGGTGGCTCCGCTCTCAGCCATGAATCAGTTCCTGGGGTACGCAGGGAACCAGGTGCAGTCGGAGAAGAAGCTGCTCAGAGGCGTCTTTAAAGATGGCGACGTCTTCTTCAACACCGGAGACCTGCTGCTGCACGATGACCAGGACTTCCTGTACTTCAGGGACCGCATTGGAGACACCTTCAGGTACCGTTTCAATTCAATTCAAGGCTTTATTGTCATTTGCACATGAGCTACAGTGTAGATATGGCAACGAAAAACTTAGGTCAGGTATATATATATTTTGTCTTTTTGTTTGTATTGAATTTTTTGTCTATTATTAGAACGTGTATCTAATTTACTTTTTTGTTGTTGTTTTCTTTCATGCTGGGGTGGGGGTGGGGGGTATGTTTGATCTGCTTTCTGGCAGTCTGGTTGAAATATGCACTGTTGCATCTACAGTATGTATTTCACTGCTCAATGACCTTCTGTATGATGTGTTAAAAAAAGAAAAACTTAGGTCACAGGCTCCTCCAACAGTGCAATATATATAAAAAATAAAACAGTGCAAGTAAATATAGAAATAGTGCAAGAAGAGTCTATATATATGTAAACGGAATATGATATAGATAAATAACTTGCAAGACGCAAACAAATGGATGTTCTTTCTGCATCGTTGAAAATGTGCTGCTGATGGATTTGTGTGTCATTTGGCAATTTTGTGGAGAAAATGTTCCAAAAGCCACTGCAAAATATCTTCTAATGCAGGGGTGTCCAAACTACGGCCCGGGGGCTAAATGCGGCCTGCGGGACATTTTGAATCGGCCCTCAGCTAATTAAAAAAGTATAATGGAATATGGCCCACAAATTAAACTTGAGCTTTTCTTGTATTGTACTTATTAAATATATCTGTAAACATATACATATACACAGTCCTGTTCATGTGTTAATAAGCCCAATTTACAATAAATTCAGTCAATTTGAAAATATGTTCTAATAAAAATCTAAGTCGATAAGAAAAAAGCCCAATAACTTATATACATAAACTTGAAATGTACCCTTCCTATTTCCTCTTATGATAATCAATCTGGGGCTCCTGTTGTAAGGAATGAGCTGCTGACAAATTAAATGAAACCCTCTGGAGAGCTGTGATGTAGTTTAGCATAATTTACCTACTTTTGATTGATTTTGCTGACTTAAAACTTAACATATGAGGCAATATTCCTCACCTCTATTGAGCGGACAGGCCCTTCGAATATTCTTCTGTATGTGGCCCTTGGTGAAAAACGTTTTGACACCCCTGTTCTAAGGCAATGTAAATAAGCGACTCACGTTGTTCTGTTCACACAGCTTGTTTCTCCTGCCCTCAAGTGGCCACAAACAGTCATTGCAGGTTTAACTGGATCTACTCTCTTGTCCTGCAGGTGGAAAGGAGAGAATGTTTCCACCACTGAGGTTTCAGAGGCTGTGGGTCTGCTCGACTTCATCCAGGAGGCCAACATCTACGGAGTCACCATACCAGGTGTGTGGAAGTGTTTACTGGATATAACTTCTGCATAATCTACAGATATAACAATCAGCTTCTGTTACGGTGTGTGCAGGAAGCAGGACCCAAATGCAGATTCAAGTGACAAAAATAACTCCTTTATTTCAAGGCTATACTATTCAAAAAGACAGAACAGAACACTCACCGCAGACCAAGTCATTACACAAGATGAACCGACAAAGACAGACAGAAAAACCAGAACTTAAATACACACAAGACTAATCATACAAACAAGACACAGGTGAGGAGGGAGGAGAAAACACAGGGACACCAGGTGAACACAATCGGGTAAATTAGACACACCAGGGAAACTAACGACAGGGAACCACAGACAGATCTAAACCAGACAAAACACAACGCAGACAGAAAACCAAAGACAGATCTAGACAAGACACAACGCAGACAGAAAACCAAAGACAGATCTAGACAAGACACAACGCAGACAGAAAACCAAAGACAGATCTAGACAAGACAAAACACAACACAGACAGATTGTGACAGCTTCATTAGCAAACCATGTATTCCCACACTGTTATAACCATATGGAGCACAGCCAATACAAGAGGCAGCTCCCAGTGAGACCATGACCGGGTTGAATCGGATATTTTGCTATAACTTCCCAACACAAACTCCAGACTAGATCTCTTCAGATTTTAAGGAATAACAACCACCAAATATGTTTGATGCAGCTCTGCCAGTTTAATTGACTGACTGACTGACTTTTCCTCGATAGCAGTGCCAGCTGAGGCTCATTGGTATTGCACTAAATGAAACCACTCCCCATACCAAGCAGTTAAACAATCCTGGTTTCTCATAATCAAAGTTAATGAAATTAACATAAGCCTGTAGCAAGGAGACCACTGTTACTATCTTAAGAAACAATTATTAAGACATCATCAAAAGTATAACCACCACTTTAATAATTATAATAATAATAATACATGTATTTTGTAAGGTAAGGTATGTTTATTTATATAGCACATTTCAGACGCAGAGGCAATTCAAAGTGCTTTACATGATCATTAACACATGTAAGACAACAGAGAGGAACACAATACATAAACATAATGGAATAACAGATGAATAAAAACAATGCATTAATGAGATACAAAATAGTTTAAAAACAACATTGTAAATACGGTAAGTGCTAAAACAAGTTAAAAGGCTTCTGGGTAAGCAGCTGTGTTTTTAGCCTCGACTTAAAAGAACTCAGCGTTGGTGAAGACCTCAGGGTTTCTGGAAGTTTGTTCCATTTGTGGGGAAGCATAAAAACTAAAAGCAGCTTCCGCGTGTTTGGTTCTGAGCCGGGGACAATGAGTAAGCCCGCCCCCGATGGTCTCAGAGATCTGGGGGGCTCGTAACAGAGCAGCATGTCAGACATATTGGGGTCCCAAACCATTTAATGCTTTATAAGTTAACAATATCATTTTAAAATCGATTCTGTAAGTGCAGAGACCTGAGTACTGGGGTGATGTGTTCTACTCTTTTTGTTTTGGTCAGGACTCTGGCAGCGGCGTTCTGGATTAGTTGTAGTTTTCTAACCGATTGTTTACAGAGACCTGTAGATGCGCTATTACAGTAATCAAGCCTGCTAAAAACAAAGGCGTGAACTAGTTTTTCAAGGTCTTGTTGAGACATGAATGTTCTAAGTCTGGCTGTGTTTCAGGTGATAGTAGGCTGATTTAGTAATTGTGTTGATATGAGATTTGAAATTGAAGTCGGGGTCCAGAACTACGCCTAGATTTCTCTCCTTTTCCGATGTATTTAGCAGTAGGGCTTCTAGTTTAGCGCTTACTTCAGCCCGTTCCTCCCTTTTGCCACCAAAGATAATTGTCTCTGTTTTCTTTTTGTTTAATTGTAGGAAATTGTTGCTCATCCAGCTGCTGATTTGTTCCATGCAGTTGGTGAGGGATTGTAATGGTCCGTAGTCGCCAGGCTTTATTGTAATTGTAAGTGCTTTTACAGGTGCTCAAAGTCGCTTTACAGAGGTAGTAAAAAAGGACAACAGATACATATAGTAAATGGACTGTACTTATATAGCGCTTTATCCAGTCTTCAAGACCCCTCAAAGCGCTTTACATACTACATGTCGTTCACCCATTCACACAGAGCAGTGTGCCTTACTCTAGGAACTAACATTCACACAGAGCAGTGTATGTTACTCTAGGAACTAACATTCACACAGAGCAGTGTACCTTACTCTAGGAACTAACATTCACACAGAGCAGTGTATGTTACTCTAGGAACTAACATTCATACAGAGCAGTGTACCTTACTCTAGGAACTAACATTCACACAGAGCAGTGTGCCTTACTCTAGGAACTAACATTCACACAGAGCAGTGTACCTTACTCTAGGAACTAACATTCATACAGAGCAGTGTACCTTACTCTAGGAACTAACATTCACACAGAGCAGTGTGCCTTACTCTAGGAACTAACATTCACACAGAGCAGTGTACCTTACTCTAGGAACTAACATTCACACAGAGCAGTGTACCTTACTCTAGGAACTAACATTCACACAGAGCAGTGTGCCTTACTCTAGGAACTAACATTCATACAGAGCAGTGTACCTTACTCTAGGAACTAACATTCACACAGAGCAGTGTGCCTTACTCTAGGAACTAACATTCACACAGAGCAGTGTGCCTTACTCTAGGAACTAAACTAACATTCACACAGAGCAGTGTGCCTTACTCTAGGAACTAACATTCACACAGAGCAGTGTGCCTTACTCTAGGAACTAACATTCACACAGAGCAGTGTGCCTTACTCTAGGAACTAACATTCATACAGAGCAGTGTGCCTTACTCTAGGAACTAACATTCACACAGAGCAGTGTACCTTACTCTAGGAACTAACATTCACACAGAGCAGTGTACCTTACTCTAGGAACTAACATTCACACAGAGCAGTGTGCCTTACTCTAGGAACTAACATTCACACAGAGCAGTGTGCCTTACTCTAGGAACTAACATTCACACAGAGCAGTGTACCTTACTCTAGGAACTAACATTCACACAGAGCAGTGTGCCTTACTCTAGGAACTAACATTCACACAGAGCAGTGTACCTTACTCTAGGAACTAACATTCACACAGAGCAGTGTGCCTTACTCTAGGAACTAACATTCACACAGAGCAGTGTACCTTACTCTAGGAACTAACATTCACACACCGTTGGCCATCGGGAGCAACTCAGGGTTAAGTATCTTGCCCAAGGATACATCGACATGTCGACTGCAGGGCTGGGATCGAACCCACAACCTTCTGGTTGAAAGACGACCGCACTCCCTCGCAGCCACAGTCGCATTAAAATCGAGCAATAAAACAACGATCACACATTAAGAGCCAGGTTGAAGAGTTTTTGTAAGTTTTTTGAAGGTGGCGAGGACTTTGTAATACTAAAGTTTGCTCTTGTTAATTTAGTACAGCTTTTTCGATGTAACATTATAATAAGAGACTTTTTCCAATGTGTGTTTGCAGGAAATGAAGGTCGGGCAGGTATGGCTGCTATCGTCTTGCAACAGGATCACAAATTAAACGGATCAGAGCTCTACGACCATTTAGTAAAAACTCTTCCTGCCTATGCCTGGCCGAGGTTTCTCAGAATACAGGTACATGTATTCATTACCACGTTTTGTGTATTTTAAATGTAAAATAATATCGTTAATTGCACACACTAGTCTGTTTAATATGGCGTGTGTGTTACATGTTGGGATTATGGATGTTTCCCCTCATTTATGTTACGTGATTGTGATGATATACACGTATGTAGTAACGTGTGTTGTTTGCATTGTATTGTTCTCTTGTATCCTTTCGCCTCTATCTTGTCTTTAATCCTTTCTTTATATCTAGTGCTGTTGAGGTATTGTGATTTTAAAAAGGCGTCTATTATTATCTGGACAACAGCTGGAAATTAGCAATGTTTGCTAAAGCTGCTCCATTCACTGTTTTGTGTGACAGTTGATCAATGGGGGCTGTAATCAACTAAACTAACTAGCATCATCCCGGCTGTGTTTGTCCAGACGTCCTTGGATGTGACGGAGACGTTCAAGCAGCAGAAGGTGAAGCTGGTCACGGAGGGCTTCGATCCGGACGTCTCCCACGATCTGCTGTACTTCTTAGACGTTTCTCAGAAAGAGTACACCCTCCTGACTGTGTCTCTGTATCAGGACATTGTGAATGGGAAGATCAAAGTATGAACACTATAGGACGTTGGAAGTTAATGCAGGAAAGGATGCGTCCTTATAATCCAGGTTGCTGCCATGTGTGCGTTTGTCTGTACGTGAAATGTGGTTCTAATCAGCGCCACAGACAGAGCTGTTATTCATATTTGAAAGATTAGTTACTTACTCACTGTGAACCAGCCAGAGCTTTTATTTACCTCAACATTTTAAGTGCTACTGTTCTAAGTTTTTACACTTGATTCAAACCACACACTGACTCCACGTTTACATCTTGATAAGTTAAGTGCCATTTACACATAAAAGCACTAACTCCACTATTCATGACATTCCCGCCTGTTATTTTTTACTTCCTTTTACTTTCTCTTCTTTTCTGTATCACTAGTTAGTTACTATAGACGTGAGCACTGCCTTCATTGTGCATTTTGAAACTGAATTTAATGGAAATGTTTATGGAAATTAGGGTTTGTGAATAGGATTACATTACATCCACGTTTACATCTTGATAAGTTAAGTGCCATTTACACATAAAAGCACTTACTCCACTATTCATGACATTAATTTGTACTTGCTTTTACTTGACTTCTTCTTTGTCTTGTCTTATTTTATTTATCACTAGTTAGTTACTATAGACGTATGTTGAAACTGAATTTGACGGGCATTCTTATGGAAATGAGGGTTTGCGAATAGGATTACATTACATTAAGCGAAACAGGTGGGTCTTCAGTTTGAGACGGATGATATGTAGACTCTTTGCTGTCCTGAAATCAGTGAGAAGCTCCTTCCACCATTTGGGAGCCAGCATAGCAAAAGGGTGTATCTTTTTTGGGGTGTACCTGGTTCCACTTCGCCGATTGGCTGATGCAGAGCGAAGTGCACATGCTGTAGTGTATGTTTTGACCAGGTGTTGGATGTAGGTTAGACCAGATCCCTTTACAGATCCCTTTAAGTGTCTTGAAGAGTATTCTGGCAGCCAGTGAAAGGAGCGAAGGTGAGATGTAATGTGGGAGAACTTGGAGGGCTTGAATATCAGTCGGGTCTACAGTTTTCTGAATTAACTGTAGAGGTCGGATGGCATTTGCAGGTAGAACAGCCAGGAGGGAGTTACAGTAAAGCGTGAGATGACAAGACCCTGGACCAGGACCTGTGTTTTAAGATCTTGAATAGCACTTTCTAGACAAAACAAAGGGCATTCCTTTAGATACAACGTGGGGCATTATGTAAAAAAAACTTTTCACATTGTGTCAGATGATGGGAGTGGCTTTTCCCTTTCACGTCGTGACATTTGAGGCCATTATGTCTCTGTGTTATGTATTCACAGTTTCAACACTATATGTATTGTTGTTAAACACCTAGCTGTGGAAGCAGACATTGCACTGTGAGCTTTTAGAGGACCAGTTATTCCTCCTTACCCCCTCAGTGTTTGTTGGCTGACTGTCTTAAAGTAATCATTCATTATGGTCTGTTTTTTAAATGACTTTTTTGTTTTGTGCAGACTTTTATTTGAGAATGTGACTTCCTTTCAATGCTTGTTGGAAATCAGGTTTTCTTAAAAGAATGGGACGGACACATCTATATTTCCTTTGTATAAATTCACCTGATAAATCAAAAAATATAGCCTAACCTAACTGTCTTCACATTTCTGAACTGAATATAAAAGTCACTGTAAAAACACCAAATGTGTATTCCTACTCTCTGTTGCTTCTATACTTTTACTCAAGTACAAGATCTGAGTACTTCTTAGGTCACATGCTTCTCAACAATGCAATATTGTTTTTAATTAAAACAATGGTGGGAAATAATGTTTTTAAACGATTGTGAATGTTTCTTGCATGGTCACGTGATTTCATTGTGGTCCGGGCGCTCGCGGTAGTAGGAGGAGTTACGGTCGAGCAGACGTGGCAACACATGACGTCATCAAAGAGGGTCGCTGGGTTGTTCATGGGTGTTGTGTTGAGCTATTCCAGCTAGCAGGTGAGTGGGTCAAATTGCTTGTCCTGTAAGATAAAAACGACACATAATATTGACTAATTCCTGTTGTTTGATCGTTGGATGAAATGCCACGTGTTTCCATATGTTTCGACATGCAGAGCTGAGTTGTGTTTGTACACGTGGAACATTTCTGTTGCAGGAAGCTAACACTGCATTTAGTTCAACCATGTTCCTGTCATTTATGGCACATATATCACCTTCATTAGATATAAGACTGCTCAAATAATAATGTTGCATTAACCCTGTACTTGAAACCAGAGGTGGGAGAAGTACTCAGATCTTGTACTTGAGTAAAAGTAGAAGTACTCAGATCTTGTACTTGAGTAAAAGTAGAAGTACTCAGATCTTGTACTTGAGTAAAAGTAGAAGTACTCAGATCTTGTACTTGAGTAAAAGTAGAAGTACTCAGATATTGTACTTGACTAAAAGTAGAAGTACTCAGATCTTGTACTTGAGTAAAAGTAGAAGTACTCAGATCTTGTGCTTGAGTAAAAGTAGAAGTACTCAGATATTGTACTTGAGTAAAAGTAGAAGTACTCAGATCTTGTACTTGAGCAAAAGTAGAAGTACTCAGATCTTGTACTTGAGCAAAAGTAGAAGTACTCAGATCTTGTGCTTGAGTAAAAGTAGAAGTACTCAGATATTGTACTTGAGTAAAAGTAGAAGTACTCAGATCTTGTACTTGAGTAAAAGTAGAAGTACTCAGATCTTGTGCTTGAGTAAAAGTAGAAGTACTCAGATATTGTACTTGAGTAAAAGTAGAAGTACTCAGATCTTGTACTTGAGTAAAAGTAGAAGTACCAGAGTGTAGGAATACTCTGTTACAGTAAAAGTCCTGCATTCAAAATGTTCCTCAGGTAAAAGTAGAAAAGTATTCTCATCAAAATATAGTGAAAGTAGCGACAGTAAAAGTAGTCATTGTGCAGATTGGTCCATTTCAGAATAATATATATGATATGTTTTATAATGATTGATCATGAAAGTGTTCTCAAAGCTGGTGAAGGTGCAGCTAGTTTGAATGACTTTGTATACTGCAGGGTAGCTGGTGGATTTACTCCAGGTGGAACTAAAGTCTGATTCAACACTTGATTATATTTCACATCATTCATCCACATCTGTAAAGTAACTAAAGGTATTAAATACATGTAGTGGAGTAAAAGTACACCATTTACCTCTGAATTGTAGTGGAAGTACCTCAACATTGTACTTAAGTATAGTACTTGAGTAAATGTACTTAGTATCTGAAGCAGAGAGAGCTGGGTGTTATGTTATCATGGTACGATGAAAACTACATTCAACTAGGATGTATTGTCATATGCACAGAAGCTACAGCTTGAAATAAAGTCCCAGGCTGCTCCAACAACACAACATACAATATGTTTAAGACACAAAGAAAGGAAATAGTGCAAACGATATAAAGGTGAAATAAAGTTGTTGAATCCTCAGCGTTAGTATGCAGGCATTAACATTGAGTCAGCTGAACACAAACACAAACTATCTCTAGCACTATTCACGTTGCTCTGTGGAGTCTGTGACCTCAGTGTTTCATTGCCATATCTAATGTGCACCTGACAATGAAGCCTAGAAACTTGAACCACCTGCTGTGTTCTGGGCTCTCAGGTGTAAAGCAGAGAAGATGATGGAAGAAAGTGGGATCGAGACGACGCCTCCTGCCAGCCCCACACCTCCTCTCAATGCCTCTGCCAGCACCCCCCCGATGTCCGTCGGTAAGACATTATCTATCAACTGATGCTATACCACGAGCAAACCTGATGTTCTCGTATTTCTCAGCACTGCTCCCTGAACTCGCCTCCTATTAAAAGTTCTCTTATCAGAAGAAAGTCAACGTGGAGCTAGAGCGATGTCCAGACATTAACCAGTTCAAGAGGGAATACAGAGAAATGATTTTCTCGAGGTACAGGGAAGGGGAAGGTGTTTGACTGTGTGTATATGTGTGAATAAGTAGGTGTGTATATGTGCATATATTTATACATGTGTGTGTATGTATTAGGGATGGGAATTTGAAAGCTAATGTATATTCGACCCCCAAAAAAACGGTTAACCGAAATGTACATATCATATAAAAAAAGACAAAATGGGGGAAAAAATCCAAAAGAATTATTTAGAAAAATAAATAAATACAAATAAGTATAGAAACCAAGTCGAATTTGTCAAATGTATTGAACTGGTGATCCCAGTTTGAACAGTTGACAGCTATAGGCCTTAGGGTATCGTAACCCGTGACAACAGAGATAAGATAAGATGGACTTTTATTAATCCCCGTGGGGAAATTGTTTCTCTGCATTTGACCCATCCTAGTGTTAGGAGCAGTGTGCTGCCATTTTGAACGGCGCCCGGGGAGCAGTGTAGGGAACGGTGCCTTGCTCAGGGACACCTCGGTAGCACTTGAACTGGTGACCTTCCAGTTGCCAAGCCAAGTCCCTATCGACTTTGCCACCACCCCCCATCATCAGATCAACAACCTATAGCAGGGCCTGTGCACAGAATGCAGCTATTCAATACTCATTCTTGTTTAAGAATATGAGCATGTCTACTCAGGGGAGAGGCGATTCACAATCAGGCCAGCTGTAGAGAAGACCCTCTCAGCTGGGCATAAGATGAGGTTTGAGTCTGTGTGATCTGCGTGTAGGGAGGGGCCGCAGCCATATCATTAGCTAGAACTAGCTAGATCTGATGGATTTGGACATAAACGCGAGTGAAGTCTAACCGGACGCGCGAGAGAGAGCACCTGCAGCTCTGCCCGCTGTGAGGGACCGGTGAGCAGAGCAAAACACACCTTTAGACCTAACACACTTAGCTATGGCACTGTCGCATACATGGAATTATTCCATTTGATAATATGTAATCAATTTAGGCACCCCTCCCAAAAAAAAAATATTCATAACTCATATCCGCATACCTGAATAATTTTGAATATTCGATTAATCGTTCCCATCCCTAGTATGTGTGTATGTATATATGTATATATGCAGGGCTGCACATAACTGGTGCGCAGGTGCGCATGCGCACCTCCGCCAAAAAAAGAGCACCGGGTCATTTGAAACAAAGCGCATTTGCGTACCAACATTTAGAGGGAGAGAGAAAAGAGAAAATAGAGGAGAGAGGAGAGATGAGAGAGAGAGAAGAGAGAGAGAGAAGAGAGAGAGAGAAAGATATTTGCGAGTTGCATATGAACCATGATATGAACTCAGGGCCGGCCGTAGCGCTGGCTAGATGTTCGCCTAGGGCGCCAGATCTGTGGAGGCGCTGCGCTGGCAGTTCTGGGAGGGAAAAAAACATTTTGACCGTTGGGGCTCATCCTAATTTTCGGCCTTGATGTAACAATATTCACAATTAAGTAAATGTAACACCCTTTTCACCCCGGTTACACGTTTCATTTGCCCTGTACGATGGGCGCTGGAAGTGATGAAAATGGGGGATGTTGGCTTATCTGGCGCCCGCAGCTCACAGCCACAATGCGAGTGAGCGAGGGAGAGAGGGAGGGTGGTACCAGCGCTGTTGTTATTATAATCTGGTGCCGTGCTAGCTGCTCTAACGGAGATAAGAAGAAGATGTGTCTACAATCATGTGGAGGGAGAGTCCTCTCCAGTCAGACTGAGAGGCTGATAAGTTAACTACAGCTCAGTGAGGTAAGGACTCTTAGTCTAAGTTCAAACGGTTTGGTCACAATTTATGTAAACACATATTTCCAAGGCACTCCTTTGTCATTATTGGGATAAACAGGTTTGAAATCATTCCAATGTATACTATAGGACAGTAACCAAAAATATCCTTTAAAACTGGAGATAAAAAAATGCATAAATAAATAAATGTTAAGGTAAAATAAGATATGAATGAACAACACAAATAAAATAAGTTACATTAATTTGTTATTGGCTATGGTAGGTTATTGGTTATGTTCACATACTTATTTGATTACATCCACTTGTCTAAGATGACAACAGAGACTTTCGACCCAAACCCAGCTGTTGACTTGTGGATGCAAGCAGCTAATCACAGACTCAACCAGAGAGGAAGAAGTAGGCCTACATCATCAGCTACCATGTCTGACAGAGAGGAAGACAGTGAGGAGAACAGTCAGGAGGGTAGTGATGACAGCTTGTAGGATTACTGGTCGTGCTAATGTTGTCTTGTGTTCACCTCTGCATGTGTGTTCTGTGTTCACCTCTGCATGTGTGTTCTGTGTTCACCTCTGCATGTGTGTTCAGTGCCGTGTGTCTGGCAAATAAAGTCAAGACCCCTCAAAAGTTACGGTTTATTTCATTTTAAGGATGAGCACCAAGCAACATCTCCAGGTGCTCCTTTGAGAACCAGGGCAAAAAAGTTATGTGCACCCCTGGTAATATGTCAATCAACAGGTAAAGCAGATTAATAATAATAATAACAATAATAATTAATAATAATAATGACAAGTATTGCAGATTATAAATAAATCATTTAGGGACAAGGGGGTGAGATTAAATACGTTATCCTTCTTCTCACTCCTTTTGGAACACTAGATGTGGCACTGTTTATGTTGCTTATGCTGTTGTTGTTGTAAACGTCATTTTTTGTTTTGATTTCTCTTACATGACTGCACTGCAACATTTTGTTTGTTTTGTAATTATTTATTTTACTTGTTCGAAATTAAATGTATCAATCAAAAGTCTTGATGTAATGACGATAGAATGAGAAATCAAAGATCCTTCATATCAGCGTAAAACTCAATTTCATCACCGGCCACATCAGCACTATGGTTGCACTCAAAGGGCCGGTTCTAGCTTTAAGACTATATAAATATATATATAATATATATCAAATAATGTATTATATTACAGTACTGCATTTGATTGGAGAAACACAGGTCTCTTTTCACACCAGCACTCCACTTTGAATATAGTGTATACTATAGTATTAGTTTCTCACATCATTATATCGTGTGTAAATAATTTCCTTTGTGTGTTAACCTACTTGATAATAAAACCGATTGTGATCATCATTCATTATATTTCAGGTCTGTCCACCACCACCTTCTCCCCCCATCTCCCCCCTGTTTCCTCCATCTCTTCCTTCAGCAGCCCCATGGCGGCTCACCCCTCACTTTCCTCCCCGTTCCCCCCTCCCTCCACACTTTCCTCTCCGTATACAAGCAGCTCTCCATTTCCTCCCCTCTCCTCTCCATCTCCATCTTTTCCTCCCCCCCTCTCCTCCCCCATGGCCCCGCCTCCTCCCCTCTCGGCTCCTCCCCCTATGGGTCCGCCTCTCTCAAACTACTCCATGAGCGCAGGATATGACATCACTCGGGGTCACGCAGGAAGAACGCCACAAACACCGCTGATGCCCACATTCTCCAGTCCCAACGCCATGCCAGGTGAGAGGCACACACACACACACACACACACACACACACACACACACACAGACACACAGACCTATTACCTGTGTGTCTGATGTTGTGAACCACATTATCAAGTCAAAGTTATTTATCTTATTGTATTAACCACATTTCATTAAATAATGAATCTTGAATGACAACTCTAAAGAAGCCAACAATTTCCAATGTGAATAAAGTAAATACTTATTTGAAGAATGTGGAGGTAAGGCAAGCTCAGTAGTTTCAATACCATACAGACACCTGGTATTTAGGTGTGTGTCGGGGCATTACACATAAAACAAGCTAATGTAGGTACAGGTATAACATACATGAATAAAAGTTACAGTGCAGTGTGAGATATGTATAGTTAAGCGGTAAAAAGAAAAGTCTTCAGCCTGGATTTAAAAGTAGTCAGAGTTGCAGCGGACCTGCAGGTTTCTGGGAGTTTGTTCCAGACATTTGAAGCATGGCTCCATGAAGCCCCAGAGTACTGTAAATGTGCTTCCAAAAGTCATACTAATAATAACGTTATCCTCCAGCTATGGGTCCGAACCCCATGGTCCAGCAGCCCCTGATGATGGGGGGAGTCGACGGATCTCCCATCACCTTCCCCGAGGAGCAGGAGGACCCCAGAGCGCCGAGCCAGGCCAACGCTGGGGGGGGAATCTGGGGCTTCTTCAGGGTAAGACCTCCATGATCGAATGTGGTCGTGACACAACATCAATGCCCTCTTCAGAAACATTATAATAAAAACCAGAGTGTAGGAATACGCTGTTACAAGTAAAGGAACTGCAATCAAAATGTTACTCAATTCAAGTTGAAAGTACCAACATATTGTTAAAGTACCAAAAGTAGTCATTGTGCAGAGATATTATAATAAATACATAAATTAGGTTGCCGACTTCATCTGTGAAAGTGGGACAGTATGTATATTAGGGATTGCCATTTCTATCAAGACCGACTCAACCATTATTCAAACACACACACTTCTGCTAGGTTCTTCGTTCTCTAATGTAGACCTTAACACTTTAAATTCAAATCTTTTTAATTTCAAGTTATTTCATTAGTGTCACTGTTCATGTTTTATTGTTTTAAGGTTACAGAAATCCTTAATTTGTCCCGCAACGGGGAAATTACAACGGCAGAGTTACAATGCAGATTAAACTTGCATATTATATAAAAAGGCAGGCACACGTTATTAAGTAAGAATATAGAATAGTTTTATATTTACAGACAGTGTTGTTGCGCTTCAGAGATATTACACTCTTTCTGTTTTGACGTGTGTGTGTGTGTGTCTCTCCTCTCAGGGAGTAGCAGGTAACCCGGTCGTAAAGAACGTCCTGGACAGAACCAAGCACTCAGTGGAGTCCATGATCACCACCCTGGACCCGGGCATGGCTCCATACATCAGTGAGTCCCTCTCAGACCTCCTCCCTACATCACCACATCACGTGACACACCGACTTAATACATGTGTGTGTGTTGTTGCCATGCAGAGTCTGGCGGGGACATCGACATCGTGGTGACTTCAGATAAGGAGCTGCACGTGGAGGCGGTCAGAGACGCCTTTCAGGAGGTTTTTGGGATGGCGCTGGTCACCGGAGAGCCCGGGCAGTCCAACATCGCCCCGCAGCCCGTGGGATACGCAGCCGGAGTTAAGGTCAGTTCAACTCTGCCTCTCCACCCTGCTGGTTCGACAAATAAAAACAGTTCTGTACAAACTAACAGAGAAGTAGAACTACATGTTTCATCATACTTTTCCTTCTTGCTCATTGGAACAGTGTTTTTCCACCTTTTTTGAGCCCTGGGACCATTTTTTACATTACAATAATCACACCAACAACCAATACAAAATGACCGTACATAATGACAGTTTGATGACAAGTGTCTCTATTTGGCGACAAGTTCACTTTCTAAGTAGCTGATCTGAGATCTCTCTACTAGGGCTGAACGATTAATCGATTTTAAATCGAAATCGCGATTATGAAATCGCAAAGCCTGCAATTTTATTTAACATTATTTTTTTTATTTTTTCTTCTAATGTGTGTCAGTCATCCACACCAATCAGAAGTGCTGTGCTCCACTTGTACCAGCCATTGTTAATCAATCAGAAGCCACATTTTACAATAAACTTCCGTTGGGTCGCTTAAAAACAAATATCGCAAATCGCAATATTTGTCAGAAAATCGCAATTAGATGTTTTTCCCAAAATCGTGCAGCCCTACTCTCTACGACACCTCTTAAAAGTCACAGGTCTCTCAGTTTGTTTACTCAGGCAAACACAATAGCCGCTTTCACACCAAGTACTTTGCCGTACTTAGTTCCCAGCACTTAGTTCCCAGCACTTAGTTCCCCCATGGAACTAAGAGCCGACCGCGTTCACACCGGAATAAGTTCCCTGAGGGAAGATTACGCAAATGAAGCCACTGACGTCACTTCTTCTTCTACTTTGGGTTTACTGGCAGGCCGCAAACAACTTCACGGCGTATACTGCCACCCGAAGTCCCCGGAGTTGGGGACTGGCTTCCGAGTAAATCGCCAGAACGCCGACACCTCCTCATCTCCACCGCTCCCATGTTTTTTTTTGTGTTGCCATAAGTTAGTCCCTCTCCGTTAGTGCGCGGGGCTAATGCTAATGCTTATAATGCTAATGCCAGCAAATATAATGGCGGCTTCAAAAAACGTTTCCGAGTGTTACGGGGCGTGGTTTGCAATTCGCTCAGCCAATCAGAAATTGGAACTTTTGTCTCCCCAGGAAAGTACCACCTCTCTAGCAGGAACTGAAAAGGGGGTGAAAGTTCTCATGAACTAAGTTCTCTTTTTGGTGTGAACGCAAAATCCCAGGAACTATCGGAACTAAACGGGAAAAGTACTCCGGTGTGAAAGCGCCTATTAGTCCGTGTTCTTGTTTTGAAGTGACGGAAGGTGTTACTTTTGGAGATAACGTTTAAGCTTGCATGCGACCGTGGCACCATTGGATAGCCACACATCAAGCATAACAAAGTCAGTGCACTCGGATCCCCAGGAAAAGATCACTTTTGCTGTGTTGCCTCGAGCTAGAATTTTGTCCGTGACCCAGATCATAGTCTGCAATTTCCCTTTTCAAATATTTACCCGATCCGGCTACGATCCCTCATGTGTGTGTTTGTGTTTGTGTGTGTGTGTGTGCAGGGGGCTCAGGAGCGCATAGACAGCCTGCGTCGAGCCGGTGTGATCCACGAGAAGCAGCCCGTCGTCTCTCTGGAAAACTTCATCGCTGAGCTCTTCCCCGACCGGTAAGAGAGAAGAGCTCTGAAACATGGAGTCTTTTTATATCTCACAGTGTGTAAGATATAGAAACGCTGATGGGAGAAGAGTTTCAATTCAATAATGCAATAAAGTATGTTGATAACTGAGGCTAGTTTGGAGTGATATATACTGAATCACATTACCTGCTGTTCAGCTTCATTCCTTACTGAGTGCAATAGAGTTGTGGTTGACAAATACTCCTCCCTGCTATAAATACTTCTGTCTGCAGGTGGTTTGATATCGGATGTTTGATCCTGGAGGACCCGGGTCACAGCATCCGCATCGAGGTCTTCACTCAGACCACTCCTCTGGCTCTGGATCACATCCAGCAGGTACACATCTGTCACTGTACAACGTACATTCAATACTCTTTCAGCCATGACATCCATTTTGTATCTATACCCCTTTATCCTGTGGGGGGCTGTTTGGAGAGAGAAATAATGATAAGAGTTTCCTAGGTTCTGGCATCGTGCATCCATTAGTGCCACTGATCCCACTCCTCTAGATTACCTCTACTATGTACTGTTTTGTAGAGAGTAGACATTTTTGATTTTGGGTTAGTTGAAAGCAGTGGAGTCCAGAAAAAACTGTTTTAACCACTGTGGTTGCAGCATAGTTGATCCGCCTTCGAAACGTTATTAACTTCACTGGCTGCCTGTCAAATACCGGATAGATAAGATCCTGCCTTTAAGGTGTTAGTGTTTACTTCCTATCTGCCTTCTTCTGGTGATTTATCTGACGTCCAGCGCTCTTCCTTGATCCTCCTTAGCAACGGTCTATATATTCCTTGACAGCGGTCTGTACTACTGGATTAATAACGTGTCACATGTTCTGAATTGACCAATCAGAATCGAGTATACAACTAAGCTGTGTAATAATTATTATTCTATAACACATAGGTTTGAGCAAGCTCTCTGATTGGTCAATAGGCGTGTTTGATTCCACGATCAAACAACGATCAAATAGAACGTGCCTAATCACAAAGTATCCAGTGGCCTACACACGCCACTAGCCTACCGAAACTACTTCCATGAGCCTACATCGTGTGATTACTCAGATATTTAAATAGCCTAATTCAAGAATTGTTTTCAATAAATAGTTTTCAATAAATTGGTTAATAATATATTATTTACTATAATTATATCAATAACTGTAAGCGGGGTAGCAGGAGTGTTCGATTGATCGGCTATCGTTACCATGGGAACTACTTTCTAGGAACTACTTTCTGACGGAGATTAACTCAAGCAGAAAGCGTAGGTTTGGGAGCAAATTAGCACATTATGAAATTATTTTACGATATTGTTGATTACAATGATAGTTTGTGTAATAGAATAGCAATCATACACTTGAGGCCGTTCTTGAACACTCGTGTATGATTGCTTAATTAAATGTCACTCGCCTACAAACCTCCATGAACTCATCAAGCTGTTTCTCTGACCTCCCCCCCCTGTTTAGGCCCAGTCCCTGACCCCCCCCGACTACAGCCTGCGTTGGTCAGGTCTGATCGCCACAGTGGGCGAGGTGTTGGAGCGCAGCCTGCCCAACATCAACCGGACTGACTGGCATCAGGCCATGACGGGCATGACGCAGCGCCAGATGATCCACAGCGCTGCCAAAGCTCTGGCTGGGATCTACAAACAGCAGCTGCCCCCCCGGACTGTGTGAGGCTCTCAAACTAACACGGGGCGCGGGTGGACACACTGGGAGACAAACCTGGCTGATGGGACAGCAGAGGATAATCGTACATCCCCAAAAAGCCCAAATGCACACCTGTTTTTTAAAGATGTCGATGCTCACAGATGATTACTGACATTCCAGCAGGATTTCACTGATCAGATCTCAAGTCAGGCGTTAACTAATCATCTCATCCTCCTTTAAACATATTTACACATCCTGCATATTGATACCAACAAACTAAACGCATAAAGTGGTGCAGGAATGAGTCGTTAAACCAGAAATGAGTTAGCATAATTACGTTTTTTCAAATTGTGTTTCTCGGTTAGATGCCTGATATGAACTTAGAATATGTTAGTAAATGTCATCACTTCACGACTCTATTATACTCATAGGACATATTCTAGAGGTCAGCACAGATCCAAAGTCTACTCAAACTTACCTTATTTAAAAAGTATGCCAAAATGTGTCCGAGCAGACCCGAGAAGGCTCCGACTATATACTGTAACACTGTCAAATCTGCTGTGTACTCAGATTGGCCGTGCTCTATTGTAGAAGTTCCTTTTTAAAGAAACTAATGTCCTGTTTTTGTAGAAACAGTGAATTACTCAAGGTGTGTCCTGACACTATCGCCAATTTCACATTTGAAAACCTTAACTAGCGGGTAGAAAATGTGCCAATGATCTTATTTTGTGTGCATTTCTTGATTTCTGATCTAGACTACGAGCCGTCCACTTTTTTATTTTTTCAAGCTGTAAATAAACCCTTTCTTATTTTGCAAATTGTCCATCGACCGTGGGGTAGCTTGGCACCTGTTCACCCCCCTTGCTATTCTTAAGCTTTCCAAATGTGTGTAATAATACGTTTCTGTGTGGAATTTGGATGAAACTAAAATCATTTAACAAATAACTTATTTTAGTGTCAAAATAAGATTTTAACATCGGATAATGAAGCAGCACCCATCTAACGGCCTTTATCAGTTGTCATATCTCTTAATTCACATATTTTCATTAATTTGCATGATAGGTAAGGTAGGTTTAAGTCATTTGCCAAACAGTAAACTCAGGGTCTGAGACTGGCCGTTTCTCAATGTCGAGTAAACCTACTGCAGAGCCACTATTTCAAGTACACTACGTCATCGAGTGGCGCCGAAGGACTGTTTAAATTCATGTTAAATGCCCAGCATTCGGCGCCACTCGATGACGTAGTATACTTGAAATAGTGGCTCTGCAGCAGGTGTACTCGACATTGAGAAACGGCCCTTGTCTCCTGTAAAAACCCTTTAAAGCTGACTTGATAAGAAGCCATTGAGCTGAAACTGTTATGACGCGTTTGTTCCTTTCAAAATGTGGGTCTTTACTGAATAACCTTGTTTAAGACAATTCGAATTTGTGTCAAACTATGATAAATAATGAGTGTGAATTGTAATATTCTGCTAACCCTGCTATAGACTGTAAGCAGTGGACATAGTTATAATGAAGATGAGCCATTTGAAGCCTGGAGTTTGTCATATTCTGCATTTTCATCTTGTTTTTTGGCACCAGAAGTGACCATATTTGGATAAGAGTGTAGAGTACGGAAATTATCTGCATTGCAACGCCTCTATCCTGATTGATAGGTCACTATGGTAGCGACCTGTCAATCACAAAGAAGTCCCGCCCACAAGCTGAGTTTACGTCCACTTCTTTAACACGGTTTGCTCACGTCGACATTTTGTCTGTGTTATGTTGACCCTTAAAAATAATAATTTACTGGACAAATAAGACTTGTATTGATATTTAACTGTTTTCAAATGTTAACACATGGGTGGTAGAATTGTATTACTGTTTTTTGTGTCTTTAAATTAATAATGACATCTTTTTTTAAATATATAACTTACCAAATGGCTCTAGCATTTACATTGCTAATCCTGACTGAGTGAAAAGTGCAAAATTGGTCTTACATTTTATTTAAAGGGCATTAAAGAAGTCTTAACCTGCCTTAAGCGTTAGCAACCATAAACTTAAAAATCACTTTTAAACTGATGCAACACTTCAGTGTGCAGATTGATGATTTAGGCTTTGTTTGTGATCATCAAAGCACAACAACACCTTCTACACATCACTCTTTAGTCAAGCAGGATAAGTGCATGCTGGGTAGTTTGCAACTGGGACACAGCTAGATGTCATGAGTTTAATTTAAAACCCACAGTAACACATTAATTGATTCTTGCAACATGTACACATCGTCACGGTCCTGCTGTCTGAGGTCAAATCACATTTTCACTCTTGAGCATTTGCAGCAGGACTCTTATCAGTAACCAATTAATGTATTTGTTTGCAGCAGTTGAAACAGCGTCACAAATGGAGATAGATTAGACTGCTGGTGAAGTTTGAGGGGAGAGACGTTCATATGTGTACTCAGTGTCCCCTTTAATGTGCCTTTTGACAAAAATAAATCACTTTTTCACACTGTTTTGTCCCTGTCTCGGTGTAACAGGGTCCTAAATACAGTATATAGGCCAAGTTGCTTACTTTTGTCACATTAAGTCATGAAGAAGTTGTTTGTACCTGGTGAGATGTATTTTGTTTGTGGTGCAGAGGTAAAAAGGACAATGTAGTAATAATCAGACAATGGCTGAGTCTAAGCAAATCTCAAACTACACTCCGATGGTACAATTCCTGGTATTAAATGAGAACAGTCCGATGTCTTGTCCTTTTTCCATAATGCTTCGGCGCAACAGCTGTACACAATATTGTGATTTTTAGTGAATTGGTGGGAACACATGTTGCTTATGGAGAGAAGAGGGGTTGAAGCAGCACTGATGATGGTCGTCAATCAATTAGATAAACTCTCTGACCCACAAGTCCATCAGTGATGTCGTCGGTGAGAGAACTGAAGACACTGTTAGTCCTTGATGGGATTATTTTCCTACTGCTAAATATAAATAAATTCCTACAAAATGCTCCAAGTGTTACATCCAGCCTCTATGTCTCACATGTCTAAATAGAGACATGGGAAATGTCTGCACACTGCCACTGTTTAAAAGCTACTTTGTGACTGTATCACAATCATCAAAAATAGAATTAAAAGAATAATATAGGCAAAAGAGTATAATAATAAAGATATCTATTTTAACGCAAGAAGTGAAAATAAAATATCCAATACAATATAGAAAATGTATATTTATAGAAACATATTTACATTTAAAGTTAAAATGTGCACTCAGAATCAGAATAGGTTTTATTACCGTATTTATTTACATATACTAGGAATTTGCTTTGTATATTTGGACTGTGGATTTTGATTTCTGTGACATATATATAATGGATATGGATCTACGGCCTGCTCAAGTTTGGTACGTACTCTAACATTATGAACTCTAACATTATACATGAACAGTTAATCAGGGGAGATGATGAATGACATCACCCTCCACTGATTACCTGCCAAACACTTTTCAAATCGTCAAAGTCTTTGTCATTTTAACATGAAATGAAATAAGTTTTAAAATAAATGACCATTGAAATACGTTGCATCATTGATTCAAGGGCTCAAATTTGGTGTGTCAAAGTTGAATACTTTTCAAAAAATGTACAGTACTTACAATATATTTTCAAAGCCTTTTTCATTTGAATATGGAATAAAATACGTTTGCATAATAAATGACATTGGAAATACGTTGCAATATGGATTTGTAAAGATGCAGGAAGTGTTCTTCCACACTAGTCTAACAACTCAATCATCATATTAGTGAATGCATTATGTTAAAAGTGTACTCAAGTAATGTACTATAATCCATTTTGAGGTATTGAGTATATAATACTACAATATACTGTATATCATCTAAAGTATCATGTACTTTTATGGATTAAGATGCTCACAAACATATCCAAAACTTCCTTTTGAGTCAGCTCATTCTTGTTTTTTATGATGGATGTTACTCGAGTCCTAAGTAAAGCAAATGTAAGAAAACTCTAAATGTGGCCTTTATAAAAAAAGCTGAACAATAGTTGTTTGTGTTTTTTTTAAGCTCTGTCCTAAATAAAACACGTATTTAACCCTTCAACAGATCAAAAACAATTAGAGTCTGTATATGTTATTTATTTTATAGCTATGTCATCGCCTTTATTCCTGTTCTATTTACTATATTTGTTATATTAAACATGTTATTTCTTCATTTCTTGAAAGCTGTATCCACTCAAGTAAAGTAGACCAACAATGAAACGGTTTCAGGACCAGCCATTATCAGAAAAATTAGGGAGCGCTCGTTTTCTCTAAACGGAGTCGCCCGCTCTATTCAAGATAAACAAAACATGAAGGAACTCGACTCCGCCTTCTCGAAGCCATTTCGGAATAAGCCGGTACTCGTAACAAGCGTACACAAAAGTTAACGTTGTAGGAACGCATTGTATCGAGCAACGCCATTGGCTAGTTCTCCACGACGTCACATATTCAATGAGCCGCCATATTAGGAAGCCAAACCCCTCTTTCATACTGATAAGAAGAAAAGGAGACGGGATAATACAAGGAGAGTTTTACAAGGGCTGAGCGGTTGGGTGACGAATACATCGTTTAACCGGCACTTGTCTTGTTGAAGTGTGGTTTATTGTTTTGATTATTTATTTCGTCTTTTTTTTACAATGGCGACCGCAGCTGCAACTCCTCCTCCGAGCGTGAAGAGAAGCACGTGCGGCACTCCGCTAACACCGACCCCGACACGGATCAGCAGGCTTCAGGAGAAACAGCAGCTCCGGAACCTCAACGACCGCCTGGCCGTGTACATAGACAAGGTCCGCAGCCTGGAGTCTGAGAACAGCGTCCTCCATCTGCAAATAAACGAGACCGAGGAGGTGAGGAGTCGCGAGGTGACCGGTCTGAAAGCGCTATACGAGACCGAACTAGCCGATGCCAGAAGGTGCCTGGATGATTCCTCCAAGGAGCGGGCCTGGCTGCAGATCGAGCTCGGGAAGATCAGATCTGACCATGAGCAGCTCGCGCATAAGTAAGCCTTTGTTTTAACACTTTAATCACAGCCTCTCTGGGTAATTAGCTAAAAGGCTAAATGCTGACTTGGATTTGTATTATCGTCATCTTGCAATATACACATTTATATACATAGTTATCACCGCAATAAACCGTATTTGATTTAGTCTTAATTTACATTATTTAATTTCATATTCTGTTCTTGTACATATCCCATATTCTATTGACATGTATATACTTTTTGCACTACTTTTTCTTTTGTATTTTATTATATATGTTGCATTGTTGGAGGAGCTCAGGTCAGCAGAATTTCATTGCCATTTCTACTCTGTAGCTTTGTGCATATGACAATAAAACCTTTGAATTTGATTTTCGAGCCACTTCTGCAGCTCTACGTCAGCCAGTAGGTGTCCAAACTATGGTCCGTGGTCCATTGTTAATTGACCCTATGCTAATTCTAAAAGTACAATGGAATATGGCCCTAACATGATCATAAACATGTGCTTTTCTTATATTGTACTTCTTAAATGTGAATGTAAACGGATACTACACAACAGTAGTATTCATGTGTCAATAAACCCAATTATCAATTAAATTCAGTCAATTATAGTTGTTTTCTTTGCAGCTTTTGTTTTGATGTACACTGAATCTTAGTCACACGTTTATTAAATGATTGACAGCTGGGCTAAACCCGCCCACAATGGTCTGTGAAAAAGAATACACTTCATTAAACTGTTCACCAGGTCTAATTTTATTATAAATAAATGGTGAAATGTATTAAATATTATCCACTAACATCTATATTTTGTTTATTTGGAGATGTAATGGTGCATTGAAGGTGGCATGGTGCATTCAGGGTCCACTTGTTGAAGTAGCATCTGTTAACAAAGAAACAAATGTAGGTGAATAATTTAAGGTTTTTGGTCTTAAGTGAGGAAAATAGAGTAAATGTGCTTCAGAAGTGTAGCCTATTTGAAATCATCGTAATACCAGATTTAAAGGGATTAAATATTGGGTAATACATGTAGTCATGTGTGCTAAAGCCCTCATGTATTTCTACACATGAAACATGTGTGTTTGTTCCTATTCTGACAGCTGCCTCAGTTATAACAGCTGTCCCGCAAAAGTGCATGAATGGACAAAGTGACTGTTAACCCCTGAAAGTGGCGATTGAACTGCATTATCAGACAAAATGCCTCTTAATTAATCAACTGGGCGATTCATTGTTAAAATATATGTTGGAAAGGTGCTCCACCTGTAAACTGCAGACAAATTGTCCGACACAGCTGTGTGTATTTTATGCTTCTTTTGTCTTGATGCGAAACCAAATGATCAGATAACTACTTTGATTTCACCAGAGTGTGAAAAACCACAGGTTGGTGGTGGGAATGTTTCAGAGGTCCACTGTTGGTGCTTAATAAATGCAGCAGAAGGACTCTTGTGTACCAGACACATTAGTCCCAGAGTGAACCAGACACACACGTACGACACACAAGTGGTGTTGAGTGTGAGGCGTCAGGTGTGGATCTGTGAGTTGAACAGAGGACCCACTGTGTGTCGCTCTGCCGTCTCAACAGTTGGCCGTGACAGCCTGTTTGAGTCCGTTGGAAACACGAGTCCTTCATGTTGGTTTCCACCATGTGTCTTGTAAATGGATGGTATAACTACATGCATTAAAGCGCCGGTATATTGGTGTACTTGCCAGCAGAATACTCCAAAGTTCTATGTTAAAAATGTATAGTATGGCACATAGAAACTGCCGGATGCCAACTTGTTGGGCAATTTGCACAATTGGCATACGTTTTATTAAATAGCATATGCAGACAGTGGCTAAAAAGTGGCGTGGATAACTTTGATGTGGCTTTTGTACTATATTGACCAGGTTGAATGAATGTCAGACATTTTTAAGGATTTAAAAAAAGGCAGTTTTGAGCCCCCAAACTTTGAAATCGATCCATAATTGGTTAAAACTGCCATTTTTAAAACCACTCCAAGTTGTCAAATCGGCCAAACTGTCTGCCACGTTGGATCTACACTGCTTAACAAACTGTACAGACACACAGACGATGGCTGTTTTTATTGACAAGCCAGTCTGGACATCTTCTCCTTCTGGTCTGAGGTCAGTCTGACACTAAAGTAACTCACTCTCGCCTCCGAGGTATTACAAGATAACAGGAGACCAATCGGTTAGCATGCTAATTTCAGTAAGTATCTCTGCAGCACAGTCTATGGACCTCTTTAACATGACGTCAACTCAGTAACCTCTTTAAATTACTTTGATAACAAAGTGAATTCTGTCGTAATGTACACTATATATCTTTTAACATAAAGTAGCTGCACCTATTAATGCCAAACAGTCATCATTAGGAGCTAGAAGTGTCTGACTATTGATTTAATTTGTCATTTCATCGCCATTTATGACCAGAACATTAGGGCCTCCCTTTTTCAATTAGCTTCTCAATGTGATAATAACATGTTAAACAATTTGAGGCATGTGTGTTACTCTGGTATGGTTTTAATCCTGAGAAGTGAGAGCTCATTGTTCAGTAGTTCTGCCTCCCTGCTAATGTTCCTCAGTAAAATGTGAAAAAGCAGACGTACGACTCTCCACATTCCTCACATAGCTTGTCCAGTTTAGCACCCGCCCATAACCCTCCGGCTCACCATGAGAAAACAACTGGCCCCAGCACAGCTCCTCCATACTCACAAACCTATTGAAACTGTCCCACTGTTGACTTAGTTAACCCCCGACCGGCGCTGGGAAACGGATGTCTGACGTGCTTTTCAAAAGGAAAAGTGTGTCCATTATCTACCGTGTGTTGGCCTATTCTTTTTAAGATAAAAGCAATCATGACGTGACATTTGTATAGCCTAATCAGAACAGGAAGACTATTACAAATAATGCAAAATAGAGAACAGATGTGTAGAGCAAACGCAAAACCCTTTTGTGCTTTTATTATGTTTCTGCCTCACCAATAACTGAAGGGCAGTGGATGTAGCGGGTGTATGCACTTATTGGATTAGTCAACATATTGGAAATGACTCTTCATCCATATGTATTGCAGGCCTATAGCCTGCCTTAGTCTCATTGGTCAGACTGTATTAATTGAGGCAGGCGGACCTTATACACTGTAGGGCTGTCCCGAATATCATTTTTCAGGCTCCGGATATTCGGTAGTAATCGGCAGCAAACCGCTTCAACGCGTGTATTTCGGTTTATTCACGGCATTCATTTTGTTATTCTACAGTATTGTTGTTTTATAGATGTGTTAATGTCTATAACCCAATTTGTGTTCTTTGAAATTGAAAAGGATATCGCATTGTGTTACTTTCGTTGCAGTTGTGTGACTTAAGTGTAATTTGGCTTGGCTTCCTATTTTGTATGGACATGCTTTTATTTTGAAGGAGAGTTAGCGCTGTTGACAGGAAGTTGTTGTTGCTATGGAAACAACGTGACGGAGATTAACGGAGAAAATTGAAACCTGAATAGTACTCCAAGGAACGAATATTCGGGTACAGCCCTAATACACTGTATATTTGAAGAAAACAAAAGTATAGCGTATTGAAGCATGAAGCAAAATATATTTAGTTATAATGAAAATGCAGGGAAAGGAGAGCTACACAAGTGGTTCCCAACTTTTTTTGTCTATAAGAAACCCCTCGCTCATCTGTGATGATTCGCCTACATGTTTTCTTGTGTTAAACCCTTTGTAACCGTATTTAACCCGACTGCTCCTTGGATGAAAAGCACTTGTGTAACTCACCCTTAATACAAATGCCCCGTACCCCCGGTTGGGATCCATCATCACATGGTGTCCTCCACCTTCACTCACCATGCCTTCTCCTCTTCCTCCTTCCAGCTTCAACAAGAAGGACTCGGAGGCAGCAGGATGTCAGGCCCGGCTGAAGGACCTGGAGGCTCAGCTGAACTCTAAAGACGCCATGTTGGCCACGGCGCTGTCTGAGGGTCGAGGCCTGGAGGCGATGCTGGCCGACCTGAGGGAGCGGCTGCAGGAGGTAACACTGTGACAAAAAGACAGATTTCCATTGCTTTTGACCTGGTTTTAAAAAAATGTTTGACTTTATGAATCCCCTAGAGCAGGGGTGTCAAACTCAAGGCCTGCTGCCTCATTGTATGTGGCCCGCAAGAGCTTGCAAAGATTATAATATACGGTGGTGGCTCAATTCCCATTTAAATTTGAGTCGCCGAGAGGCTTGGCTTTATGCTGCGACGCGTTTTCAATGAGAAAGTCCATACTGAAGGTTGAATATATTTATTAAACAAAATCAAACACAAAATAACTTGGAAGGACCGAAATGTCAGCGCAAGTTCACCCTCTGTCGTCCGCACCCGACATCTAACAGTGACCTAAATACACGAACCACACCCAGGTCGCAATTGCCGGAAGTGCTCAACAAATACAAATAAAAGTGACGTAAACAAATAATAATAATAATACAAATAATATACTCAGGCTAAGTATCATTTTGGCTCCTACAAATACATTTGGTGTAATTGTTGAATATTTGCTTTCAACTATTTGCCCTAGACTTCTGCTTTCAGACGTAGTTATTAGCAGAACTGATAATAATCCAATGCAGAGCCAATAATGTAATATAATACATTATTTAATATATATACAACCGGCCCTTTGAGTGCAACCATAATGCTGATGTGGTCCGCGATGAAATTGAGTTTGACACCCCTGCGCTAGGAGAAATCCAGCTTTCACTCTGGTGTAAACAGTTAAAGTAGAAATACACACATGCACGGGAGCATCACACATTAGTCCTAAGATACACACATGCACCGGAGCATCACACATTAGTCCTAAGACACACACATGCACCGGAGCATCACACATTAGTCCTAAGACACACACATGCACGGGAGCATCACACATTAGTCCTAAGACACACACATGCACCGGAGCATCACACATTAGTCCTAAGACACACACATGCACCGGAGCATCACACATTAGTCCTAAGACACACACATTCACCGGAGCATCACACATTAGTCCTAAGATACACACATTCACCGGAGCATCACACATTAGTCCTAAGACACACACATTCACCGGAGCATCACACATTAGTCCTAAGATACACACATTCACCGGAGCATCACACATTAGTCCTAAGACACACACATGCACCGGAGCATCACACATTAGTCCTAAGACACACACATGCACCGGAGCATCACACATTAGTCCTAAGATACACACATTCACCGGAGCATCACACATTAGTCCTAAGACACACACATGCACGGGAGCATCACACATTAGTCCTAAGACACACACATGCACCGGAGCATCACACATTAGTCCTAAGATACACACATGCACCGGAGCATCACACATTAGTCCTAAGACACACACATGCACCGGAGCATCACACATTAGTCCTAAGACACACACATGCACCGGAGCATCACACATTAGTCCTAAGATACACACATTCACCGGAGCATCACACATTAGTCCTAAGACACACACATGCACGGGAGCATCACACATTAGTCCTAAGACACACACATGCACCGGAGCATCACACATTAGTCCTAAGATACACACATGCACCGGAGCATCACACATTAGTCCTAAAACACACACATGCACCGGAGCATCACACATTAGTCCTAAGATACACACATGCACCGGAGCATCACACATTAGTCCTAAGACACACACATGCACCGGAGCATCACACATTAGTCCTAAGACACACACATGCACCGGAGCATCACACATTAGTCCTAAGACACACACATGCACCGGAGCGTCACACATTAGTCCTAAGACACACACATGCACCGGAGCATCACACATTAGTCCTAAGATACACACATGCACCGGAGCATCACACATTAGTCCTAAGACACACACATGCACCAGAGCATCACACATTAGTCCTAAGACACACACATGCACCGGAGCATCACACATTAGTCCTAAGACACACACATTCACCGGAGCATCACACATTAGTCCTAAGATACACACATTCACCGGAGCATCACACATTAGTCCTAAGACACACACATGCACCAGAGCATCACACATTAGTCCTAAGACACACACATGCACCGGAGCATCACACATTAGTCCTAAGATACACACATGCACGGGAGCATCACACATTAGTCCTAAGACACACACATGCACCGGAGCATCACACATTAGTCCTAAGACACACACATGCACGGGAGCATCACACATTAGTCCTAAAACACACACATGCACCGGAGCATCACACATTAGTCCTAAGATACACACATTCACCGGAGCATCACACATTAGTCCTAAGACACACACATGCACGGGAGCATCACACATTAGTCCTAAGACACACACATGCACCGGAGCATCACACATTAGTCCTAAGATACACACATGCACCGGAGCATCACACATTAGTCCTAAGATACACACATGCACCGGAGCATCACACATTAGTCCTAAGACACACACATGCACCGGAGCATCACACATTAGTCCTAAGACACACACATGCACGGGAGCATCACACATTAGTCCTAAGACACACACATGCACCGGAGCATCACACATTAGTCCTAAGACACACACATGCACCGGAGCATCACACATTAGTCCTAAGATACACACATGCACCAGAGCATCACACATTAGTCCTAAGACACACACATGCACGGGAGCATCACACATTAGTCCTAAGACACACACATGCACCGGAGCATCACACATTAGTCCTAAGACACACACATGCACGGGAGCATCACACATTAGTCCTAAGACACACACATGCACCAGAGCATCACACATTAGTCCTAAGACACACACATGCACGGGAGCATCACACATTAGTCCTAAGACACACACATGCACGGGAGCATCACACATTAGTCCTAAGACACACACATGCACGGGAGTATCACACATTAGTCCTAAGATACACACATGCACCGGAGCATCACACATTAGTCCTAAGACACACACATGCACCGGAGCATCACACATTAGTCCTAAGATACACACATGCACGGGAGCATCACACATTAGTCCTAAGATACACACATGCACCGGAGCATCACACATTAGTCCTAAGACACACACATGCACCGGAGCATCACACATTAGTCCTAAGATACACACATGCACCGGAGCATCACACATTAGTCCTAAGACACACACATGCACCGGAGCATCACACATTAGTCCTAAGACACACACATGCACCGGAGCATCACACATTAGTCCTAAGACACACACATGCACCGGAGCATCACACATTAGTCCTAAGATACACACATGCACCGGAGCATCACACATTAGTCCTAAGATACACACATGCACCGGAGCATCACACATTAGTCCTAAGACACACACATGCACGGGAGCATCACACATTAGTCCTAAGACACACACATTCACCGGAGCATCACACATTAGTCCTAAGATACACACATGCACGGGAGCATCACACATTAGTCCTAAGACACACACATTCACCGGAGCATCACACATTAGTCCTAAGACACACACATGCACGGGAGCATCACACATTAGTCCTAAGATACACACATGCACGGGAGCATCACACATTAGTCCTAAGACACACACATTCACCGGAGCATCACACATTAGTCCTAAGACACACACATTCACCGGAGCGTCACACATTAGTCCTAAGACACACACATTCACCGGAGCATCACACATTAGTCCTAAGATACACACATGCACGGGAGCATCACACATTAGTCCTAAGACACACACATGCACCGGAGCATCACACATTAGTCCTAAGACACACACATTCACCGGAGCATCACACATTAGTCCTAAGACACACACATGCACGGGAGCATCACACATTAGTCCTAAGACACACACATGCACCAGAGCATCACACATTAGTCCTAAGATACACACATGCACGGGAGCGTCACACATTAGTCCTAAAACACACACATGCACGGGAGCATCACACATTAGTCCTAAGACACACACATGCACGGGAGCGTCACACATTAGTCCTAAGACACACACATGCACGGGAGCATCACACATTAGTCCTAAGACACACACATTCACCGGAGCATCACACATTAGTCCTAAGATACACACATGCACGGGAGCATCACACATTAGTCCTAAGATACACACATTCACCGGAGCGTCACACATTAGTCCTAAGACACACACATGCACCGGAGCATCACACATTAGTCCTAAGATACACACATGCACGGGAGCATCACACATTAGTCCTAAGATACACACATTCACCGGAGCGTCACACATTAGTCCTAAGACACACACATGCACCAGAGCATCACACATTAGTCCTAAGATACACACATGCACGGGAGCGTCACACATTAGTCCTAAAACACACACATGCACGGGAGCATCACACATTAGTCCTAAGACACACACATGCACGGGAGCGTCACACATTAGTCCTAAGACACACACATGCACGGGAGCATCACACATTAGTCCTAAGACACACACATGCACGGGAGCATCACACATTAGTCCTAAGACACACACATGCACGGGAGCATCACACATTAGTCCTAAGACACACACATGCACGGGAGCATCACACATTAGTCCTAAGACACACACATGCACGGGAGCATCACACATTAGTCCTAAGATACACACATTCACCGGAGCATCACACATTAGTCCTAAGACACACACATGCACCGGAGCATCACACATTAGTCCTAAGATACACACATGCACCGGAGCATCACACATTAGTCCTAAGACACACACATTCACCGGAGCATCACACATTAGTCCTAAGATACACACATGCACCGGAGCATCACACATTAGTCCTAAGACACACACATGCACCGGAGCATCACACATTAGTCCTAAAACACACACATGCACCGGAGCATCACACATTAGTCCTAAGACACACACATGCACCAGAGCATCACACATTAGCCCTAAGATACACACATTCACCGGAGCATCACACATTAGTCCTAAGATACACACATTCACCGGAGCATCACACATTAGTCCTAAGACACACACATGCACCGGAGCATCACACATTAGTCCTAAGACACACACATGCACGGGAGCATCACACATTAGTCCTAAGATACACACATGCACCGGAGCATCACACATTAGTCCTAAGATACACACATGCACCGGAGCATCACACATTAGCCCTAAGATACACACATGCACCAGAGCATCACACATTAGTCCTAAGATACACACATGCACGGGAGCATCACACATTAGTCCTAAGATACACACATTCACCGGAGCATCACACATTAGTCCTAAGACACACACATGCACCGGAGCATCACACATTAGTCCTAAAACACACACATGCACCGGAGCATCACACATTAGTCCTAAGATACACACATGCACCGGAGCATCACACATTAGTCCTAAGACACACACATGCACCGGAGCATCACACATTAGTCCTAAGATACACACATGCACCGGAGCATCACACATTAGTCCTAAGACACACACATGCACGGGAGCATCACACATTAGTCCTAAGACACACACATGCACATTAATGAAGAGGTGTCGTAGCAGAGTGGCTACTAACGTTTGGGACCCTGGAGCAGTAGAGGGTTCGATGCCTTGCTCCCCGACACCTCAACAGTGACCGGGAAGTAAACTAGCAACCCTCTAGCTACCGGTACACACAATACATATTGATATACCTGACATTAAAGCCTTGACCATTAAAGAAGATATGTGCTTTAATTCTGAATCTAAATGTTATTTAAGGTGGTGGTGTCATCTTTTCTCTGAGACCTCTTGATCTTAATAACTGTTTTCCGTACATCCTGATTATATTAACACACTGCTTGTTGTTGTTGTTTTCTCAGCTGGAAACGGGTCTCGCTCACACCAAGCAGCAGCTCTCCGATGAGATGCTGATGCGCGTCGACCTGGAGAACCGCTGCCAGAGTCTGACGGAGGAGATTATCTTCCGCAAGAGCATGCAGGAGGAGGTCAGAAACTTAAAATATACCCAGTCATTCTACACAAGACTCCGAGAGTATATATACATGGCTGAATGATACTGAGGCAGAATGATTGTATTTCTGACTTATGGACAACAAGAACACATAAGCACAATAAAGAGTGTTCAAATCGACACAGCGGGAAAGGAGAAGTGAAGGTTAAATACTTTGGCCCTACACATATCACAATAATCACAATTCTTTCCAGATGCCCAAATTCCAGTTGATGGCATTTTTAGGATCTAATTCTAGTGTATAACCCGCCCAAGATAATCAACTATGTGTAACGGATGCATGATCACAGGTTGGTCCCGAAGTCTGCATTAGATCAGTCAAAAACACATGTTTGCCATTGAGGTTGGCACAGGTTGCTTTATTTGCAAATTGCATTATTTGGGCTTGTTTCTATATCAGACCAACAAAACCAGTTGGACCAAACTCGACACAAGATTGACTGACAGCGAGAAAAATACAAGATATCACTCGTTTATCCTTCAACAAGTGAATTAGCTATATTGTATTGGTTTAAAATCAAAGAGCCACATCAGCAAAAGCATGACCAGCTTGAGTTTTTAATAGGGTTGCAATTTAGGATTACATGTCCTAATGACTATTGTTACGCCCTGGGTCACTATAAACACTATAAAAACGACATTAATTGCCGAATCCCTTTTTTATGTTTCATTTATATTTGTCGACCTCGAGGACTAGTTTAATCTAGAGTTTCAAAGGACCCCCCCCCCTTATTGGATAGCTTCCTAATTCGTATGAGTTGGGTTTGAGTTTAATAACATCGTTCTGTGTGAGTTTTCTGACTGTTTTTCCTGTGTTCTGACTGTGTTGTGACTGTGTTGTGACTGTGTTGTGACTGTGTTGTGACTGTGTTCTGACTGTGTTCTGACTGTGTTCTGACTGTGTTGTGACTGTGTTGTGACTGTGTTGTGACTGTGTTCTGACTGTGTTCTGACTGTGTTTTGCTCCAGGAAGTGAAGGAGGCCCGGCAGCGCTACGATAGCCGCCTGGTGGAGGTGGATTCTGGACGGAAAGTGGAGTACGAGTACAAACTGACTCAGGCTCTGATGGACATGAGGACTCAGAATGAGGAGCAGATCATCATCTACAAGGAGAACATGGAGGGCGCCCATGTGACCAAAGTACGAACACTCACTCACTCTGTCCTCACTCACTCACTCTGTCCTCACTCACTCACTCTGTCCTCACTCACTCTGTCCTCACTCACTCTGTCCTCACTCACTCACTCTGTCCTCACTCACTCACTCTGTCCTCACTCACTCACTCTGTCCTCACTCAATCACTCTGTCCACACACACACACTCTGTCCTCACACACACACACACTCTGTCCTCACACACACACACTCTGTCCTCACACACACACACTCTGTCCTCACACACACACACTCTGTCCTCACACACACACACTCTGTCCTCACACACACACTCACTCTGTCCTCACACACACACTCACTCTGTCCTCACACTCACTCTGTCCTCACACTCACACTCTGTCCTCACACTCACACTCTGTCCTCACACTCACACTCTGTCCTCACACTCACACACACTCTGTCCTCACACACACACACTCTGTCCTCACACACACTCTGTCCTCACACACACTCTGTCCTCACACTCACTCTGTCCTCACACACACTGTTTTGGTACACATCACCTTTTACATAGTAATTCATTGCATGTGAAGGAGCCACCTGCTACGACAGAAGGCAGAATATGTGAATCTCTTCCAGGAAATCGCTCTACAAAGCAACATTTAAATATAAAATCATGACAGAAACTGAGTCATTTGTATTTTATGTCGTTTGCGAGAATTCAAAACTACACATTATGAACAAGGGGGTGAAAAAAACACAGTTTGAGAGTTTAACACGTGACTCCAAACCCATGGGAGGTATTTCCAACTCATTTTGGAAGCGGGCTGCAGGGTCTTCGCTCCAACCCACTCAAGCATTAGTGAGGTCCATCACTGACTTTGAACTAAACCCCACTAGACCTTCAGTTCTTCCCAGAAGTGTTGGATGGGTTCATTCCAGTTGTTCCACACAAACAGGGAAACATCTGGAGCTGGCAAACACAAGCTGCTGCCACAAAGTGCAAAGAACATATCATTGTATGCTATTGAGAGTCAATTAAAAACGAAAGGATCTAGACGTGGAAAGATTTACAAACATATGCACACATTGGCTGAGCCTTGAATTACGGCTCAGTATTAATGAGTTTTAGATGAAAGGCTGTATTTAAATGTTATCCTTTCTAACAGCTCTCTTAGTTTCTCTTGAGTTGGTTTGCGCAACATGTAGCAAGTGCTCTGCTAATGTTTACAATCCACCTCCATTGGGCCTTTTGTGTGATCCTTTAAAACAGTCGTGTCAAACTCAAATACACAGAGAGCCAAAATAAAACATTGGGTGCTAGTCGAGGGCCGGACTGGTTCAATGTTTATTGCAGAACTTATTGAAATGAACTTATTGCACATATTAAACCTGGAACTAACAAAGCTTAAATTAGTGCCTTTTTAAAAACAACATTAAATAATCAGTTGCATTCATTTCTTATGGCTCTATCTGCAGATTCTCCAGAGTCATTTCTTATGAGTACATTTTCCCACAGGCCAACAACAGCTTCAACAAAACTATTCCCCTCAAAGAGAAAACCAAACATGCCCTGTTGTCCTGAGAGAAAGTGCAGAAGGAAACATCCATTAAACTCAGTGTGCTGCTCTGTGATGCTAGCTCAGATACTTGGCATCTCATCTTGGGTGCAAGGTCATCAATGTTTGGGCTCAGGCTCTGAGCGGAGGAGACCCTCAGGATGGAGTGAAGGTGTGCGTGCAATATACCGGCGGGCCAGATCTAATAGTAATTAGAAATTATCCTGCGGGCCGAAATTAAATCCACCACGGGCCTGATTTGGCCCCCGGGCCTTGAGTTTGACCCATGTGCTTTAGAAGATGAAAACAGAAAGCTGACCTTTCAGATGAAGGGAAGATACTTTTTTAACACAGGTGGCTCAACTGCATGTAATGGCACTCTTATAAAAGATAAAACAAGATGCACATATTCTCTCTGTAGTATGTTGACGGACAGTTTGAATCATCCTCCTACGCAACTATCTGTCAAAGTGATAACTAGTTAATCTGAAAGTGACGCAAGCAATGTACACAACTTCCTGCATGTCAGGAAGTGACCGCTCAGTTCCTCTTTCAGGGTGATGAAACCGAAGCAGTGTTGATGTGAGCGCCTCTCAAACCTCTGTGTTTTATCCTCAGCTGGAGGACCTGCGCAGGATGTCTGAGATGAACGGAGCGTCGGCCAGCACGGCCCGAGAGGAGCTGAGAGAATCCTCCCTGAGGATCGACAGCCTCACCGCGCAGCTGGGATCCATGCAGAAGGAGGTGGGCATCTTCTCTTACCGAGCTTTACATTCACTGATTGGTGTACGATACGTGGTCAAAAGCGCTCGTATGTTCCCTGTAAAAACCAGAAGCTAAACCAGCTCTTACACATTTGGGGAAACGACTCGTTCAAGTTTCAAGGCTTTATTGTCATCAGAAACGGGTTTATTACCACGTAGGAATTTGACTTGGTGTCGCGGTGCATACATACAAGTAAAAGAAAAACACAGATGGAGAACTATTTTAAAAACACTATAGTAACATTACAACACAAATGTTTAGCACATTAGCTACAGTGTAGATATGGCAATGAAAAACTTAGGATATATAGAACAAATAAAACCGATGAAATAGTGCAAGAGAATGTTTGGAGATGTGCAAGTAAGTGCAAATAAAAATTGAAATAGTGCAAGAAGAGTCTATTTATATATAAATAAATATATAAATAGATACATTAGATAAATAATTAGCAAAATGCAATCAGGTGAATGTTTAAGGAAAAGTTCAGGTGTTTAATGGTCTTATGGCTTGTGGAATAAAACTGCTTGTTCTTTATCTTAATTTATAAAGTGATGGTTGGTGCCCCACAATAATTGAAGTAGGGATAAATAAAATAAACTAATTGTAAAATATTGTTTCAATTTGGTTTAAGCAGACAAACAGGGCGAAAGAAGGTAGAAAAAGAGAATGAATGTGGGTGTATCTACCTCAGATGTGTCCACGTGCAATACCTTCATTAAATCAGTCTGTAAATCGCTGATTCTACACTTGTTAATTTGTGTTATCAGACTCTTGTCAAAGGTTGTAGATTACTTTTCTTATTACATTCTGACATCACAATAAGACTCAGGTTAAGCTGCACTTCCTCAACATTTTAGGTGCTGACTCAGACAGCCCCACCCCTTCCTCTAAACTGTCACTTTGAAATCTGTCGCATCTGGATTTTAAGATTAAAGTTTAAAAAGTGTTTCCAAAGGACCAAATATTTAACTATCTCGGATATGTTTTCATATCAACTTCCTGTGGACATTGTTTGCTTCATTTGACGTGGAGAATTTACCTGAAATGAAAACTCCCTCAGTATCTTATTCAGCGAAGCTTCACTTTGTTAAAAGTATTATATTTAGATTCCTGCAAAGTGCACATACAATTGGTTTGTAATTATTTTTCAGTGCTGCGGCCGTCGAGAATTGTATATAAACCGACACTGTTCACACACTCTTTAATTCTTTATCAAATCCAGACGCTTATTTTATTGATGCCCAAAATAGACCGACTCTCTATTTCCAGGTGCTCCCAACAACCAGGAAGCTGCCCGTGTGTGATATATAAAATATGGGAGTCTGGAAGAACAACGACCCAGTGGTCAATGTTGGATTTAGAATAGAATTCCTTTATTGTCATCGCACCAGGTACAACGACATTTAAAAAAGCAATCCTCGCACTGCATTTCCACATAAACATATGCTCACACATCCATACCAACATGCATACATGCCCGCACATTATTTAAATACAGTTTACAATATAAAAAACACAGGGATGATATTTTGCATCTCTGATGTCGATCAGTTAATAAAACTATTAAAAAGTAGTGCAGTTGTAACTGTTCAGTTCAGCGTTTGACGGCGTTCAGTTCTCGTATGGCTCTGGGGTAGAAACTGTTTTTCAGTCGGGTTGTCCTTGATTGAATTGACCTGTAGCGTCTACCGGAGGGCAGAAGAGCAAACAGGAAGTGTCCAGGGTGTGAAGAGTCTACAATTATTTTGCCTGCTCGGTTGAGGCAACGTTGGCTGAAGAAAAAATAGAATGATAAATCGAAGAACATTATGCTTTTTAGTATTTTGTTGGCTCCTGCATTCGGGTAAGTTCTCATCTTATCTCTTGACGTGATAAAGTGTAGCCTCTGAGACATGGGCATCATCGCGCTCAGACTCTGACCCCCCCTCTCTCTCCGTGTTTATAGACTCGTGGTTGGCGTGACCAGATCGTGGAGCTGGAGGCGGCTCTTTCTCAGGAGAAGGATCGGAGTCGCAGGATGCTGTCGGACCGAGACCGAGAGGTGGCCGAGATCCAGACCAAGATGCAGCAGCAGCTCAACGACTACGAGCAGCTGCTGGACCTCAAACTGGCTCTGGACATGGAGATCAACGCCTACCGAAAACTCCTGGAGGGAGAGGAGGAAAGGTGAGGACCCGGAGTAGTGAGGCAACAGTTAAAGGTCTCCTATTATACTATTTTTAGGCATATATTATAGTTCTCAGATATATAAAAAACATGTCTATGAAGTGTTTCGCTCAAAATGCCAAACAGATCTCCCATTCTAGCCATGCCTCATATCCTCTATTTCAGCCCTGTTACTAAAGTGCTCATTCTGGGTCTGTAGCATTACTAATGTAAACAAAGACCATATTACGTCCAAAACAGTCGGGCATTGTTTCTGTTAGCAACGTTTCTGATTGGGCCGTGGGTCCACATTTCAGATATTACGTCATATCGGACGCAAATCTGGATCAGCTCCGTTGTTCCCCGTTTTTAGAGATTTGGGTACGGAGGAAAAGAGAGGGTTTTATTTCCTGACGCTGCGTGAGTTCCCCGACACACCGGGGACACATGTTGATGTATAAAAGACATCAAAAAGTGCATTTTGCATGATAGGAGACCTTTTGTAAATGTGTACCTGCACACTGTATGCATGCACCACGAGTAATAGAAGACATGAGTATATACAAACAAGCTCTATGACAGAGAAACAAAATGAAGGAGAAATTCATTGATTGATGTTATGAAAAATATCACTCATCCCCGGCTTGAGCTTCAATCTCAGGATCCATGAATCTGTGATCCTCTCCAGAATGGAAGTAATCACATACAGAGCATCAACTAGTTCCTGAACAGTGTCCTTCACATGCTGATATCCAAGAGAGGGAGTCACACAGTCACAAGATGGAGGAATAGAAAGCAGTATTCAATGTTTACTTCAGATTAGCTCCACGTCAGAAATGAGCATGCTTGATGTCTCTCTCCATAGAGGCTGAATCATCATGTTAATCACATAGCTATCATCTGCCTCAAACAGTCCTGATGCTCTTCTAGGTAATCACACATCCTGTCATGTTCACAGCTACAGTTGGGATACCTTTGTCATCACGTTACTCTCATGTTGGAAGAGGACGTTCAGTATTTTCCCAACAATTGATTTGTATCCAAAAATGTACTTATCCTCTTACATTCACGACGTACATGAACTGATAACATTTCTAAAAGTCCATTAAATGTAAATGGTTGTGTTTCTTGATTGCCTTCTTGTTGGTGCTGATTGTTTCCTGTGTTTCCGTCCCGCAGACTGATGCTGTCTCCCAGTCCTTCGGCTCGGGTCACGGTGTCTCGAGCCTCCAGCAGTCGCAGCGTTCGCACCTCTCACGGAAAGAGGAAGCGCGTCGACGTGGAGGAACAGGAAGCCAGCAGCTCGGTGTCTATCTCTCACTCTGCCTCGGCCACAGGGCCCATCTGCATCGACGAGACCGACACCGACGGAAAGTTCATCTGCCTCCAAAACACCGGAGAGGAGGTGAGCTCCTGCATTTCTTCGAGTGTGGAGATACGGCTGAAACATCTATTACAGGGGTGTTCAAACCTTTTTCACCGAGGGCCACATACAGAAAAATATACATAGGTCTGGGCCGCTCACTAGAGGTATATCGCCTCATAAGATCAGTTATAAGTTAGCGACATCAATCAAATGTAGGTACAGGATGCTTGTGAGTGTTGGCAGCTCAGCCCTTAAACCAGAAGCCTCAGATTGATTATAATGAGAAATGTGAAGGGTTTATTTCAAGCTTGTTATGGAAATAAGTCATTGGGCTTTTTTCTTATCAACTAAGATACGTTAGAAAATGTTTCCAACTTTAATTGACAAAAAAAAAAGTAGTCTTAACACATGAATACTACATTTAAACTAATTTAAAATCCAGATCATCACTGATGTGTGATGCAGACAATAAAATGCATCAGAGCTCCGGTAGTTTATATTTGTCTGACTTATACAAGCATTTTTCTGAATAATGTGCTCGAATAAATGTTTTTAAATATTTGTATTACACAGCTTGGTTGAATACTCGATTCTGATTGGTCAATTGGGACGTTTCTGAGGTTATTATTGGTAGAGCCTGTCGTAGCAGCTTTAAAATCAGCTGTGGTCTAGAGAGAATAATCAGTTGGGTAACAAACGTACAGCAACACAATATTCATATTAAAAGCAATAAGGATCTTTATACTTGCAAGTATGACGTCTCCTCCAACGGAGAACGTCCTGTTCTGAAACAGGCTCTCTTTATAAGAGGACATCAAAGCAGATTTACATTACAACAACATTCTGGGAGGCCAGCTGATACCCCCTCTGGCACTGTATGCAAAACCATCACACCCTACAAGACAATGGGATATCCAGACACCCCTCAGACACAGTATGCAGAACCCTCGCCCCCCCCTGTTGACCACACATACATTTAAGGTTCACTCACAAGAGATGACCTAATCAGAGAAACTAAGGTTAGCAATGTTAACACATTTGATAGCACAATTTCCTTAACATTCCCCCCTTTGATTAATTTGAATCACTAATTGTGTTATCAACTTTAGGACTAATTAATATTGCCATGTACATTTGTCAGTTTGAAAAGTGTTTCCACATCAGGTAGGTCTGTGTTGTCACACCCTACCATCTGCTCCTCGCCCAAACACTCTACATCCTCAAGCACATACAACACAGACTATGCTATAACACCCCTGTGCAATAACCTGGCTGCTTCAGAACTGTCACAAGAGATGTATTTTAATGTTGTAATCTTTATTCTGTGGGACGAATAAAGGTGTTCTGATTCTGAAGGAGATCCGATTTAACCTCTGTTTCTGACTGAGCTCTTTATTGTTTTTGTCTCAGGATCAGGCAATGGTCGGTTTTGAGATGATGAAGACGATTGAAAATGATTCCGCCACCTACAAGTTCACCCCCAAATTTGTCCTGAAGGCCGGCCAGAAAGTCACGGTAAGAGTTTGTGTTTAGTTACGAGTGTTGGAGATGTCCAGTTTTAAATCATGTCGGTTATTTTACAATGTTTTTAAAGGAAGAAAATAAGAGCCTTTTGAGGAATATGAGAAGTGCTCCATTTCTCTCGAGCCGTGTGTTTAACCTGTCAGCCGATATTAGTTTGAAAAAGTTTGATCACTCGTCTCTAAAAGGCAGATCAGAAGATGTAATACACGTGAGACTTATTGATTTTTTTTTTGTGATTTACATGGGATTTTATGTAAAGTAGTGTTGCACGGTGTACCGATACTTGAAAGGTACCGCGATACCCTGCCGTTAAAAACGTTACGATTCCTCCGTTTCATTAGTATCGGTACTTTAAGAATGACGGGGAAAAGTACTCCGGTGAGAAAGCGCTGTTTTAATAAGAGCCGTGTGTGTTCAGCGCTCTGCTTCCACTCCCTGCACTGCAGCCGTGCCTGCAGGCCCTCCCCTCTCAAGCACGCTCTAAGTCCCTCCCCTCTCTCGTGCAAGCTCTAAGTCCCTCCCCTCTCAAGCACACTAAGTCCCTCCCCTCTCAAGCACGCTCTAAGTCCCTCCCCTCTCAAGCACGCTCTAAGTCCCTCCCCTCTCAAGCACACTAAGTCCCTCCCCTCTCAAGCACGGTCTAAGTCCCTCCCCTCTCAAGCACGCTCTAAGTCCCTCCCCTCTCTCGTGCACGCTCTAAGTCCCTCCCCTCTCTCGTGCACGCTATAAGTCCCTCCCCTCTCTCGTGCACGCTCTGAGTCCCTCCCCTCTCTCGTGCACGCTCTGAGTCCCTCCCCTCTCTCATGCATGCTCTAAGTCCCTCCCCTCTCTCGTGCACGCTCTAAGTCCCTCCCCTTTCTCGTGCACGCTCTAAGTCCCTCCCCTTTCTCGTGCACGCTCTAAGTCCCTCCCCTTTCTCGTGCACGCTCTAAGTCCCTCCCCTTTCTCGTGCACGCTCTAAGTCCCTCCCCTTTCTCGTGCACGCTCTAAGTCCCTCCCCTTTCTCGTGCACGCTCTAAGTCCCTCCCCTCTCTCGTGCACGCTCTAAGTCCCTCCCCTCTCTCGTGCACGCTCTAAGTGCCTCCCCTCTCTCGCACGCTCTAAGTGCCTCCCCTCTCGTGCACGCTCTAAGTGCCTCCCCTCTCTCGTGCACGCTCTAAGTGCCTCCCCTCTCTCGTGCACGCTCTAGCTGCCAGAGCATGTGAGAAAACGAGAAGCATGGCTGCAAGTGGGAGTGGACAAAAAAGACGCCAGAAGCGAAAAACTAAAAAGTTGTTTATAGATGATACTTCATTTTATTTAATACAAATTCTAGTCATTTATTTTATTTATTGTTCTCATTGTTTAAAAGTTTGTGTTATGGTTCTGGTGTGAAATAAAGCACAATAATTACATTAAGACCTTTTTTTAAGAAAAGTATTGAATCGCAATTCTTGACTTGGTATCGAAACCAAAATGTTGGTATCGTGGCAACACTAATGTAAAGTGTCTTTGAGCATTAGGAAAAGCGCTATAAAAATCAAATGTATTATTATATTCTCTACATGGCGTCACTGTAGTTGAGAGTTGTGTCTTTAAAACCCATTTCCACACAGCATGTTAAAGATGGGACTTAGCCATTGTTCTCCACTTTCCACCACCATGGGGTCAAGAGCCTTCAGCCGCTCTGCACCCCGCCTCTGGAACTCCCTCCCACCTGACATCCGCAACACTGACTCTCTCCCCATTTTCAAATCACGCCTCAAAACATATCTCTTCACACTCGCATATCCACCCTGATCACTATTCATCACACATCCTCTGTTTTATTGATTTGATTTGTTATATACTGCATTGTCTTGTTTATGTCTCTTATGCTGGTGTTATGTATTGTGTATCCTTTTTTTTATGTGTTTGTACGGCGACCTTGAGAGCCTTGAAAGGCGTCTATATAAAATAAATGTATTATTATTATTACTTTGTAAAATGTACAAATGTTGGCACGCAGTAGATGAGATAAGATGGAACTTTCTTTATCCCCTTGGGGAAGTTCAGGCGTTTATAGCAGCAACAGCGTCAGAGTTAAAAACAGGATTCACCCAAGGTTGCTATTGTTCTCCACTATGTGAAATGTACAAATGTTGGCTCCGGAGGTATTCACAAAGCAGACGCACTGAGGTTTGTTGTGTCTCAAGCTTTCTATGTCTGTGTTGAATATGAAGCTGATGTTTTCTCTGTTTAGGTGTGGGCGTCTGATGCTGGCGTGAGCTCCAAACCCCCCTCAGACCTGGTGTGGAAGAACCAGAACTCCTGGGGGTCCGGACGGGACGTCCACGTGGTGCTGCTCAGCCCTCAGGGAGAGGTGAACTCACTCAGTCACACATACTCACTCACACATACTCACTCAGTCACACACACATACTCACTCAGTCACACACATATACTCACTCAGACACACACACACACAGTCACACACACATATACTCACTCAGTCACACACACATATACTCATTCAGACACACACATATACTCACTCAGACACACACACACACAGTCACACACACATATACTCACTCAGTCACACACACATATACTCATTCAGACACACTCACTCACTCAGTCACACACTCAGTCACACACACATATACTCAGTCACACACACATATACTCACTCAGTCACACACACATATACTCACTCAGATACACTCACTCAGATACACTCACTCACTCATATACTCAGTCACACACACATATACTCACTCAGTCACATACAAACTCAGTCACACACACACTCAGTCACACACACACACTCAGTCACACACACACACTCAGTCACACACACACACTCAGTCACACACACACACTCAGTCACACACACACACTCAGTCACACACACACACTCAGTCACACACTCAGTCACACACACACACTCAGTCACACACACACACACTCAGTCACACACACACACTCAGTCACACACACACACACTCAGTCACACACACATACTCAGTCACACACACATACTCAGTCACACACACATACTCAGTCACACACACATACTCAGTCACACACACATACTCAGTCACACACACATACTCAGTCACACACACATACTCAGTCACACACACATACTCAGTCACACACACATACTCAGTCAACACACACACACATACTCAGTCACACACACATACTCAGTCACACACACATACTCAGTCACACACACATACTCAGTCACACACACATACTCAGTCACACACACATACTCAGTCACACACACATACTCAGTCACACACACATACTCAGTCACACACACACATACTCAGTCACACACACATACTCAGTCAACCCACATACTCAGTCACACACACATACTCAGTCACACACACATACTCAGTCACACACACATACTCAGTCACACACACACATACTCAGTCACACACACACACATACTCAGTCACACACACACATACTCAGTCACACACACACATACTCAGTCACACACACACATACTCAGTCACACACACACACACACATACTCAGTCACACACATACTCAGTCACACACACACTCAGTCACACACACACACACACTCAGTCTCACACACACACACTCACACTCAGTCACACACACATACTCAGTCACACACACATATACTCACTCAGTCACACACACACTCAGTCACACACACACACACACACACACACACACTCAAGTCATTTTTCATGCAGTAAAGTATCTCTTTTTGACATTCAAAAACATCCCCTATGTGTGTTTGTGTGGCAGGAAGTGGCGAGGAGAACCACCACGTATAAGACGGGATTAGAAGAGCAGGATGAGGAAGGTGATGATGAAGAGGAGGACAACTTTCTCCTGGGGCAGGTGAGAATATGAGCTTGGCACCGACACCCCCCCACATTTCAGACAAACGTATACATAATTAGTGTTTACTTCCTGTCTGTCTTCTTCTGTTGACTCCCTCGAACCTCCTTAGTAACGGTCATTATTGTGTCTTAACAACCTCTGAAATGTCCCAATTGACCAATCGGAATCGAGTATTCAACTAAGCCGTGTAATAATAATACTAAAAAACATTTATCTGAGCACATTATTCATAAAAATAAGTCAGTCTTTATCAGTTCTGTTTTTTAGAATGTTAATGTGTGTGTAGCAGTGTGTTTTAAATTGAACCATGAATGTGTGTGTGTGCAGGAGGACTCTCACGCTGCGAACAGAAGCTGCTCCATCATGTGATCCAACCCCCCCCACCACCACCTCTGAGCCCAGCCAGTCTGCTGCCAACTTTAAAACTATTTTTCTATCTTTTGTAGCACATTTCAATAAAAAAAAAAAAAGGTTTTATTTCTCATAAAAATGCACAACGGATTTTGGTAGGAAGTATTTTCAACTGAAAAAAAGAACAATACAAAAACAATATAAAATTGTATTTGAAGGTCAGAACCTTTATTTTTTATTTTTTATAAAACCATGCAACAAGTAGCTACTCTTAAGAAGCGCTGATATTTTTTAATGGCTTTTAATTTTTACATTTTTGTTTATATCTGACTTTAATAATGATGCCATATTGTAAGCTTTAAGAACAGGATGTCGGGATTGGATCAGCTCAGGGGCTGGAGACCTACTGTATAAATTAAATAAGCACTGAAAGGACAAGTACACTAACTAATACCCCCCCCCCTCTTCTGTCTGGACTTTAACTGGACAAAATGTCAGATTTCTGTTTAGTGGCATTCTTTTAGTAGACATACCGTGATTGTTTGATTGTATTAATGAAGAAGTCAGAGGACAGTTGAAGTTTGTTAGCAGTTGTTGAGTTACATTAAAGCCCCTCTTTAGGAGGATTAAAAACTGGGACAGTGACACCTCGTGGAGAACATCGTAATAACATTATTTGTAATAGTTCTCCACTCAGGGGCTGTAACGTAACTCATCGACACATTTAAATAAGTATTGAGAAGTGTTGATTGTATTCTTAACTTTTGATATTTAAAGTGTTTGAAGTACTTTGTGTTGTATGTTATTATGCATGCTATGTAATCATAGTTGAATCATTAAATGAGTTTTCTTGTATTTGTGTTCTACTGGTTTTTTTATACACGTTTTAATGTTTTCTCTGAAGACGACGGGTCATAGGAAACATATTACAAATCACTAAAACACACCGAAAATCAAGAAACCCTTTGGTTACCATTTATTTACTAAATTGCATCACCCTGAGGCCTCTTCTCTTCAACATCTAAATGCTACCACTGGCTCAGATAATGAAAAACAACTAAATAAGTTACCATAGCTATGTGGATGACACATTTATATAACCGTTTCACCAGGAGACTATGCTCCAATTCAAACACGGAGTGCATTGAACAAATCATTAACTCGGTGTGTCAAAACTTTCTTCAATTAAACAAAGATAAAACTGAGGTAATGGTTTTTGGAGCCAAGGCAGAATGAATAAAGGTCAGCGCTCAGAGCTGAACTTCAATCGTCAATATTTAAAACGAGAAAAAAGCCAGCGTTCAAAGTGACAATCTACAAAGCTCGATGTGGTCTCGTTTGCCATAAGTATTTTCGCGGAAACACGAGCAATCTGTCCATTACCTGGCCAAAAGGCATCATATTCAAACGGAGAAATGCACCGTTTTCGACTTCCTTAACTCGGAGTTATGTTGCCCCAATTACGTGTAAGGTGGAAGAAGTAGGCTACTCGGATCAAGCAAGTACTTAAGTTAGCAGTATACGGCAGGGTAGCTTGTGAATACACATGTGCTCTACACAGTAGCCTACAGGTTAGCTCCGAGTGTTAGCGAGGCTTGCTAATGTAAACAAACAACTTTCTGTGGGGTCACCACGGATGGACAAGTCAGTTCGGATGGAAATCTGTATCCGCTCGTTGTACAACCGTTTTTAAAAGATTTGGGTACGGAGGAAAAGAGGGTTTTATTTTCTGACGCTGCGTGAGTTCCCCGACGCACCGGGGACACATATTTATGTATGTATGTATTTAGAATTGTAGTCCCCTAGATATAGTCTCTAGCAGTGCTTGAATTGGAATGAAAAAGATGCCAGTACTCTAAAATCAGCAACTTTTTCAAGTCAATTTTATATATACAACCCACAAACAAGAATTTGGCTACTATAATGCTGGTGGGTTTGTCTCTTTACTACTGTATATTTTAGAAAGGTTCACTGTACTTAACATTTTTTATGATAGGCAGCGGATATGGCTAAAGCTCAGTAAGGTCAATATTAACTGAAAATATAGCAATCAAGTCTAGATCTTCTGCTGAAGACACATGAAGCAGAGACCTTTCAGGTGAGAGCCCCTCTGGTGGTGTTCAACATTAATGACAAGGAAACAAAGCTCTGGTCAGAAGCATTTTTTATAAAAAGCTTTAACAAAATTAAGTATTTCTGTACATTTTGAATGCAATCTAACTTTCCAACTCAGAAAACGAAAAACGAAAAAGTGCCAAAAGTCTTCTCACATGGCTGAGCTGCTTTGCAATATTCTTCACCACTGAAGAATACAAATATGTATAAAGTAAACTATGATGCAATCTAACTTTCCAACTCAGAAAAATGATAAAGAGCATGAACAAAGAACATGTAAAAACAAATGCAAAATTTGCACAATCTAAAATGAGAAACTGTAACTGCAAGTAACAAAGTCTGAGCCATGGTAAAGAGTTACATTGAACACCAAGCTGATCAGATAACTCCCTGGTTGGTCTGAAGTCCTTCTATCTCCAGGATCTGTACAAATCGGCACATTATGCCAAAAGTCTTCTCACTGGGTGAGCTGCTTTGCAATATACTTCACATTGTTAGAAAAGGCTCCAGAAGGCCTTGGGGACATCAGTATCAGGGGCTGGAGCTGGACAGGCTCTTTCATCAGCACTTCTCCTTCCCTTTGCAAGCCAGGACCTCACATACTGTTCCGGATTGAACTGTCCTAGTGATGGTCCATTACATTGAATGAAAACCAGGCTGGACAGTCGGCTGACAGAGAGAGCATTCCTTTTTGCAGTAAGGATATCGTTCATGCAGCTGAATGCCCGCTCACACTCACTAGTGGAGACAGCGATGGTTCGGACTGCTTTCAGTAGAGGCTCCATGGCAGCAGGTGTACGGGATGCCCTGGTTTCCTTGTATTCGCGAAAGCCCTGAACAGTCTCTCTTCTGTCCACTTTCAGCACTTCGCACAAACGTAGCACCTCTACGTCCCCATACTGTACGTCTAACTCCTCTTCAGGCCAACTTCCAGGATGGATAACTTTCATGTCCTGGATTAGCTGATTGTCCCGGGCCTCCCGGCCATGTAATGGGATTTCTCTTGTGCTGACATGAGAGGAGGTTGTGGAAGTCAGTCTGTGTCTCAGATTCTCTACCATACTGCGGAAAAACTGACCTGCATGAATCTGTACAAGCCTGCCATTCTCACGCAGGGCAACACCCTTGAAGGACTTCTCAGCTAGAGCTGTATGAACTGTAGTCATGTGTGGGCCAGGCATGGTGACCATGGATTCAAAAACTCGTATTTCTCGAGTTAAGAGCCTATCTGCTGTAGGCAGTGTCATCTCTCTTTTTTGGAGTTGCCGAGAGAGGTCGCTGAGCTCTGTGAGCGCATCGTACATCAGTCCCAGATTGCTGACAAACGTTGCAGATGTGAGCACATCATCCAGGCCCTTGTACTTTGCTCTGTCTCTGGAATCCCTGCCCTTGTCGTTTGCAGCATTTGTGAAGTGATCATGAAGCACTCGGTAGTTTTCCCAGACTGCTCTGACGCTCCTTTCACTTGAAGCCACCCAGCGGATGGACAAAACACGCCCTATCACCAGGAGACGCTGTCCGACTGCTTGCGCACACTGCGCTAACTGCCTCTGATTTTTGGGGGAGGCATGGAACAAGGAATAGAGTTTGTCAAAAAAGATCTGGAAATGATTGAGCCCTGAGACCTCCTTGACCACATCCCCAACTGCCAGCTCTAGACGATGATTGGAGCAGTGCCACACAAACAGGCTTGGGAATTTACTACACAACTGGGTAGCAACGCCTGTTCTCTTCCCTAGCATGACTGAAGCCCCATCACATGCAAAAGAAACGAAACACTGACCTAAAAAGTCCTCGTTAAAATCTCTTCCAAGACACTCCATTAACGCCTTTGTGATGTCATCAGCCGTTGTTCCATCCAACTCGATCAGCTCCCAAAAAAAACGTTTCGGGCTCAGCATCAGCTAATGCTGAGCGTAGACACACAACAAGCACCGTTTTACCACTAATAGTGGTAGATTCATCGACCAAAACACAGAGTTTTCTTTGGTTTTCTGTAATGTCTTTTGCCATTTTTTTCTTCAGCTCATGAGCTATGTGGTCGATGATTTCGCCACAGGTTTTATTGGAGTGCAAAACCCTGCCCACGTTCAGCCCATTCAGTTTCTGTACATTCAAATCAATTGGCATGTCTGTGAATGGCCGGCTATGTTTGCCAATTTTATATGCCGTTCGAAAAACTCTGATAGTGGTGTCTAATACAGATTTATGCATAGACTGCACTTGATGTTGAATAGTTTCACGTGAAGCAGATGTAAGGATGTCAGCAGCTTTTACATGGGCTTGTGATTCTTTATGTTCTTTGATTTTTTTTTGTCAGGCTAGCTTGTTGTTTGCCCTTGTCAACACCGAAATGAGACACTGCACACTCACCCTATTCAGTTGACAGTTTCAGTCCTTGTCCAGTGTGTATTCCCAAAGATTTGACATCTCTGCATATCCGACATCCTAGCTTCTTATCTTTAAGAAGGAGCCATTGTTATGGAAATCTAAAAACCCCAATACTGTAGAGTACAAGTCAGAAAACAAATAAATGGTGAATCCAACAGAGTTGTCTTTCTGGTGATGTTTATTCGAGGCCTCAAACAAACATCAGATACAATAAAATATAGACACAGGTCTCACAGAGTATAGGATAGTCTGCGCGAGTGTGCGCAGCTCAATATAATAGCAAAGCAATATAAAGGGAGAGTAAAAAGGTGGGGAGGAGAAGAAATCTTCACACGGTCACATTGTTATTAGACACCTGGCCTTGAGCTGTAGAAGTTCTCGTGTGACTTTGTGTGAGTCAACTCAGTAGCCAAAACAGCTCTGTGGCCTTGAAGTAGAGAAGATAGAGGAAAACAGCACAGTAACCAAATGAGAAGCATTTGGTTACTTTGAACATATCAGGATATAATAAAAATGTCCACTACACCATGCATTGGTCTTGCAAAAATATTGCACCTGGTCCGTTGTCCAGCAGTCAGGTGCATCGCTTTGCCCGGTGTTGGTGGTGGCAGTTGAGCCAGCAGCAGCTAACGTTAGAGGCTCTGGAGGAGGCGGCGGAGCTAGTGCTAATGCTAATGCACTAGAACTTGGAGCAGGAGGATCAACCAAAGAAAGCTCCCCATCAGACACAATTTCCAACACAGGCACAGCATTCTCTGTATTTGAAGTTTCTTCCGGCGACAACCGCTGTCTTTTTGCACTTTTATTAATCCACGCTAACATTTTAGAAATGCTAATTTGTGACGTGACTTGCTTTCCTTCTCTCGGGGGCGTGCCTGCTCTGTTCTATCACTCTACATAGCCACCCACTGGGTGGGAGTTGCACTGCATAAACACAACACACGTGCATCTAGGTATGTAAATTGTAAAGCATTAAAACATGGTTTTACTAACAGTTTTCAGTATGTTGTTACTTCGGCATTATTATTATTATTATTTTGAAACGTGTATTACTATTAAATCACGGTCAAATAGGTTAATTTTGACATAGTCGTTTCCACCACAGTATTTACATGGAGAAGATAAGCCCCGCCCCCTCTCCAGCACGTTCTGTTTGAATGACAGGAGTAAACAGCTGACAGCCGCTGTGAAACTCCAGCGGTTAGAGCGATGAGAATGTCCGTTCGGCACCTCATGACGCATCTACTGAGTACCGGGCGGCTGTATATATATATATGGATGTATAATAAGAACGGCGGGAGAGTGTTGAGTACTGGCACGGTGCATGAGTACCGGAGTACCGCCAGCAT